ATGCTCATCTTTAGTGGTGCTAGCTACTAATAAATCGTCGATATACGCGTATACCCCAGGTAAACCTCTAATAACCTGGTCGATAAACCGTTGAAAGGTTTGTGCCGCGTTAGTCAGTCCAAAAGGCATACGCAGGAATTCATATAGCCCAAATGGGGTTGTTACTGCTGTCTTCGGTATGTCTTGTGGGGCAACAGGGATGTGGTAGTATGCTCTGACTAAGTCGATCTTCGAGAAGATAGTAGTGCCCTCTATACTGTAGGTGAAATCATGGATGTGCGGTATAGGGTATCTGTCAGCTACTGTTTGTTTGTTCAGTGCTCTGTAATCTCCACATGGCCTAACCTCTCCATTCTTTTTTGGGGCCATATGTAGCGGGGATGCCCACGGGCTGCTCGATGGCCATATAATGCCTAGCCTCATTAGCTTGTCGAATTCCTGTTTTGCGATGGCTAGTCTTTTGGGACCTAACCTTCTTGGTCTTGCATTGATTGGTGGACCATTCGTTACGATGTGATGCTGAATAGAATGTTTGAGATCAGCTTTATTGTATGTCACTTTTACGAGTTCCGGGAACTCCCTTAACAAGAATTTATATGGATCATTGCGACTTTTATCTATCACAAGGTTCATTGAAACGGCTTCCGTAAGTATTCCTCTTATCGAAGTGGTTTGACTACTGTTTATAAGTCTGTGTCGTCTAGAGTCTACTAGCAGGTCAAAGTTACATAAGAAATCTATGCCTATTATGGGCATCGATACGTCTGCTATGACAAAGTTCCAGCGGTATGAAGCGCCACGTCCAAAATCTAGGGACAATTTCCGTTTACCATATGTCTTAATATCTGATTTGTTTGCTGCTCTTAGCGCTAATGACGGATTAATGTTTTTTCTTTCCTCGTTAAATGGAGGTACTACGCTAATTTCCGCTCCAGTGTCAACTAAGAATTGTGCGCCAGTGGTTCGGTCTTGTATATAAAAGAGGCGACTATTTTCAGGCATTATGTGTGTTGATGCCGTTGCCATTGATACTCGTGGGTATCGGTTACTAGCCCTGTTAATTCTACAAGGTTGTAGGCACTTTCTAGCCCTGTAGTCAAACATTTGATGATACCAACATATCGCAGGAGTTGTGCGTCGTCTAGAAGTTGACCGGGTCCTTTCACGCGAGCGATCTCGCGATGACCTTCGTGGCTTTTCTCTCTGCGTTAATTCTGTGAGTTTGCGGCACAAAACATTTATTTCCTTCTGTAGAGTATCAAATCTATCGTCTACCGTCACGTTGTGTAGTGGAGAGCTTGTTTGCTCGCTTCTCTCGTATATTCTGTCAGCTATCTTTGCTATGTTGTCTAAATCAGCGTCTGTATCTCCCACAGCTAGGATCTGCTGTATATTTGCCGGGAGTCGGCGGAACCACAGTTGATAAAAGAGATTATTGTCAATGTGTCTATCGCCAAGTAGACTTTTCATATAATTTTTTAGCTGTGATGGGGTTCTATCTCCAATTTGTACTTGGTTAAGAAGTTGTTCGACGGCTTGTTGGTCACTGAGAGAGAGAGTTTTAATTACTGCCTCTTTTAGCACGTCGTATGGTTTTTCTGTGTCTGGTTTCGCTAGTGCCTCTCGAACGCTGTCAGCTACTTCGTCTGAGAGTAGTGTGCTTGTCAGGCCGAACTTATCCTTTTGCAAAAGAATGCGGTTAGCGAGAAAATAATTTTCAAGTCTTATAAACCAAAGTTTTGGGTCTGTGACTTTAAAAGAAGGAGCAGGAAGGTTAAGAGACCTCACGGACGAGGTTTGCTGTACGCTTGAAACTGTGTTTTCGCAAGACATGTTTATAAAAAAATTAAGTAGCGCACAAAAATAATGTAACTGTCAGGAAGACAAATAGACGGACAAAAACAATGATAATAAAAAAATGGTATAATTTATAAAATGGAACAGACTAAATTGCACCAATATATCAATTGTTTATGAATAATCGTTATTTATTATGATTATGATTATAATCGTCACGTTTAATAATGTTTGCGAAATAATGTAAGTGTAATTAAAATAGAAATATAAATCCACAATTGTAATTATAGTTCATATGATAATCCAAATTGAGATGAGAAGAGTCGGATTTTTGGGATTTGATTATTTCGCCGAAATTCGCTTCCCGTTCTCACGTCGGGATTACCAATGATGTGGTGGTCAGTGTTCGATATAATCCTTAAACTTCGTATACAGCTCGTCTAGATAACCGTTCTATATCACGTCCCAACGGTATATTAATCAGAAGGCAAATACGGAGTGTTGATTACGTTTATTGCGAGACCACACACATACATCCAAATGTACAGATGCGTTAAACGAGCATAGAAGAGTTGTGCCGAAAGCGAGCAAGCGATCGAGAGCCAGAGCAAGAGTGAGACGAGAGTACGTATGTGTGTGTTGAATATGAATAACATGGACATATATATACCATGTGAAATGAATGAGTAGTCGAATCAAATAAGCAGTTAGTAGTAAGACTAGCAGTGTGAATAAATGCGTAGGCCGTAATCAATATTCAAGCATACGTATTTCATACAAGCACAAAATAATAAGGGTGCAATAAGTTGCTATAGTGTGGATGACTTTGTCCGCTTAATAAGTTAGCAAAAGGGCTTAACTGAGTTAAATGAGAATAAACTCGATTGCACGTGAGTCACAATAGGTCCTTCCGTCTAGCCATGCCTGTTGAGTCCAGAACACAATTTCTACTGTATAAATCATATGTTTCAGACATTCTGAGTATATGTACAAAGAAAGCAGACAGCATCATATCATAGAACAGAAAATAACAACTATAAAAATCAGGCTAAAAGTGGCCGTGATTGTGAAAGACTGAAACTAATAAATTGCGAAAAACTTAGGAATAGTAAATCGTATAATAGTAGTCATCAGGACAAACGGATGCTTGTAATAAGAGGAATGTGAACATGCATATAATATAGTTACTTTGTAGTGACTCACTTTTATCACGAGGACACGATTGGTTTATTGAAAACAATTATCATAGCCAATTGTACCAGTGACTGTTTTGATGTGCTTTTGTTTAACTGTGCTAAAAAGCATCCATTATTCTTACACTTCGATTGTGACTTCGCGCGAATTCGGTTACGTTCTGTAACCAAGCTTGTATCCTGGCACGACCTCGGTATCCTTTCGATACCACGAGATCGTCAGCAAATGTATCTCGACTTGGTCCATTAACTGCCTTCTGATATTTGGCTTGTCTACCGCGACTCGATGCCTCGCTACAACTTAATGTTTATATAATAAGTACATTTGTATAATATCAGTTCATAGATAAATCCTAGAAGTTGCCCGTAATTAGATTTTCAATAGGTCATACCATGAGTCTGTTTGTTTATCAATCTATTCGTCACGTGTCCTTAGTTTATCTTTTTTATTTGGGTACGATTGTTGAGTAACTTCGCCTTTACCTCTTCTACGATTACTGCCAGTCTTAAGTCCGTGTAAAAGATAAGGGTTGGGTATGGAGTCGGCAGCCCGATCCAGCGGAAAATATCTTGCTAAAAGAACGCCAACCAGATTAGACAAATCTCGTCATAAATCAGAGATTTCATAAGCTTAGAGGGTGTATATGTGTCTATACTATAACGCCTACTTAATTTACGCTAACTTTTGGACATAATGTTATTCTGGGTGTTGGCGACTCGGAGTACATACAGGTGATCGACATATGACTGCTTTTATCATACCATCAGTTTGTACGAGTTTCAAACAATGCCATATTAGCTAATTATTGAACTTTTTGCTTTCCGGTAGTGGATGCATCAAACACCGTCTAGAATGGTGCCACACGTTTGCTCGACGTATTTAAATGACGTTATAGTAAATAGAGCAACTGTTGAAGAACACTTGGAAAATTCTCAGAACGTCTCTAGAAAAATGGTTTAAAAGTACAACTATCTAGGCATGTCGTTGATGATCAAGGAATACACTCAAGTAGAGAAAAAATTGATGCTATTCGAAATTGGTTTGTTCCGCGAACTTCTGATGAACTCCGCAGCATCTTGAATTTAGCAACTTATTGTAACAGATCACGAGTAAGAATGCCGCACTGCAAAAGCTGGCCAGTTTAGACCACTCACTTCCTGATATATTGATAACCTATCAAATATACTTTCGGACCTCCTATCTGACTTTTGATTTTATCGGGTGAGCAATATGCAATTATAGGTGTTACTGGTTAAATTGTTGTCACAATAAAAATACCTATGGTATCTTCACCTTATTAGGATGGAACGTTAACTTTGAATGAACTGAAAAATGCTCAAAAGAATAAAACCACGATTGTACCAATCATCCCGGCAAACCGCATCAGAACGTGAATGCTTTACCACGCAGAGTAGCTGAAACTAATGGAAAATACTCTTAATGCGTCACATCGGCAATGAATATGAAAAATCCGAAAACTATGCGAGGTGTTGAATGCATTCATTTTCAGGCAAGGAATCCGGAAACTTTAATGGTGAATAATGCTTTGAAAAACCAGAGTTCAAATGGTTTAAATGGTTGTGGACGGAATAGAAGAAGCTTTCGCTTAACAGGCTTCCGTGTCTAATAGCAGGGTATCACCAAAACCTAGGTATGTTAACAATAAAAGAGGAAAAAGAAATTAGTAAATCATAGTATGATACTATCCTTAATCCTCAAGAATAGATCAAGTTACCTCTTAAAGGACTCCTGGGAAGTCACTTGGACTAGCTCGGCCGGCAGCGAATTCCAGCATTTGACAACTCTCAAAGAATAGAAGTTGTGTCTACACTTCGTTCTCGAGCATCGGAAGAAATTCAAGTTGTGAGTTGAGAAGGTAGATGCATTTGGTAAGAATTTAGTTAAGCTGAGAACTTATAAACATTTCATTGGGAGATTTACTCTAACGGCAATTCTAGCTAACTGATTGAGTTGCTCATTACAAGGACATTTATTCTTCCCCGCCAATCATGAACGTTAGGCGTACGGTGCTTTCGTCCTTGACCAAACACGTTGATCGTATACGCAATGTTTGTATCCTTGCACATGTTGATCATGGTAATTGTTTTGTGAATACTGTATTTGTTATAATAATAGTGGTTCAAAGTTTTCCCCATCGTAAAAGGTTTTGTATTTGACATGGTCGTAAGTTGCTAGTTTTAACCTTAGTTACTGCAAGATATGCGGTTTGTATGCAATCTGATCTTCACTGCTGATGTGTAAATGTTAGTTCAGGTTTTTGCGCCGTTGTTTATAGCAATATTGTGTTGTACTAGTGGGCCAGCACCGCTTTCACAAAGGTTTCGTTTCTTGCATCGACTAGTGAACTACTGGAATTCTCTACGAGAACTCGTAATATCAGCACCTTCTGTTGATATTTTAAAAGTATAGGTCGGTAAATCTATTCTCATTACTGAATATTTCTATTGGCAATTTTAGTTTAAGTACCTCTACATTTTAACGCCACAGGCGACATATGTAACTAAATGACGTCTGCAGTAATAAGGTTAGGTCTATCGACGTATATTAATCCTAGCAGTTTGTAACAATGTGGAGATCTAATCTCGTTTTGAATTTATCAACTGAAGGTCTCGATATAATGTGTTCTGGTAGAGAATTTCAGCCTTATGGTCAATACGTAGGGCTTTTAGTCATGTCGACGCCAAGACGTTTTTGACTTTGTATACAGTGTTTGTACGTCCTAAACTTGAGTACCGCATACAAGCGGCTAGCCCCTGCTTTAAAAAAGACAGTGAGCTTCTGGAAAAGGTTCAGAGAACGGCGTCTAAGCTGATTCCCGGAATAGTGAAGCTTCCGTATGAAGCTCGACTGGCCAAGTTTAACCTTTTCCCGTTGTCATATCGCAGAACTAGAGACGACTTGATTACAGTCTTCAAATTGCTTAGTGATAAATTTGCACCTTATATGCCCTTATTTTTCTTGTCTTCCAAAACAGAATTTACGAGGACACTCCAAAAAAGTTCACAAGCCCAGAACAAATTACTTGTCAGCTGACTATCGACTTTCCCACCGAATCATCAACGAGTGGAATTCACTACCTCAGCACGTGGTTGAGATTCCATCCGTCGACTCTTTCAAAAGAAAGTTGGATCAACTGAGAGACCACCATTGCCAGGACTAACATAGGCCATCAAGCCTCCTGTCCTTCCCAAACTGAAACTGATTTCATTACTCGGTGCAAGAAACGAAACTCCAGACGTAGACGATTTGATCTCGGTTTTTGAACTTTCTTAGAATGTCCTCTCAAGTGATCATTCCTATACGGAAGGAAAAGGCAACGCAGTAATACACAGGTCATCGTTCAGTATACGATAGGCCAATACTAGATCACCTTGTAATCTTTGGTAAGATAATAGAGATAAGTTGGATTGTCTCAGTCTGTCTTCATATGATAGGCCAGAGAGACCTTTTACCATTTTAGTCCCTCGTTGTTGGACTCATTCGAGCATATCTGCTTCATACTTGAAACAAGGAATCGCTGCTTTAATCCAATATTCCAAATGCGGTCTCACGAAAGTCGGCCATAGTACTCTAAATATTTTCTCATCCAATTACTGAAAAGACCTTCGAATAGCCAATAATACCCTAAAGCCTTTGGCAGCAGTGGCCTTGTAGTTACTCGTAGTTTTGAGATCGCTAATTATTGACTCCTAAATCTTTATAGTCCATTACTTTGGGTAACACAGCTCCACGTATTGTGTAGTGATATAAATAATCATAGTTATCTAATTGCATCGGCTGTCGTGATGTTGCACAAAAGTGTAAAAGGGCGTATACTAAGGTTTATCGAAGCCTTAGCCATACGAAAATTCAAACCCCCTCTGTGTATTAAAAAGCAGTTTGTTCTCGCCTTAAACCTACCGTAGTAATATTAGGTTATTATCTAGAGTGATGAGGTTTCAAATTGTCTTCGCATTATTTCTTCATTATCCTTGTCTCCTATTACCCTCCATTTCTAGTCTAGTTGATCTTTTATTTTTATGTATAAATGTTCTTAACAAGTATATGCGTGGTCAGATTGTTCGGAATGTATTGCGCTAATAGTACTGATAATCTTCGTCTTATTACACTATCGAAATTTATCAAAGGGACTAATTGCTTTAAGTTATTCATTTCTCCATAAGCGCACATCTGCAGACTTTAGTCCCAATATATCAAATTACTAAAACTGCATGTATCATTGGTTTGTAATCCTGATTCACTGACATTTTCTGTCAGGATACCGGGTTGCCCGTTTAAAAACGAGACTTGGTAATTCCCTACCGGACGCTTTTATTCTCTAACACTTTTGTGAGTGTCCATGACACGTAAATACGGTCGGCGGTATTGATCTAGGAGTCACGAATGTGTAGGTGTATAAGAGCATGACTGTTCCCGGCCGCATCATGCGATTTTTATTGGTACTGAGAAAATCGTCTTTTCTCATTACCGTAATGGTAAAATCATTTGATATTGGCCTTTTATTTACATTCAGCTGTGTAAACAGCTTCTAAGTTTCGTAGCTGTACCAGTGTCCGTCGCTCTATGCCCAGCATTTTTACCATGATTTTGTGTTGCTGATAATGTAGGATAGTAGCGTATACAGCCTCTGCCAGGGAAGTCCTACTCATTGCCTTCTCGTGGCGGGGGTGTTGTTTACGAAAATGAGAGGACGAAAAGCGAATGTCCGGCGCTTTAACCGGATCACAAACCAATGGTGCACATGGGCCCCAGTATCTTGCAGGAACAAATGGCGTATGAACCAATCTTTGGTCACCGGCTACCATGGGATTGCATCTCCTTACGATGCTCCACTGCCTTGTGGGTTAGACCTTTAGGTCAAAGGCTCGGGGTGTGGCCCCCTAAGATAACCACCTGCTTCGGTTTGGGCACCCGGGCAGTATCACAGCCCACACACAAACGATGAACTCTATGTCTATGGCAACTGCTTTTCTCGCTCCGAAAAACAATCAATCGATTCAAATAATTATCACTACTATTATTGTCATTATTAATACTATTATTATTACTATTATTGTCATTATTATTATTATTATTATTTTCTACATTATTCACCCTCTTTTATACTTATACAGCGGCTCGTCTTTGGTGGAAATCCGACTGTATCTAAACGTTCTCGAGTCACTGTCCGGTTGAAAATTGTATGTTACCATCGAATATGAGTAGTGAAGCAGTTTTTCTGAAACCACGTGCGCCGTTCAAACTGGCTGCCTTCAACGTTCGCACACTTATGCAGGTTGGTCAACAGATAGGGCTGGCTATGTCTTTGGAAAGTCTTAATATTGATGTTTTTTGTCTATCCGAGACCCGTATTCAAGACTCTGGCGAAGTACTACAAATTCGATCTCCATCTGTCGCTTCGAAAAGCTTGTTTTACGTGCGCTTATCCGGGGACCCTGTGGCATCTTCGTCTGGTCTTGCTGGCGTTGGTGTCGCACTAAGCGCTAGAGCTGAGGCAGCACTAGTCGATTGGATCCCCATTAACAGTCGGTTATGTGCTGTTAGATTAGAGAGTTCCATCAAAGTGAGAAGGAATCGGCGTGAGAAACGATGTCTTTTCGTTATCTCCGCCTATGCCCCGACAGATTGCAGCCCGGATGCAATCAAGGATGAGTTTTACCACCAGTTATCTGTTCTTCTCCAGAAAGTGCGTTCGACAGATATTGTAGTACTGGCCGGAGACTTGAATGCTCAGGTCGGGCGTCTAGGCACAGAAGAGAGTCGTTTAGGTGGCCGATGGGGACTTGTTGGTCGCAGGTCAGGTAACGGGGACCGTCTACTGCAACTGTGCACAGACCACAACCTGTTTCTGGCTAGCACTAACTTTCGGCACAGTCATCGCCGATGTGCCACCTGGCGTCCTCCCTCTGCATCTCAAGCCTGGACTCAGATTGATCACATCGCGATCAGCTACCGCTGGCGTGGTTGTGTACAAGACTGCCGCTCCTTTTGGAGTACCTATCCGGACTCTGACCATGCCTTGGTCTGCGCCTATCTTGCCTTACTTTTCAGTGGACAACGAAGTGACCGCCAGCAAAGGATTGATATTAGCAAGCTGGTTGCAACTTCTGTTGCAAATAAGTATCGAACCGAGCTAGCCTCTAGGCTAGCTACCACTCCACCGAAAAGTATAGATGAGCATTGGTTGCAATTGCATGACGCCATGAAAATGGCGGGAACAGTCAGTTGTGGGTTTGCGAAACGTCCCACTTTTAAGCACCGGGTTTCTTCTGGTTCCTTACAACTCATTGAAGCCCGTCGGTCTACTCCGGGTGACCGTGAGTTTGACCATAAACGAAGGATGTTACGTAAGGAAATTGGGCAAAGCTTGCGTAAGGACCGAGAAGCCTGGTGGTCGAAACGTGCTAGTGAGCTGGAAGCAGCAGCTGCATCTGGTAACTACCGGAAGCTCTTCCAGCTCATCCGAGCCACTGGCAGCAAGAAGTCTGGTGTGAGTGAAACAATCTGCGAGGATGATGGGATGCCAATCACTAACATCCATCGACGTCTTGGACGATGGGCAGAATTTTTCGAAGGGCAGTTCAACTGGCCTGCTGCTCCGGCAACATCGGTCAGACTGTCCTGCCCTCCAGGGCCGGTGACGACTGATCCACCAAACGAGGAAGAAGTCCGCAAGGAACTCCAACTCTTGAAGCGTTACAAATCACCTGGCCCAGATGACTTACCTCCGGCTCTTTTTAAAGATGGTGGTGACTTTTTGACTAAGGAATTGACGACGTTGTTTACAAAGGTTTGGGAACTAGAAAGTGTACCAACGTCATGGAATGAGTCGATAGTTGTCCCTATCTTTAAAAAGGGTTCACGTCATTCTTGTAACAACTATCGGGGTATAAGTCTACTTCCGATTGCGTCCAAGCTATTGGCTTCCGTCATACTTCGTAGGTTGTTCAAAACCCGAGAAAGATTGACTCGCGAGGAGCAGGCTGGGTTTCGTTCTGGTCGAGGATGTATTGATCATATCTTCACCCTCCGCCAAATGTTAGAACACCGCCATACTTTTCAAAGGCCAACAATCGTAGTGTTTCTCGACATCAGGGCTGCCTTCGATTCGTTGGATAGGACTGTTCTCTGGGATTGTCTATTGAAGAAGGGTGTGCCTGAGAAGTTTATTAACATCCTAAAAGCCCTATATAAAAACACCTCAGGCAGAGTGAGGGCATACAACCACCTCTCTCCATTGTTCCATTCGAGCAGTGGGGTTAGGTAGGGTTGCCCAATCTCACCATTCCTCTTCAATTTTGCCATCGATGACATTCTGAAAACAGCTCTGATGAATGTAAGTAATGGTGGTGTGGATCTGTTGCCTGGAGAAAGACTTCTCGACCTTGAGTATGCGGACGATATTGTCTTACTGTGCGATAATGCCCAAAGCATGCAATCCGCACTTAATCAGTTGGCAATCAGTGTCCGTAGGTATGGTATGTGCTTTGCACCTTCGAAGTGCAAAGTACTTCTACAAGACTGGCAGGATTCCAATCCTGTACTCACCCTGGATGGTGAGCAGATAGACGTAGTCGAGAAGTTCGTGTATCTGGGTAGCTGCATAAGTGCTGGTGGGGGTGTGAGTGATGAGATCAATGCACGTATAGTGAAAGCCAGAGCGGCTTATGCCAATCTGGGCCATCTTTGGCGCCTTCGTGATGTTAGTCTGGCTGTAAAAGGTCGGATCTACAACGCGTCAGTGAGAGCAGTTTTGCTCTATGCTTGTGAAACCTGGCCTCTCCGAGTTGAGGACGTTAGACGACTCTCTGTGTTCGATCATCGCTGTCTCCGAAGGATTGCTGACATTCAGTGGCAACACCATGTCAGTAATGCAGAGGTTCGGCATCGTGTGTTCGGGCACAGAGATGATAATTCAATTGGTGTTACCATCTTGAAACACCGACTTCGGTGGCTTGGACATGTTCTCTGAATGTCGTCCCACGTCGTGCATTATTTGCCGACTCTGGGACTGGTTGGAAGAAGCGGAGAGGTGGTCAGTGCATGACATGGTGTCGTGGCATGAAAGGAAGCTGCAAAGAACTGGCTTGTGTTGGTCCTTCACGACTCCCTGGTTGGGGTATGACAGATGGTGCGACACAGTGGCTAGAGACGTTATCAGATATGGCTCAGAATAGAAGCTAGTGGCGATCCTGCTGTAACCTTCTTTTACTTTCTTCATAAAAGGTGGTTGTGTCTCCCTTACCTGAAAGGTTTCTTCCGATTGTACCTTTGCGTTCCCTGATTACTAGCACATTACCTTACACCAATCTCTTCGTTATTGTTCTCTTTTTTTTGTTGCGCTCCTTAGCTTTTTTTTCTTTCTTTGTATTCCTCTCGAATTTTCATTGTTTTGTGTGGCGCATATATATTGGCGCTCTCTTGTACCAATATTCATGTGTCCAAATAAATAAATAAATAAATAAATAAATTATTCACAAGTTATATGGAAGGGTAGGTCCTAGATCCGAACCCCCCTTCGCCTCTGGTTTGAGAAATCAGTAACTTTTTATCGAGTTTATTATTTTGGTTTTTTAATGACAGGTAAAACTACAATGGCTGACGCCTTGTTGGCTACCAATGGTATTGTTTCTTCGCGCCAATCAGGGAAATTGCGGTATATGGATAACACTGAGGGGGAGCAAGAGCGTGGCATAACGATGAAATCTAGTGTAATTGGTCTCATTTTCAACCGGAAAGTCTCCTCTGTAGATAAAAACGATGAAGATTATTATCTTGTAAATTTAGTGGACTCTCCTGGTCATGTTGACTTTTCTTCCGAAGTCTCGACAGCAGTTCGACTATGTGATGCTGCAATTATCGTTGTCGATGTTGTCGAAGGAGTTTGTCCTCAGGTAAAGTGTTTGATCGTAAAATAACTCCTCTCATAGACACGTACGGTGCTCCGTCAAGCTTGGGATGAAAGACTAACTCTGTTATTGGCTTTAAATAAGATCGATCGATTGGTTGTAGAAATAAAACTAACTCCGTCACAGGCTTATGAAACCATGTGTCGAGTGATAGAACAAGTCAATTCCGTCCTTGCGGAAATGTTTTCTGCAGATATGACGCGTCAAAGAGATGGTATGTGGCAGACGAATATCGACGAACTTGTAAGTACTTGTCCGTTTTGTGCATGTATTCATTATCGGTTGTCAGATGAAAATTGATTAACACAAGCATGCCGTAAGTGTTCCTGTCCGTGTTCATTAAGTAGTCCATTAGTTGGGTCTATTTCGCATTGGGTACTGTTTACTCCTTTCGCATAGAAGTTTATTTGTGGGATATTGTATACGGGGAATGAAACTATGGAACTGTCACTTTGTTGGTCACGTTGTATCACAATAGCCATTTTCGGTTATTATTTCGAAATGGGTAAGCATCTTGGGGAATTCAGTAAAATGTAATGAATAAAGTGATAAAATGATACTTCAAAATAACTTTTTCCAGCATTAACTTGAAATATTAGATAGTTGTGTTAATTTATAATCTATTAGCTTATTACAGCTCCTGTAAGATGTATTTCAAGGTGAAATACTCTCACAATGAACTGGCCTCTTCATCATTATTATCATTGCTTGTATCCCACGTGATGTTTTTTTCCATTTCGTGACATTTTCAAGCGCCTTCATTATTCGATTTTAAACTAAGTATGTAGGTTAGATCTGCCACTGATTAATCTCATTTGGGGTACCGTTGAAAACCGAAAATCACTAGTCCTACTAAACTAAGCTACACCGAAATCACAAATCGATCTAAGTTAGACTACGATTGAAATGAGATCGATGCACTGAACGGCTATCTCCTCCTAGTATGGAACTCTTCATCTGTGTGCGTCCAAAACGTCCCAGGCGGGAATCAATCCAAGAACATTCAGTCTTATGCGCAGACGCTCAACCTCTAGATCACTGAACCGGCATTCAACGGTGTTAATATCTCACATCAATCAATCCGAGACATTTGGCGACTATATTCCATTTTCTTCGGTGGGTAACTGCCTCACACAACACGGATTAGCTCCACTGATCACGGCATCCATCCATCCACTTTCCAATGTAATTCATATTGGTAATTCCTTAACCGGAGATAGAGTTACAACACTTGTTGATAATTGGTCTAAGTGATAGTTCTTTCAGGTTCTAACAATAACTTGTAGTTTCTACTATCAGCTAAATGCTGTTCATAACAAAATACATCAAATAACATCATTAGTTAATTGAGAATGTGAGTTATATGTGTTTGGTTTAGGAACTTTAGGTTTCATTATCTAGGGAACTATAAGTGTATATTGTAGTGGATCTACAGAATGCTACACGCCAGTTGTTTGCTACTCTTTGATTTCCAGTCTTTTGTTTTATTGATTTTTAATGATAGTTTCCATCAAACACCACTATATTCCGTGAATTTTATGAACTTATAAAAATTCTACTATACATTTTCCAGAACCTTTCAAGTGATGTACAACATGATAATTACGTGTATGATTGGAGCAATAATCTTGGGAAAGCTGACGATTCTAACTTGTACTTCTCACCCGAAAAAGGGAATGTTGTATTCTGCTCTTCTGTCGATTCTTGGGGATTTCGTGTAGACCAATTTTGCCAGACCTGGTCTGAACGCCTATCTATTCCTTGTTCAATTTTACAAAAATCCCTATGGGGTGATTTTTATCTAACTTCCTCTCCTACAGAACTAAATAAAATGATTGTTAAACCTAATGCTAGGCAAAAACAGAAAAAGTCAATTTTCGTTCAGTTGGTCTTAGAACCTTTATGGAATGCATATCAAGTAAAAATTTCGTTTGATTTCAACTGTATGATGTATTTTTGAAAATAATGATTTGTGTTTGCTTAAAAATGTATAACATTACTTATAAGATTTACTGAGCTCTTGTAACTAAGCTTTATTGATAGAACCACACCAGCTTCAGGTACCGATAAAAAATATCCCACCTTATAGATTAGTAGGAAGTCTTAAAAGCTATACATAAGAAATTAACTAGCTGGTTATCTTTGGAGTATTGTTCCGCATTTTACCACAGGATTGCTGTTTATTAGTTCATGTGTTTGAAGTAGCTGAGTCTTCTCTAGTTTAAACATGAAGGTAACTATAGTAATTTTTATGCTAGAGCTATATTTCAGTTTCTAGTGTATGCATGTCTTAATATATTTTTTTCGTGCTTAGACAAAGGATAGACTAGGATGTAAAGAAACTTCACACTTAGACATCTAGTTGATGCTAGACTTCAGTTTGATGTAACGGTGGCTGTCCAAGTCTTCCATCGAAGTAAGAATTCCCGAAATAGCGCAATTTAAGGCAGATAGAAGTAGATGAGCTCAGCTGGGCGTGTCACATTTGGAATTCGTAATAAGCACTCAATCAAATACAAAGGAATCATCAGTTAGTACAAATACCACAACCGCAATAGCTTAAATGAGAATCCATATTTTAGTAACCTGTTGTACGCCTTCTCCTTAGGTTCATCGTGTGTCTGTCTGGCTGTGTATTGGGTATAGTGTGTGCATAATCTGGTTCCTGGAATTGTGTCTGACCAAAATGTCGGTCGCGTGTTCTTCAGTCATTGATATCTAGAATTCGCACCATAGATTCTGCAACACTTCACTCTACGTAACTGGTCGAATATCATTTCCACGATACTATATAACTTATGCAGTCTCTAAATACCTCATATTCGAACGTAGAATCCTTCCTTTTAATAACTGTGATGGAGTTTCTTTTTCGTCACAGAATGTTTATCACTTCTATATTGCAGTAGAAATGTGTCTATTCCCCTTTCTAGTTGATTATATGTTGAATGTTTTGTGATGTAAAATGTACTCATTAGTACTAGAGTTACCAACGGAGTCACCTGGGTCTTTGTAACGTATTTGGTTGTTGTAACTGGACTGGATTCAAGCCATAGATTTATAAACCATTTTAGCGGACCTTTCGTAGATAGTGGGAAATCAGTTCCTCAGTAGTTTGTAACAGCAGACTGGGAAGGATTTTTTTAAGCAATTTCGTGGATGCGCACCGCTGAGGAGTCCCATACTAGGACGAAACGGTCGTCTAGTGCTTCCAGGTTTTTCATGGTATTCTAGCTTTAATTGACTCATGAATTCTATTTCACGACATTCAAAATTTGTACATCTTGCATGATTTATTAGTGGTTCTTTGAGAGTTTCGTAAGGAAGTGAAATTGGTTTATCTGGAAATGCCAAATATTTTAGTAAGTTGTAGACATTCTTTCCGATAAATTTAAGGAAACGAGCCTTAATTTTATTATCTTTCACATCTTTCCTGGTCATACTCCAGATTTCAAACCTTTCTTGTAATCCTCGAAAGCTTCAGAATTTGAATATATGTCCAACTGCTCGATCGCGACGCCATTATGATAATTAGAAGTACTCAGATTGATTTACTAAGATTTCCCGAAATAGCGCAATTTAAGGCAGATGGAACTGGGTGTGTTATATTTGAAATTCGTAATAAGCGCTCAATCAAATACAAAGGAATCATCAGTTAGTAGTAATACCACAGTTTCAAAATCCATATTTTAGTGTAGAGCTATAATATTTAAAAGCCTTTAATAAGTTTCTCCTGCTCACAACAAGTGGCTAATTATTTTACTGTTTCGTTTACTGTTCAAGACGCTATTCTTTGAAGATAAACGTGATAAAGTGTTTGCAATGGCTCAAAAGGTTGGTGTAAATTTAGACCAACGTGTTATTCGTAATGTTGATAGTCGTGGAGTGTTACGTGCTTTCCTGAGTGTTTGGTTGTCGTTAGGTCATACACTTATGCATGCCATAACGGATATCTGTCCCAGTCCATCTTCAGCAGTGTCTGCTGACCGAGCTGTACATATGTTGTATGGAGATACAGTTTTATGTGATTCAACACTTACCAAGAAAGATTCTGTCATAACAATCGATCAAACTTCACGTGTACCAATTAATTCAATATATTCAACATCTGGGGCTAGCTTAGGTAAGTAATGATGTCTGTTATGGTTACGTATTTCATTAAATTTCTGTTGTATGAAGTGTTGATTTAATCACACATATTTCATTGATTCACAGATTACTTATTCAACTAACTTTCCCAAGTTTACTATCGTAACCAATGGTTGGAGACTCTTGGTGACATGGCTCAGAATCGATCACAATGGCGTAGGTGTATAGACTCTCTGTCTTCCTTTAAACTATGAGATTAAAATCGCTTGATATCTTTCTTTCTACAAACTAATTCTTTCTTCTTGCACTATATCCTTATATGGAGTCTTTCTTTTATATATTACCAACATTGACTTAACTACTTTTATGAATCCGGTGTTCATCTTACTGTGCTAATGTGGTATGGTAACTTGGACCGATGCATATATGTGCCTGGTCCTACGTTCTAGCTGACTGACTGACTAAATATTATTGTTAATATGAACTTATTATTAGAGTACAGTATCATGATTTAAAGCGGAAAATTTTTAAAAGAATGAAACTTAAAATTCTAGCAATAAAATCACTAAAACACATCAAACTACAAAATGAAATGATGAATTTACTTCATATTATAAAATGTAAATGTTAAAAATATACCAAATAGAGTTATGTATTGACTGAATAGCGTCAAACTATTCACTATCTTCCTGATCAAATCTCTTAACTTCGATACTTGTTTTGCTTAGTATATGATTGTACAGCTTGAACTGATTGGAATGTAATGTCCACTCGATTGAAATTGTATCACTAATCATCAAAATAACTACAAGTAACATAGAACAATAGAAATAATGATGTAATTACAAGTCGTATCAATTAATTGACCAAATACTTGGTTAGTGTATGAAACAGTATGAATTAGGTTAAAAAGGAAGATAATATAATCGGTTAAGTGCCAATGTAATTATTTATATGTACTTCAGTAGACAACCTATATGCTAATAGGTTCGACTTTAGTACAGAGGTTGATTCAATGAGGTCGTAGTTATTAGGTTGCCCAAAATAAAAAAATCCATAAGTTTGAGAGGACTCCTGTCAAGTTTTGAACCATTATGAAGAGTTCTAAGACGAAAGTTGAAGATAAGATCGATGATGAAACCCAACATTACATTAGTGTGAACGAATTGACAAGGGTAAAACAGAACATTACATTTTATTACCAGAAAATGGTTGGTATATTGGTATCATGGATATTCTGTACAACCGATTTGGCAGGCCTCATTATATTAAAGAAGCATTTCTAACAGACTTAATGAAAATCAGTTCTCTGTGGTTACAAATGCTTACAGCCAATCAACTAGTTTAAGCCGCAGATCTATAATATTATCAAATAGTAAAACGACAACACAGTCTAACCTCTGTGCACTGTGAAGGGGCGAAGCCGTCAACTGTCGAACTGAAAGCTATGATCACTATTCAATAAGCTTAAGGTGAACTCATCATAATTTTATGGCCATTTCACATTAAATGGTCTAAAGTCGATTTGTCCATGGTCTAAGCTACACTGTTGCCTAGTTATATTGGAAAGTGTTCACGAATGTAGGAACGCAATTCGCAAAAAAAAATTAGTCGATATAATTTGCTCAATAGAACCAGGTTAATTAATAAATACAGTAGGAATTGATTGCTTAAGGTAATTCATTTTTTAATCTAAGTGTCACCATCGAACACCTAGATAGCACTAGTTGTTCCTTTTATGCTTTGAACGTCCTCTAAATTATTCAGTGTAACCCTTGGATTATTGATTTTAATGGTGAGTCACCTCGTAGTTGTAAGGATATAATCAGAGACCTTGTATTAACTATCCGCCCATCAACTACTCTGGTTTTCGTGACGTTTTTGTTTATAAACGTCTCAAGGTATCACTAGACCATTCTACCTTCCTAATCTTCTTAACTTATGAACATGTCGACTTTATTAACTGCTTAGGAACCTGTAATTGTCCTGTATATTCACGGTAAATTTTATCTGTATTTTGATGATGATTCAACTGACGTATATAGTTAACATTACTTTAGAGTCATTTCAGCATGAACAGTTATTTTGTTAAAAATCCCTAAATCTATTTGTTGTAATATTAAAAAAATGTGTTTGTCTTCAACTCATATGCTTAATATAATTTTAAACAGAACAATCAGTAGATGCATCTACTAAGCAAACATCATGAATCATCGACTTTGAGGTAAGACATTTTTATACGAATCATTTATTGAAAATTAGTCTGATTCTAATTTATTTACACTGTACATTAACTCACTAACTATCGTACAATTGATAATTTCACAGTTTCTTAGTTGATACTGTCAATACTGTTTCTTGTATCACTACAATTTATATTGTTCAGTTAACAAATTAATCATGGAGTCTTTTTATTTGAGTGGTTAATGTTCTTCATTCTACTTCTTCTTTGTGTTTCAGCTCTTCAATCTTGTGATTCATCATCATTGGCTCCAACTATTATTTTTGTAGCTAAAGTATTTTGGACTGATAAATTACGTCTCACTTCAAATGTTACTAGTAATCCTGCTTCTAAAAATACCAAGTAATTTATTTGTGTAATTTTTCATACCTTCGTAAAAATCAATTTACGTAGTTTTAATTTATATTATTATTATCTTACCTACCAGGTACAGTTTCGTGTACCTGACTTTGAGCCACACTATGATTCTGACAGTTAGTAATGCTACCCACTTGCTCAAGCTGAAGTCAGTAGAGCGGTGTTTGAACGTGCAACTTAGTAACTAAATGTTGAACGCTTTCACTACTCAGCCGCATCTATCCACTCTACAAAAAAAGTATTCTGTTAAGCCAGCTATTTAAATGAAAATGTTCTCAATGTTAGCTTAATTAAATCTCAACATTTTGCATTTGTTGACTGTCTATTCACTTTGTACCAAATATATTTATTATCTTTTCCATTTTATTGTCCGTTAGATGTATCTTATTTGACACCTAAAAGATAAGTATTTTTTCTTCATTTGTACTACTCAGGCTGATTAGCGTTTTCTTAGCAAGGTTGTTTTCTACGGGTCGCTACTTCGAGATCAACAGTCCGGATTCCGTAAGGATCGGTCGTACACAAATCGAATCGTGACACTACGTATGACCATCGAGCAGTAAATTGAATGGGACTCGTCACCATACATCGATTTCCTTAACTGTGAGAATGCATTTTACAGTGTGGATAGGAGAACCTTATGGTACCTTGTTCGACACTATGGCGTCTCTGAGAAGATCGTCAACATCATCCAGAATCCATACGACGGACTACACTGCAAAATAGTGTATGAAGGATAGCTACCAGATGCATTCCATGTGGGGACCGGAGTCAGAAGAGACTGCTTACTCTCCACCTTTCTCTTTCTTCAGCTGGATTATTATGACTTCCACCAATATCAAAATCAGAATCTTCATTGAGAACGTCAAGACAGTCCTACTGTACCAAGTTGAGACGTGAAGAACTACTACAACCGTCATCAAACATGTACAATTATTTATAAAAAGTTGTCTACGCAAGATACTCAATGTCCTTGGTCGGATATCATCAGCAACAACCTACTGTGGGAGAGGACATACCAACTTCCAGCTAAAGAGGAAATTATGAAAAGACGTTGGAAGTAGATAGGACACACATTAAGGAAATCATCAAACTGCGTTACGAAAAGAGCGCTAACTTGGATTCTGTCGAGGACGATTTATCCCAAAAACTCATATTTGTAATTTTATCATATCGATTAACTTATCGATTAAAAGATTAAATAGCAGTCAATTGATGAACTCATTGATTAATGCTTAAAAATTTCCCATGACAATATCGATTATATATGCTTGTAGCTCTAATAGGGTTACTGTCGGTCCCAAGCCCGGGTAAAGGAGGAGGGTTGGGGATGGGGTTAGCGTCCCCATCCCGTAGAAAACTAACTCGCTAAAAAAACGCTTACCAGAAAAAATAATCCAAACCATTTTAACTCTGCCCTGGGAGTTAGAAGGTCTTCAGTTAGAAGAATTATGACGCTTCATGGTGAAAGCCGAGTTCCTTCGGAAGCCACGAGGCCGATGCCCCTTCTAACAACTAGAGCAAAAATTTTTATAGGTACATGGAACGTTCGAACGATGTGGGAAACCGGGAAGACCAGTCAAATAGCAATGGAAATGAGGAGATACAATTTAGCAGTACTGGGAATAAGCGAAACCCACTGGACCCAAGCTGGACAGAAAAGGCTAGCTACAGGAGAGATGCTGCTATACTCCGGTCACGAGGAGGACAATGCTCCACACACTCAGGGAGTCGCTCTTATGCTGTCCAAAGTAGCACAAAATGCACTTGTAGGATGGGAATCTCACGGATCCACAATCATCAAAGCATCATTCAAAACAAAGAAGGAGGGGATCTTAATGAATATTATCCAATGTTATGCACCCACCAATGATAGCAACGACGACATTAAAGATCAGTTCTACGAGCGGCTGCAGTCAACCATTGAGAAATGCCCAAGAAAGGACCTAACTATTCTGATGGGAGATCTAAATGCCAAAGTCGGAATAGACAACATTGGATATGAAGATATTATGGGACGACATGGACTGGGAGAAAGAAACGAAAATGGAGAAAGATTTGCAAATTTGTGTGCATTCAACAAATTAGTCATAGGAGGCACAATATTTCCACACAAGCGTATACACAAGGCTACATGGATCTCACCGGACCACACTACAGAGAACCAGATAGATCATATTTGCATCAACAAAAAGTTCCGAAGGACAATGGAAGATGTGAGAACCAGGAGAGGTGCTGACGTAGATTCAGATCACCACCTAGTTGTAGCCAATTTAAAACTGAAGCTGAAAAAGAACTGGACAAGTGGACAAACAGCACTACAAAGGTTCAATACAGCCTTTCTTCGAGATACTGACAAACTCAGTGAATTCAAGATAACTCACAACAACAGGTTTCAAGCCTTACAGGATCTACTGAAAGAAGAAGAAACTAGTATGGAGGACAACTGGAAAGGCATCAAGGAAGCATTAACTTCAACGTGTCAAGAGGTTGTTCTGGGCTTAAAGAAACACCATCATAAGGAATGGGTCTCTATAGAAACACTGAACGGGGTCAAAGAAAGGAAGAACAAGAAGGCAGCAATTAACAACAGCCGAACACGAGCTGAGAAAGTCCAAGCACAAGCTGAATACATAGAAGCGAACAAACAAGTGAAGAGGAGCATTAGAGCCGACAAGAAGAAATACGTGGAAGAACTAGCAACGACGGCAGAAAAAGCTGCTAGAGAAGGAAATATGAAACAGCTTTACGATACAACGAAGAAACTAGCAGGGAAATACAGTAAACCAGAGAGGCCGGTCAAAGACAAAGAAGGCAAGCCAATCACCGAAATTCAACAACAGCGTAACAGATGGGTGGAATACTTCGAGGAACTCCTGAATAGGCCGACTCCAATGAATCCACCGGACATCGAAGCAGCACACATAGATCTTCCTATAGATGTCAACCCACCAACGACGGAAGAAATTAGAATGGCCGTCAGACAAATCAAGGACGGGAAAGCAGCAGGACCCGACAACATACCAGCTGAAGCACTGAAATCAGACATCGAAGCAACCACAAGCATGCTATACCTTCTATTCAAAAAGATTTGGGAGGAGGAACAAGTGCCGATGGACTGGAAAGAAGGATACCTCGTCAAGATTCCAAAGAAAGGAGATCTGAGCCGATGTGCAAACTATAGAGGCATTACACTACTGTCAATACCAGGGAAAGTCTTCAACAGATTGTTGCTGAACCGGATGAAGGATGCAGTAGACGCCCAACTTCGAGATCAACAAGCTCGATTCCGTAAGGATCGGTCGTGCACAGACCAAATTGCAACACTACGGATCATCGTCGAACAATCAGTTGAGTAGAACTCATCACTATACATCAACTTCATTGATTATGAAAAGGCATTCGACAGTGTAGATAGGAGGACATTATGGAAACTTCTTCGACACTACGGAGTTCCTGAGAAGATTGTCAACATTATCCGGAACTCATACGACGGACTACAGTGCAAAGTAGTGCATGGAGGACAGCTGACAGATGCATTCCAAGTGAGGACTGGAGTCAGACAAGGCTGTTTACTCTCTCCCTTCCTCTTTCTTCTGGTGGTCGACTGGATTATGAAGACCTCGACATCTGAAGGAAAACACGGAATACAATGGACAGCTCAGAACCAATTAGACGATTTGGACTTCGCAGATGACCTAGCCCTCCTATCACGTACACACGAACAGATGCAGATGAAGACAGCCAGTGTAGCAGCAGTCTCTGCATCAGTAGGCCTCAACATACACAAAGGGAAAACCAAGGTCCTCAAATCCAAAGCGGAAAACAGCAATCCAATCACTCTTGATGGCGAAACTCTGGAAGATGTAGAATCTTTCACATACCTAGGAAGCATCATCTATGAACAAGGAGGTTCAGATGCAGACGTAAAGGCGAGGATCGGCAAAGCAAGGGTCGCATTCCTACAATTGAAGAACATATGGAACTCAAAACAACTCTCAACCAATATCAAAATCAGAATCTTCAATACCAACGTCAAGACAGTCAGTTCTACTGTATGGAGCTGAAACTTGGAGAACTGCTACAACCACAATCAAGAAAGTACAAGTATTTATAAATAGCTACCTACGCAAGATACTCAACATCCACTGGCCGGATACCATCAGCAATAGCCTTCTGTGGGAGAGAACAAACCAACTTCCAGCTGAAGAAGAAATTAGGAAAAGACGATGGAAATGGATAGGACATACATTACGCAAATCGTCAAACTGCATCACGAGGCAAGCCCTAACTTGGAACCCTGAAGGGAAGCGAAAAAGAGGAAGGCCAAAGAACACATTGCGTCGGATAATAGAAGCAGATATGAAAAGGATGAATTACAACTGGACGGAGCTAGAAAGGATTGCCCAGGACAGGGTTGGATGGAGAATGCTGGTGAGTGGCCTATGCTCCTTCACGAGGAGTAACAGGCGTAAGTAAGTAAGTAAGTATGCTTGTATATATACGTTTTAAATTGTGTTTGTGGGCTCTCTCGTTTTCTGACTGTTTTGCAGAATATATTTTCCATACCAAGCTTGGACTTCTCCTTCTAGATAGCGGGGCTGGAACGCATCAATAGCTAGATTACTGGTCTTTGGTCACTGAGTCTTGTTCTCGTTCGCAGATTAAGTGAACTCGTGAAGCTTCAAACCTAACAGATTCCTTAAGGGAAACGGAAAAGAGGAATGCCAAAGAGCACACTACACAGAGAATTGGAAGCAGACATTGAATCGCAGCTTCAAGAAAAGAGGTTTCTTATTAGTCGTTAGTGTCACTATTTTCTTGCTTGTTACACGCAAGTGTTTCTTCAGGAAACCCTGTGGATATCCCAATCCAATCAACATATTGTGAATGTGCTCTAATTCCTTATAAATTTTTTGAAACCAACGTGTTTCTGTGTATTGTTGAAGACAAAAATGATCATCCAGTTAAGAACTTTCACCTCACGGTGGTTTTCAATCTTATATAATTTTCTACGTAATTTCTTGATCCTGATGACAAAGCGGTGTTTCAGAGTGATTAAGATGTTTGAACCTCAGTCACTAGCTCTCAGGTTCGGAATCCGCCCCATCCATTTTGCTTTGATCAATCGGGTAGTATCATTGCCCCTCAATTAGAGTGTGGCTCAAAGTTAAGTGGTCGTATTTGTACCTGTTATAGATGTCTAACATGTTCATTATTTATATGCATGACAGATCTATGCAGTTTTCAAGAGAACTAGTCTTTGTTCATTGTTTGACCTTATTCGCCTAACTCTATGCTACTGTCGTATTTAATTGTTTGAAATATTTGTAACCTTTAGAAAGTCATTTTGAATTCTGTATTTATTCTTTTTAGACAAGAGAGTACAGATTCTGATCAGATTTCACCATCATGTGATACAGCGAATTTCGATGTAAATAATCATCCAAGTGGAATACAATCTTCTATCCCCAAACAAATTAATCTACGATCTCCTTTGTTACTGTGTAACCCATTCACAGATACTGATTTTATTGCTTTAGCTCGAGTATTTAGTGGTTCTGTTTACCCTGGTCAGAAATTGTTTGTTCTTGGACCAAAATTTAATGGTAGAAAAGTACGTAATAATTTACAGTCATAGATTCAATATTTGTAAGTGCTTTTATTTGTTAGAACGATCCAAAGTATTCCTCGGAAAATTTCAGAGGGGCCCAGAAAACGCTGGAAATTTTTTTATCCAATCAGCGTTTGATAGAAGCGCCTCAGAAACATGTAGAAAGTGAAGAGTCACGTGTTATATTTCTGAGTGGATAATTACTTATCCTGCTACTATATCTTGTATGGTTCCGGAGACTTCCAGAAGCCCGAAGCCATCTGAAATACTATAAATACCCTTGAATTTCTTTACATAAGCTAACTTTGGAGTAAAACGTCCTTTCCACACTTCGCACCTTTTCTCATATGTTCAAGTTACCCTGTAGATTTTGCATGGGTTATTAGGAGTGTTTGAGAAACGGATTCTAGCGTTCAGGTAGAAGACTTACCATTATAAAGCTGCATAGAACATTCTAATATATAACTAGTTTGATATTCTGAAATTTAATCAGTTAAGTGTGTCTGTCACATTAGTGAAGTTCACGTTCCATCAGGGGCTACAATCCAAATCATTTAGAGTATTTACAACCACAAACATTATTGTCGAGCTAGTCGAGGAGCGATTACTTCACTGTGAGACTGGTTTATGAATGGCATTCAGTCACTGAACTGTAAACAATAAAGTGATGAATAGTTTTCAGTTTTGATATATTGGATTCTATGTTGTCGCTTTGTTAACTGGCTAGTTTCTACAGTCTTTACTCATCAAATAAGTGATAACTAACGCTACTGGCTGGTTAGAACAAAATATCACTGATACGTTCTAACAACAACCTTTGTATCTTAAATTTATCTTGAAGTACCTTCCTTCTTCATGAATGTCTAAATATTGCATTTCAATGGGCTAAAGTTTTTTAATTTATCTAAACATTTTCATATATTATTCAAATTTTGGTTCCTGTTGTTTCAGGTTCACTGAACTAGCCAAGAACAACTGTTTAAATTTTAAAATACCAGTATGCATATCATGTTACATAGAGTAGCTTCCATTTTTTTAAGTTTGCTTATTTTGCTGTCAGGTTCCTTCATATCTCTTGGATACAGATCCTGAAAGTCTCCCAATTGGTCCTGTTCGTTTGCGAAACGATGATGAAGATGCTGAAATTTCATTAACTGGAAATGAAACCGGTTCAATTGATAATTTTTGCACATTTAGTCCAATAAATTCTGGTTCTTTACCTGTTAGTCGTTCAGGATCTGTTGGAGGTTCAGGCGAGTATAGATTGACTGGTCCTAAATATTTACGTCATGTTTACGTAGCTTGCGTTGTTCATATCCTTCAGCTATTAGGAGGTCAGTCGGATTTCGTTAAACTTCTCGAACCTGTACCATCTGGAAACATAGTCGGTCTTACTGGACCAGATTTAATAGCTTGTCTACCGAAATCGGGTCTCTTGGTCAGCCGACTATCTCTAGTTTCTTCATTTAATAAAACAGATAGCAGTGAAACTGAACTGGCACCTGTTCTCCCGTTAGCCGGATTAGCAGTTTGGCATGGGGCACCAGTAATTTCAGTTGCTGTTGAACCTGCATCTGCTACAAATCCTGAAGATGTTTATAGATTGGAACGTGGTCTTCGACTTTTAGATCGTGCTGATCCCTGTGCTGAGGTAAGTTTATTTTAATGTTACTATTTGCTAATAGTGAATTTATCAATAGCTGTAAAAATATAAGTTATATGTTTCATCTCTGACTTAGTCAAGATGTATTTTATGACACTAAAAAAATTCGTTATTGATTTTGACGATATTTAGCTAAGGTTTGTAGTGAGACTATAAATCAAGGAATAAATGTTCCAGTTCACATAAGCTGGATATTTTAAGGTGGTAATTACTACTGACCAAAATGTAGAGCTGAGATAAATGTGAGATTACCGTTATTAGTTGCAGTAACCAAAGGTCTTTCGACTTCTGTTTTATTTTAAGTTCCTTCCCAACATGTTTCACAATGTCATTTGACGTGGAGAGGTGATGTAATGTTGTAAAATTAAGTATTTATTTAGTACTCTTCTTACATTAACCGGGAGAGCCACCAAAAGTAATATACTTCAAGACTAAATACGTAAATCCTGCACGTGTTACATACGAGTTACGTACATACATATTGCGTGTACTAGTAATGGCCTTATTAGTACAATATACTCTATTCAGTAGATTTCCGTTCTATGAGCTGGATGGTTTGATTGTGAAGCTTTCATTGTTCTTCTGAACAACATTCTCAACACAAATGTCAAATTTCTCTATATAGGACTTAGTTTCTCCTGTCATACAGTTAAGAACGGGGCAAGAAAAACTAAGCTTTAGGAATGAAGGTATAGAATAGTTTTGAACTTGAACATTTAAGAGAAGATAAAGAATAAATATATCTACACCATTTTGACTGATTTTGAGCTATTTCTCCTAATGAGATGGTTGGGCCGCGTGTTACGAATGCCTGAACACCGATTACCACGACGTGCAATGCTAACCGGTGTTGGAGATGGTTGGAAGAAAGTTAGGGGCGGCCAAACCAAAACGTGGCATCAGTGCTTGAAGTCACTAACTTCTAGTCTGAGCCGTGTTGGTAGATGGAGACTACTTGGTTGGGGTCCGCGTGACTATTGTAAGCAATGGTTGGAGATTCTTGGTGACATGGCTCAGATTCGTTCACAATGGCGTAAGAGTATACACTCCCTGCCTTCCTTTAAACTATGAGATTAAAATCGCTTCATATCTTTCTTTCTACGAACTAATTCTTTCTTCCTGTACTATATCCTTATTGCAATCTTGTGTTAATGAGGTATGGCAACTTGAACCGATGCATATGCGTATGCCTGGTTCTACGTTGTAGCTGACTGACTGTCTCCTAATGTCTCCAACTATTAGTTACGATAATCACATAAACTTCAACTAGATGGTCTGAATATACAATTATCTTAATTTAAAATATTATTTTCTCTTTTATCCAGGTAACAATTACAGCCAATGGTGAATATATTATACGTGCTGCTGGTGAAATTCATTTACAAAAATGTATAGAAGATTTAATAAAATATTTTGCACCTGAAGTTGAATTACAAATATCTCCATTTGTTGTACCATTTCGTGAAACAATTATTGATGCATGTAATACATCTAATTCTTTATCATTAATTAGCCTGTCTAATGCATCTTATGAGAAAGCTTATATTCAATTTGAAAGTTTATTACAAAAGTTTAATTTAACATTGAATATGAATTATGATCAATTAAAAAGTCTTCATTTACAATTACCATCATCATCATTAGGTACTACAGGAGATGATGAATTAAAGCCAACTACTACTACTACTACTACTAATACTATTACTGGGGATAATTTAAAATCGATAAGTTGTGGTACACAAAAATTACATAATTTTCATCATAATTTAGATATTAATAATTTTCCTATTAGTATATTTCAATTACCTCATAGTAAACCTAGAACAAGAATATTAATACGAGTTACTGCTCATCCAATGCCATGTGAATTATTAAATTGGATTGAACATTATGGATCTTCAAAAATTTCTCAATTAATTCGAGCTTTTAAAAGTAAAGTAAGTTGGAAAAAAAAGTTCATATATCTCTTCTTTTTTTCCTGTATGAACAAATTTATAGTGCTTTAGTCATTATGAACATCAGCTGGCGTCTGCTGGGATCACTGGGTAAGTAATAGTGAGGTTAGACGCAGAGTATTAGGGAATGATGGTAAATCCATTGATGAGATTGTGAATCTTCATCGACTGGGATGGTTGGGCCACGTGTTACGTATGCCCGAACACCGATTACCACGACGTGAAATGCTAACCGGTGTTCGGGTTGGTTGGAAGAAAGTTAGGGGCGGCCAAACCAAAACGTGGCATCAGTACTTGAAGTCACTAACTTCTAGTCTGAGCCATGTTAGTAGATGGAGACTACTTGGTTGGGGTCCACGTGACTGTCGTAACCAATGGTTGGAGACTCTTGGTGACATGGCTCAGAATCGATCACAATGGTGTTGGTGTATACACTCTCTGTCTTCCCTTAAACTATGAGATTAAAATCGCTTCATATCTTTCTTTCTACAAACTAATTCTTTCTTCCTGTACTATATCCTTATTGCAATCTCTCTTTTATATATTACCAACTCTGAATTAACTACTTTTATGAATCCGGTGTCCATCTTGTTGTGTTAATGAGGTATGGCAACTTGGACCGATGCATATATGTGGCTGGTCCTACGTTGTAGCTGACTTTCCCCACTCTCGACTGTACCAGGGCATTTCGGGACATTTAAATAGGTGTTGACAACATAGTTTAGGTTCACAGAACCATCTTAACCACTAGTTAGATACTTTGAGTGACATGGCATAAAATCGTTTGCAACGGCGAAGGCGCATTTACCCTTTGTCTTCTATTAGACTCTGGGTTCCTAAATGTTATACTTTATTCATACCTACTCTTTTCCTCTAATACTACTACGACTGATACTCTCACTACATCTGCTACTGTGTTATTTACTTTAGTAATTTTATCTCGCTGTATTTCTCTAATATGACAGTTTGAACTGATGCACTATATATATCAGGTTCTACGTTGTATATGAGTCTGATCTTGTGAGAAAAAAAAATAATTTTTTCCTCTTTTTAGGCATTAAATTACACTAAACTTTTATCTGAATTTGAGCAACAGCTATCAAATATCTGTTCTCAATTAACATCAAAATGTACTACAGCATGTTCTATCAATTGGAATCAAATAACAACATCGTTGTTAGCTTTTGGACCAAATCAAACTGGACCAAATATATTAATTAGTCATTTAAATACCGATTATTTTCCATTATGTACTGTTTGGGGTAAAAAACTTAATTCATCATTGAATAATTCTACTATACATTTAAAAAATGTAAATAAAAAATCGAATATCAATTTACCAATTATTAGTTATGGTAAAGCATTGCTACGAGGTTTTCAACAGGCCACTTTAAAAGGACCACTTTGTGCTGAACCAATGTATGGCATTGTATTTGTATTAGAAGAAATTGTTGCAGAAAGTTTGGATACATTAAAATTACCAAATTATAGTAGTGACAATACTACTACTACTACTACTAATAGTAATAATGCTATTTGTCAAGAAAATAAATCGCACGAATCAAATATGAACTATGAATTAACAGCATCGTTACCATTGGAAAATTCAATGCCATCATCTACTACTGCCACTACCTATTCAACTGATAATAAACCGGATAATCAATTATTAAATAATAAATCTAAACGTAAATCAAAACGATTAACATCCATCTCATGGTTAGATGATGATGGTGATGATGAAATTGAGCGTTTTTATCACAGTAGTTCAGAAGAGCTTGACCAAGATAGTGATAATGATGATGATGAGAATTGGTGTTCTGATTCTTCAAAAAATGAAGATAGTCAATCTGATCAATTGTCTGATGTCGAGAATTCCAACGTGGCTGTCTTACAGGTAACTCTCTCTCTCTCTCTCTCTCTCTCTCTCTATATATATATATATATATATATATATATATATATATATATATATGGCTTTTTTTTAAAAGTAATTCATTCTATACGTTAAAAACCAGGAGTGACTTCAAAAGGTGATATTCATAGGTTATTAGCACTCGACCATAAATGCTTTCGAAGAATTGCTCAAATATGTTGAGATCATTAAGTAATACCAACTTGAGATTCAAGGCAGTAGGAAAATCGCAGTGATGAGTCTTTACCAGCTAATGTGGTTTGGACGTGTATTTTGTACCTCGCCTACTTCAATGTGTGATGTTTGTGTTGTAGGAGTAGTTTGGGATTGAACAGAAAGCAACAAACGGATTTTTTGGATCGATCTATGAAGTTGCTTACTGTTGAACTGAATCGTGTTAGTAGGCGCGGATCCTCTACTTAGGATCCTCGCGATTATATTCTAACCAATGCTTAGATACGTTGGTGGCATGGCTTACATTTGGTCGCGATAATGTAGATGGATTCACTATTTTTCTTCCCTTAGATCTACAGTTTAAAAATTATCTTATAATTTTTTATTTCATGGATTCATTCATTCTCAAACCGTATTGTTGATCCCTAACTTTTGTATTACCACTGATACTGTTACTGCTTCTACTACTTTGGTATCTATTTTGGTAATTTTCTCTCTCTGTGCTGATACGATATCGTTACTTGAACTGATGCATATAAATGCCAAGTTTTATAACGCTTGTAGCTGACTGTCAAACTGATGACCTGGTGAAAATAACTCAGTCTCAGTGGAATAGAAGAATATAATTGAATGTTAAGTAATGGCAAGGTATGTTTAAAACCACGTTTTATGCTTAAGTATCTAGAATGTCGTAATTTATGGATTTCCTTTTATCCGTTAAGCTGTAAAGCATCAGTGGGAACTAAAAAAATATCTATTTGGTTACTGTATAATGGTGTTGATTCATACTCACTAGTCAATTTAATCACTTAATATTAGTTGTTTAACAAATAAAAGTTTATGCACTCGGTCTTGAGCCACACTTTGTGTTGTAAACGTTCGTTTTCTCAGAAAAAAAGGTCGTGTCTGATAGAAGGTTCCGAACCTTCGTCTTACTGATTAAAAACAGAAGGCTTTGACCACCAAGCAAACTGATCCATAAACTCGATTCTAAAGTTCAATTAGTTGAGTTTCCACTTAATCATGTCCATTATACGTGACGAAAATTATTTCCTGTGTTTACTTTCATTCTTTGATGTTATCTTTTCCTAGAATCCCGAAACGGAAACTTGTTTTGACACAACCAAAGAAATTCCTTATTGGCAACGACGATCCGATATGTCATGGTTACATGATATTCCACCAGGTCTTTTAACACCAGCTATGACACGAGCCTGCATAGCTGCATTTCAATCCTGTCCATTTCAACGCTTAATGATCGCTGTATATGACTTGGAATTGCAAGTATGCTTAGTAATTATGTATTGAACTGTTTCTAGTTACTTTTTTAAAGTTTATATTTATTTACTTAATTGTACAACTCATAATATCATTGTCATGTGCTTATTAATTTACATTCCAGTCAAGAATTAATCAATATAGTCACGAATTTGTTATCCATTTCTTTACACCTTGCTTTCAGACATGAAAGTAAATCAAATAGGAAGGAACATACAGTTTAAACTTATGGAAACCAAATCTAAATTAGATTTACGAATTGATTTATGCACACACTATATTTTAGTTGACATTTCATAATATTTTATTCTTTGATCTTCATTTTCCAATTCATTCCCTTGCTTGTCAATAACAAAAATTTCAACTGTTGTTTTCCCAGGCTCGAAGTGATGTTTTGGGACGCATGTTTGGAGTTCTTCGCAGGCGATATGGCAGAGTTGTTGGTGAAGATTTTAGAGAAGGCGAAAATACTTTTGTTATTAGTGCTAGATTACCTGTTATTGAGAGTTTTGGACTTGCAGATGAAATAAGAAAACGTACCAGTGGTGTTGTCAGTCTTCCACAATTACGTCCCGGTGGTTGGGAATTGCTAGATATCGATCCGTTACAAAAAGATATGTCTTCTATAGATAGCAAAGAATCTTTTAGTGAATCGTTTCGCACAAAAGGGGGTTCCAGTAAACTTTTTCGATCGAAACTACCTATCTCAAGTCTTCATGATGGTGGTGGTGGTGGTGGTGGTGATGATGGAACTGATGAAAATATGGATGAACCCACAAGTCGAATATCTAGAGTACAACGATATATTCGAGAAGTTAGACTACGCAAAGGATTACCATTAAATGAACAATTAGTGCTTAATGCTGATAAACAAAGAACGTTAAAAAAGAATAAATAGATATGCTATTTTATAAATAAAAACAACTTGTAAATTATATTTTAGAGTTATATATAATTTTCCATTTGAATAAATCATAATCTGTTTTGATCCGAATTCACATCAATTTTCTATGTATCTTAGTATTTTTAATGACTACTACTAGCCTGATGATTGATTTTCTTGACTTTCTGTAAGGAGCTCCCATTTTCTTTTTAGGGGTTTCTTTTTGAATAATATTATCGCCAATCACTGTTGAGATTGTGACTTAATAGATATTATATTGTATTTGTTATATATTGGACTATAAGATTTAAATCTTATTTACTACATATTCAAATGTTTTCTTTTTGGCAAAACAAAAGCATTATTGATCGATAGCATTCGATCTGCACTAAGAAGGACTTGATACACAATGACATTGATCAGCACCCAGTGATCAATCAATTGTGATTACATCTCAGTCTTACAGGAGGTCGGTCGCGGCCCGGATAGCCCAGTGGTAACGTCTCTGACTGTGAAACTGGGTGACATGGGATCGAATCCGTTAGGGAGCACCAGTTCACTCAGGATTACAGGTAAACCTTGCTGACGAGTGCCAAGTAGCACGGAACCCGGGTCCAGGGGATCCTGTCGACTACCTCCAACCACCATTATTATTGACTATTATAATGTACGGTGGATATGATTCACAGTTCAGAAAATTAGCTTAACCCTTGGTAAATAAATCATTTATTGATTACTATTTTGTGTAGATTTTAGTTCATGTATTAATTCTAATCCTTGTGCAAACCGTTAAGCTCAAATCCGAGTTTACATTCTATAAATCCATACAGTTATAGCTTGTCATTCAATGGATAATCGAAGTAATCCAGATAGACATCAGTCAATTGAGAAATCATCTGAGTAAATACATGTAATATGCAATCGTTGTTGTTAATTCGTGTTTAAATTTCATTTATATATTCCACTTACGTATTATCATATCAATATAGGACAATTTGAAAGTTGCATATATGATGTATCTTGATTATATGATAATTTATCAATCTGCTGATACATAGTTTGTGTACTGTTCACGTTTCTGTCAGGAGAACTAAAGCTACAAACAAAAACAAATTTTAGATTAAATCGATAGTAATAGCTTTACAGACAAAATTTGTGGCGAGATTATATTTTATAGACAAGCCAACTAGGAGCGAGTGAGCGATTTCAAGGTCATGGTGCCTATTTCAACACCTTTTGCTCATGTATGATCTGTTTACAGCGGATTTCAAGGAGGACGTTATAGTTGAGTGGCTACAACATATGGGATTACTGAGAAGTTTCTGTATTTGTGATTGCAGTGTCCAAATGACTGCTGGACATTGTGCAGACTATCGTGACGATTTTGTATTTCGATGTAATATATGTTAGAGGAAAACATCTGCTAGAATGGGGACATTTTTCGCTTGATCCCGATTAACACCAAGACAGATTAAGATAATTGTTGTAAATTGGACAATAAAAGCACCAGTAACACTGGCTGAAACCTTTGCAGATGTTGCTGAAGCTTCGGGAGTTCAGTGGTATGAGTATGTAGTGTCAGTTGTTATGTTAAGCTCACACAGCTTATTCTAGCTTCCAGACAGGCCACTTTGTTAATTATTCGCTTGTCAACCTTGACTTTTTATGTGAGTGCATGTGTGTGCATTTCATATCTTACCACATGTCTGTAACCTATTTTTGTCTGACTATAAATATCGATTAACGCCTGATTAAATCAAGTTGTTTCATATGCGTTCTCCACTGCGTGTCATTCCGTTTCGCTCCGTCTCCTCGATTGTCCGTGCAGATCAACGATTGTACGAAATAAACGTATTTAAAACTTCGTTCTCGTATTTGATTTATTTAATTCCGTTATTCACTGACGCTATTTTAGTCGATGATTATACACGAGGATTGACGATATGTACATTTCGATAGCAATCATTTATCTGATCTAACTGGAATCAGATATTCCAGGGCCAATAAAAGTACTGTCGAGATATATGCGCAATAAAGATGGAAAGCTTGAATCAATCGTTTGTAGGAATCGGGCGAATCGTAGAAATTGATAGAACAGTTGTTAGAAAACGCAAAGTCAATAGAGCAAGAAGTGTCAATAAAGACTGGGTAAGTAGCATTTCCTTAAGTATACTTAGCAGGTCTTTGGTACATTTGATATATCATCTCAAGAAAGACACTTCCAGCACGTAAGAAACCCACAGGCTACAACGATAATACTAATTATAGCAGAGTATGTGCACTCGGGTACCATAATATACATGGATGACTAGAGAGCACATCGATGCCTATCTAGACTTGGTTACGTGCATCTTATCATCGTTAACAAGCGAGATTTTGTAGACTCCACCACGGTAGTACACCAATAATATGGGAGCAATATGGCCGACGCTAAAAGAATTTTTGCGACCTTATCATGGCTCCAGAGACCGACTGCTATGGAGTCACATGGATGAATTCCTCTACCGTACGCATTACGATTTCAGAACTGCAGAGCCTTTTTCTAACCTCGACAAGTTTCTAGACCATGTTAAAGAAGTTTGTCCTCTAATTTTTTGGTTTTGTATAATATATTACTCTATACTTTTCTGATTGGCTGAAATTTCTCAAGGGCACTTAAGATTAGTTCAAAGGTCGCCGCAATATGCATCAAAATCAGATAATTTTGCACTTGATAGATGAGTTACATTGTATTATTGATAAAGGTGTTAAGTCAACATCTTCAATACTGAGTCGTGTTGATTATTACTGTTCAAAGTTTAGATTTGACCATTCTCATTGCTTAAGATTTAAAACCTCAGGTTAATAATAATTTGCCTTCCTAAATAAGTCTTCTTGTTTAGATCTAGCCATTATCTGTTTGAACTAATCAGTCTAGTGATACATTATTTCTTGTTATTTGACTAATAGTCGTAATGTGGGTATGTTTCAATCAAACAAACTCTAATACGTGTTTAGATGTTATTTATTTGATCACAAACATTGGTCCAAGGGGCACCAAATACATATGCGCCACACAATAACAATGAGGTCAGTAGTAATCATTGATTCGTGTGTGTGTGGGGGGGGGCTATGATACTGCTCGGGTGCCCAAGGTTTAGATGCCAATCTTGAGATGGAATATTTAAGGAGTTAACTAATTGTCAACTCGTTTAGAAATAAGTCTGTGAGAGCAGAAATGAAAAGGATGAATAGCAACTGGAAAAGGTTGCTCAGAACAGGGTTGAATGGAGAGTGCTGGTGGGCGGCCTATGCTCCTCCACGAGGGGTAACAGACGTAAGTAAGTAAACATCTTTGTCAATTGCACTTAAGTCTTTCACTTGTTTTATTCAAGTTATTGTCAGTCATTACTAACGTAGGAAATAGCATGAGCATGGATCAGTCCAGGTGGCCACTAATTGGTGATTCCCTACTGTATCGTATTTTGAACTAAACATCTTAAGATCTTAATCTTGCTTCGATCTCTACGTCATCAGATCTCGTTAAAATGTGTTTTTCTATTTTACTGTAGTGTATGCATTCTTTTACTGATAAATTGGACAATTAATCTTTTATGCCTGATATCATTCATATGAATGAAATTATTTATTCCAGTTATCAAATTGTAAAATTTGCATTTTAACATGTTAACTCAGCAAAGATCAGTAATAGCCTTGGAGTTAATTAGTTACAGTATGCTCTTGCCAGCTGAAACAATATGACTTTTCATTTAAACTCATCAATATTTGCTGGATGGAATTTGAAATCAAGAAGTTGTTTATCGGAGTCAGTAGTAATTATGACAAGTAATTTTTTGAATAAATCTTCAGTGTCACATATATGTTATACTGACGGACCAATCAGATTTAGATACAAAAGGGATCAAGAATAATAAATTTTAATGGATAACTTAAAGGTTCTTTATATTTAAAATAAGAAAACTATCTACATTCGTATCAACTGCATCTTGGCTGGCTGTGGGCGGATCTTACTTCGTCAATGTTGTTTCAGAGTTATCAAAGGTCATTTGTACAGTTTGCTAATACTAACATTGAAATATATCAAGCTGAGGTCACCTTCCTATTAAAAACATCTGAAAAATCCATATAGCCCCAGAATGCCGTGGTATGGCCGAGAGTTAAGAAAATAAGCTCTTCCTCTCTAAATACTCACACATGGCCACGTGCATACAACTACTCCCAGGGACGTCCTACTCACTGCCTTCTCTCAGTACTGCTGTTGTTTACGAAATTGAGAGGGCGAAAAGCGAATGTCTAAAGCTTTAACCAAGTTGATGGGTACGGAGGATTCACTTAGGGGAATTGGAAAACCCTGATTCCAAACCCATGATGAACATGGGTCCCAGGATCCTAAGGAAACAAATGGTGTATGTCAGTCTTGAGTGCTGTTAGAGGTATGAGGGCGGTTATCACTTCCCGGTTGCCCACACCGTGGAAGGGTTCCTCTGGAGGTACCTGAAAAGGAAATTGGGTTAGAGGTGGTCTTAGTGACCGCAGTGTCCATGGGACACCTGCTTGAGGTCGGTCACACACGACCTTTTTATGGGTAATTTTTGTGTTAGCTCCGTACTTGTTGAGACCTTACTGCCGGAGACGGATACCCATGGGATAAGGCGAGGTGTGCATTTTTAGGGTGGACCTTTTCTAACCCCACCCCTCCTTGTGGGAAGACAGCATCGCCGTCATGCTGGTTGTCTGAAGGAAACACCTTACTGCTGTCACACCTCTCTACAGTCAGCAGTACGAATTCGCCTTCGGACCTTAGGTTTGTTGCTTTTAGTCTTACCGCTCTTCAACCGACCTGTCTGACATGGTAGGACCTTGAGAAACGGTTGTTCCAGCCAGTATAACTCAGTTGCTTCATCACGATAGGCAAGCCCGACCACCACGTCAAGGTAGCAACAACAGTCGGGAAACGGCGTATGAACCTATTGTTGGTCAGTGACTACTACAGAACTGCATCTCCTGACATTGCTCCACTGTCTATCTATTTGGTGCCTTCTTGTATCAACGTTTATGTGAATAATAATCAAATATTTTGTGGAAATTTCCATTCCATCATTATCATCTACAACAACAAAAAGCATATAAGGTAATTAAAATTATATTCAGACATTAGACAGATATTTTACTTCAAATTTATAATTATAAAGAATTAAATTGTACTTTTTTTTTTTTACCGTTATCGTTGATTATTATCCAATTCACAAGATCAATAAAAGAACAACAACAACAACAACAAAAGCAAATAAAGAAAAAATAATTAACTAATTTAAATTCAAAGGTAAGTTTTAGTCAAATTAGGTAATTTAAATAATAATTTACTAAGAAACAAGAAGCCATAATAATTATTAGGGTAATAAGGCATTAAGGTGTTCAATTTGTGCAGGGGTGGGGGTTGAGGGTGGGAAAAACACCATGTATAGTTGATAGTTGTTTGTTCCATTCAAACATCATTGTTTCAACTTGATGACATATATTATATAATAATAATAATAATAATAATAATAATAATAATAATAATAAATGGGAATAATATTGCTTATAGACGTAAAAGGAGTAGAATCAGAATACAATATTATAAATAATGTTAGTGAATATACTTTAATAGAAAACAAACAAACAAACAATTGGAAGAAGCATTAATCGACCAATACAGAAGTACACTTATGTGTGCAATATCTGTGTAACATGCAAATCTGTTCAGTTAACAACTATTAACAATATAAATAATAATAATAATAATAGTAAACAGTTGATTTTCTCTTTTAGCAAAGCGAAATACTAACGAAACAAAGAACAATACTGTATGTATAGTGAATACTTTCCAATGATGAATGTTTATTTTAGTCATTCTTAAAGTCAAAAAAAAAAGAAAAACATGCGAAAAGAAATTTCGGAAAAGCCTAGGGTAAAAGAAAAAATAAAACTATGAAGGATTAAAGCAATGCAAATTGTTTTGTAATAGGCATTTGTAAATTAGGTGTTTTACTGGTGTTTTTTTTTGTCGGAACAATTCACCTCCCCCCCCCTTATATATGTAAATATATATTTGTGTATAATACTTTATTGTAATGATTACATTCATGCAAAGAAATATCTATTATTATTCATTTAAAAGTACAATTATAAGCGTGTAATTATCATCAAATTTGTTATGTTGTCATGAAGGATACTAAATTTGGTGGTTGGATAAATTGTAATACAGTTGACTTTAAAAAAAACAACAACATTTGATTGAATTAGATAACATCAACAGTGAATGGACTTCCTGGTACATGTTGTTCACCCCATTTAATCATAATTAAATGACGACCACGATCACGTACAGTATAACTAATTGAATATTGACCATAACCCATATGTTTGATATTGACTTCTTCACAGGCTACAACTGGTCCAGATACTCCAACATATAGTACATCATGACCTAGAATGTTTTTTTTTGTTTTTAAGAAAATAAATGACAATAAAATGTAATGAAAATTTAATGTATGCACAGTGGTTTTAGGCATTGTAATACAAGTATCAATGGAAATTCATTTATATCAGAAGGAGTTTTGTGCAGATTGTAGTGATTTCAATAGCTGAGATCATGAGTCAATTGAAGCTAGACACTAGGTCATGGGTTTGAATCCCGAGAGGCGGAATTGTGGATGAGCACTGATGAGGAGTCCTATAATAGGACGAGACGGTCGTCTAGTTCTTCCAGGTTTTCCATGGTGATCTAGCTTCAATTGACTCATGATCTCAAATATCGAGATTCATTTGTGTTTGATGATTCACCTTGATTAAGATTTTAATTTAGCTCAACTAAATAAGCTTACTATTTATTGTATCAGATTTCTATTCAAGCTAAGTAAATATGATAGGCTGCTGATCGTTACCATTTTGATAACTATTATCATTCAGTTCTTCAGTCTGGACACCCGGTCAGTATAATAGCCCGCATACAAATCAAGTGAATTGTGTGGTTCATATGTATTCGATGCCCTTTTGTACCAATATTTGTGTTCAGATGAATAAATATCATTGACACTCAATTCATTATAAATTTTTGTGACTCAATTAAGCTTTGTTCACATACATTTATGTTTCATGTAACGTAGTGGTGTACTGAACAAGAACACCAGTGAGGTGAAACGAATGTATTTGGGCACAAAATTACAGAACATCTCACTAAATAGTTAATTCGCAAAATATCAATCCATCGTCTCAAACTTCACTGTTCCTTCTGCAAATATCAGTCCATTGTTTGATGCTTCATTGCCCATGCATTTTCATACCGTTTGCGTCCCATTTCCGTTCTTTCCTTATCGATCTTCTGCTGAAATACATTATATGCCTAACCACCGTTATATACTACTGATATGGATATAAGTAACCCACACCACAGTAGTAGTGAGTTATGTAACTATTATCGGTTCTTTTATTCAAATTGTAATATCACGAATCCAGAATACATAATATGCAATCTTATAATGCATAAATGAATCTACATTACATTAGTACATTGATTAGAAATGATAACAAACTATTCTGAACAGAAAAGCAACTAGAGTGTTCTACTTTAGATAATGTAGTGTCTATTCACCTAAATTGCTTACTATTATTTTCTAAGCCTTAATAATATATAGGTGTGAATAATGTTTTGTCAAAAGGAGCTAAAACTTATAAATGATCTACTGAGTTATAGTGGATTATCATAAAAGTTCCTAATGTAACATATATCCATAACAAAAGCTTAAGTGAAAGAAACTTTTCCTGAAAGTCTTATAACCAATGATACGACGTAAAAGAAAACCCTCAGAAATGGCACACAACACAGTAACACTTTTTTTCATTTAAGCAGTAAGGAATTCATGAAATAACGATAAGCTACCTAGTTCCACCACCTATATGTGTATTGTTGGATGCGCAATATTATGAATTGCTTGAAGTAAGAAAATTAAACCGTTACATCCCAACCGCGCTCCACCCACTTTAGTTTGGGAAGTGAGATAATGTCATTAGACTTCATCCTTATAGTGTCGCTCATACCAAAGGGACCGGTGAGTTAATATGATGAAATTAAAAAAATCAACTCAATGATGTCAACGTTAAACCTTCACCTTGAAACCTGAAGGCCCTGAATTTAATCTCTAGACGGATGGCAGATACACACCAATAAGGAATTCCATACTACAGTAAAAACGGCTTCCCAATACATCTTGGTTTTTACTTAGAACCTAACTAAAATTAGTTAATGATGTAAACAATAAAAATCATTAATTCCCCAAAAATATGTTAAACGAAATAAAATTACATATTTAATGTATCATCCAAATTACCTGCTTGTGATGCATTAACTGTAAATGTATTCGTTTCATTAAGATATGCTTGTTTAAGTCCTGGTCCAGAGCATGTAACACGATCTGGTCTAGATGGACCAAGATTAGAATGTGGTCCATTAATTAAACGTCCTCCTGTTTCTACTACAACATGTGTTGTATCAGTTGTGATTGCGTCGTGTACAGCATCTCCTGTAACAATTGCCTATTTAATAAAATATGTTAAATGAAACATTATTGTTCTATTTTGTTATTGATCAAATATCATGATACCACTTTTTTTCTTGTTATGACGTAACATTTTCGTTTACAAGTTTCTCGTGGCGGGGGTGTTGTTTACGAAAATGAGAGGACGAAAAGCGAATGTCCGGCGCTTTAACCGGATTCAAAACTAATGGTGCACATGGGCTCCAGTATCCTGCGGGAACAAATGGCGTATGAACCGATTGTTGGTCACCGGCTTCCTTACGATGCTCCACTGCCTTGTGGATCAGACCTTCAGGTCGAAAGCTCGGGGTGTGGCCCCCTAAGAAAACCACCTGCTTCGGTTTGGGCACCCGGGCAGTATCACAGCCCTCACACATATCGAATGAGATTTGTGTGGCGCATATGTATTGGGTGCCTCTTTGTACCATTATGTATGTGTTGAAATAAATAAATAAATAATTACAAGTTTATACAATTCTATCTTTGAAGTTGTGAATACAGATAAATATGATAAAGGTCAATATTAATTTTCGTGGTTTATTGTAGACTAAAATGATGATCTGTTAACAATAGTACTGTACTGGTTATGTTTGTTTTTCATCATTAACACAATCATTGAATGTTGAAGAAAACGGTTTATTTTAATATACTATTTGCTAGAAGGGGTTTTGTGGTGATTGTAATAATTTCAGCAGTTGAGATCATGATTCAATTGAAGCTAGACTACCATGGAAAACCTGAAAACAGTGGACGGCCGTTTCGTCCTATTATGGGACTTCTTAGCAGTGGTCATCCACGACCCCGCCTCTCGTGATTCGAACCTAGGACCTATCAGTCTCACGCCATATGTATGAGCCTTTTTTTCGATAAAAAATTATAAAACAGTATGTGGTACTGGGAGACCAGGTATCTTTATTGATAAATTTAAAGATATTATACATATCAGTCAGTCAGTCAGTAACAACGTAGAACTTCGTACGTACGTACATCAGTTGGAGTTGCCATACCACATTAGCACACAGATCCAGTTGTCGATTCAAATCCCGTAGTGGTAGAGGTAATAAGAGCATAAGCAGTAATCGGAAAGGTTAGGGTTTGAAGATGTCATTTAAAGAGTATAATCCAGTGAAATAAATTTGGAAAGAGAAAAAAGAGACAAGGAGGATTCAAGAGATTAGAATTTGGGAGAACACAAAGAGTGGATGCACCTGAGCCCATTGCAAACGATTTTGAGCCATGTCATTCAGGGTCTCTAACCATCAGTCGCTATCGTCTCGCGGTCCTCAAGCAGGTAGTCTACACCTACCAACATGGCTCAGTCCACTTGTCAGTGACTTCATGCACTTGCGCCATGTTTTGGTCTGACCGCCCCTAACTTTCTTCCAATCTACTCCTATACAACAAAACATAGCACGTCGAGGCAGTCGGTTGTTGGGCATACGTAACACGTGTGTCCCAGCCATCTCAACTGATGAAGTTTCACTACTTCATCAATTGATTTGCCATCCTTATCTAGTACCTGCTTCCTAACAACTGCGTTACTTACTCGATGGTCCCAGGATATACGAGCAATGTTTCGAAGACACTTATGATCGAATACTAGTAACCTATGAATATCCTCTACTCTTACAGGCCATGTTTCACTACCATTATACATATATCGAGTCTCAATAGTGGGATAAAACACTCGTGAAGTGACCAGTGCTATTTTTTCCCTCTGTGATTTCTCATCTTTGTTTATAGTGCTTGATATATTCGGTTGTTAAAATAAAGTTTTTGATTGTTTATTATTATTGTAACTTGCATTGCAGAATTTACTTGATACCAAAGTGGAAGGCAGTCATGGATGGTGTAGATTTCAGTGTTTGTCTAGATTATTAGTTTCAACTGTTTAAGTCAGCCAGCTATTCTTATACCATGTTAAGCGTTTGAATTTAGTCGTTAGGAAACTGTGCCACTAAGTTTCGTGCTAGTTGACACTCATCAGCATGGAGTAAATACAAATGTTTGGTAACCGATGTTCCCTGGTGGATTTGAACCCATGTCATTCAGCTTCAAAATCTGCGACATTACTACTAAGCAATGGTTTCCAACTGCATATCATCATAATACACACAATAGCAAGTTATTTGGACTAATATCCGCACCAACTCTTTATTGACAGAATTCAATCAGTACTTAGGTACTAGACAAAAATAATCTTTGTCACTAATCAGTGATCAATGAATTGTTCTCATAGCATCAATCAAAACGACGAATGACTTACTTGGAAAAGTGTTCGCATTTTATACTTTGATTTGACTTGTTAACTGTGGTCTGTCTTTGGTCATTCAATTTTTGCCTTCCTAAGAAACGCTCCAAGTTGACTTACTATTTTTGTTTGAAGTATACATTACTACCAATTCGTATTACGCTCGATCGTGTACTTTCTATTTACAGGAGAAACTTTCTTAACTCTTATCATCATAATCTCATCCCTATACAATACAGACGGCTACATTTTTCTAAGAGTCTAACGAAAGTTCGTGAATTTTAATGTGATATTTTGTATCTAAAATAATTGATTAATGGTATTCTAAACAATATAGTAGTATAATTTATACGAGTGATCTAGTTACGTAGGATCATAAGGATCAATTATTCATCTTGGAAAGTTTCTAATGGTCTAATGTTGGTCATCTATAACGTCAGATAATTGGATTAATATTCTAGCAGATTAATTAAATACTTAGACGAACTGTGAATACTTTAAAGAGTTTGCTAAGATCAGCCAAAACAGCAAACTTAGATGACCATAAATTAATATGATTGTGATGTTTGAGTGACCAGGAAAATTGAGTTATTGAATGAACTTATATTGTTATCACAATTGTAGATAAACGTTCTGGGGTTTTATGAAAACGAAAACATAAGTGGTGTTGTTCTTCGATTACTAGATGCAATTTCATGATCATGCCTTTTATTATTCAGCTCCTTTAGATAATCGAAGCCTGACACCTATTCTTGTTAAGTGAAACAACGGGGGGGGGGAGTCCGGTATGAAACAAATTAATTATGAATCTTTTATAATTAAAAAAAGCTTACTTTATATGGTGAACCTATAATATGTTGTGAATCACCATATTTAATACTGATAAGATATTCACCAGGCGATAATGGCAAATAAGTGAAATCGTATCCATCTGACCGTTCAGTACAATTTAATTGAACTTTACTAGGACCATCCACAGTAACTGATAAAGCACCACTTCCAGCTTGAACAGTATTTACGAAAAATCGATTACGTTCACCTGAATAAGATAAGTAGACAAATGATATTAAATTGATGGGTATATGAATAATTGGGTCTTTTTATAGAAAGAGAGAAGGTTATATGAAATTTATTTTTGTTCACGGAAAGTGAGTAAACCTTGGGTCTCTTTAACTTAATTCACATCCATAAACATAGACCATGTTAGAATTTACATGAATGGTCTTTACTATATCTTCTGGTTTCAGATATAGAAGGGAATGAAAGAAACGTTTGACAAAAAATGCGTTGTTTTCTATATCGTTCTAGATGACGTATAGTGAATATACTAAAGAATTTATTAAAGCAATAAACCAACAGACTGAATTTTCCAACAGATCTCTACTTCAGTCTTGATTCCTATGGTTTATTATATTCCTTATAGAAATAATAACAGTCCGAATGACGAAAATGGAAATTCTCTGTAGTGTATTTCTTGAAGCCTTATTAATACCAAATATTTGTTTTACGAATCAGTAAATCAACTAAATTTAATGTATAAGAGTGATAAATTTAGCCATATTTATTGCAGTAAAGATCTCTGAAGCTATTTGCCAAGCAGTCTCATTAAGTGCCTTAAATTATTCGGCTCATTCTTGCTATTACTGTGAATCTGATGAACCTGGAAGGTATTTTTTTATGAAAAGCCATGTTACTACTTACTATATTTAAGTAATGTAAAATATGTGTCAAAACTATGATGTTTAGCATAGATCGGTTGGTGATTTCAATAAAACGAAGACAAATTAAGTGGTTGTAAAAAAAATCTCTCCAATAAGAATAAGTTTTTAACCACAGTATCCTTAGTGAGTATTAATTCCTGATAAGTGAATATATTTAACATACCAACACGTCCATGAGTCAAACCTTCCCCACTGGCTGTAACATGACCAGTTTCTTCTTGTCCAACTAATACACGGAATGGACTTCCAGGTACTGGACGTTCATCCATTAGTACATGCACCAAATGTGCTCCATTTTCATGAGGTGTAAATCGTACTGCGTGCTGATCAACATCCACTTGGTGTACAAGTGCATCTGACTGTAATCCAGATGGAGCTACTACATATGCTCTCATTCTACCTGTCATTCCCGAGTAATTAACTGTGAATGCTGTTGGACGCCCAATCTATAAAGAAAACAACAGGAACAACAATATATATGAAAAAGTGGAAAATTTTAACTTGAGGGATTGTCCTTAGATTCCATTGATAATGTCTAAATTTTATCAATATAAAATCACTGAAACTAAAAGAAAGGTTAAATGTGACACTGGTATTTAGGATTTGACAACACTGTTGTCCATAACTTCTTTGTAATCGAGGATCTCAAAGCCAGTCAAACAGGAAGTCAGGATTCAAGGGGTCCAGATATATGCTTGGAAGATGGCTGATGAGTCGAGATGAACGGCACGGTGTACCCAGTTAGGACGCTTAATCGAGCGTCATCATTTAGGTTAGAGTCAGTGTCGACGATTTATAGAACTATTTATTATTGGGATTTATTTACCGCTACAAGGTTGTTCTCAAGATGTAAAAACGGAAAATATTTTAGACTTTCAAACCGTCGAGGTTATTATTTTGTCATCAATTTCTGTTCTGACGTCTCAGTGACTACAGTATGTTTACTACACCACCAACCTGAAAAAAGTGATAATCACGGTAAAAATCTGTTTTTAAAGAGAGAAAAATATGTCCATAGTTTTGGCCTTGGTAAATTGAGTCTAAAAGTTAGACGTTAATTTGAGATGTTATATTTCGTTTCATATGACTAAATTGTCAAATAGAGCTTTTCTGGTTACGAAAATGAAGTCACAAGACTTTATTTGACAACTTGTATGGATTATGTTCTATATATCATTACGTAAAATTTTTGTTGCGAAGAGTTTACTTTATGGTTAACAAGCTTGATCAGACAATAAGTATAACCTTTATTACAGAAATAACCAATAACATTGTGTTACTAATCATTATTCAATTCCCAGATACAATCAGATGGATACCCGTATAGCGAATTTTTTGAGATCGCTGTTTGTTAATTAGATCATAAACCTGTTAATTATTAGCAGTAATTCCTAAAAGTCTCCATTCTGAAGCCGTGACCAGTTGGGTTCAGCAATATAGGGGTTAAGATAGTTATCTATTGAAGACAATTGTAGACATACATGTAAACCATTAGGGGTGATCCGTAAGACCTGAAAGTCTTGGGTTCGATCTCCAGTGGGATAATGAACTCGCATCTATCTAGAGTCCCATAATAAGATAAAATAGCTGTCTGTTGCGTTCTGGTACTCAATGGATCCTTAACTTAGGTCGGTTTGTAATCTCAAAGCCATTCAAATCAATACGTTTTGTACGTTATAAACCAACATTCAGATGATTTTTTCCACAAAAAGATGATTGGAATGTAAATGTTACACTTCGAAATTTTGCTTTTTATGTAATGAAATAATGACACTTTGACATTTACGTGAATTTTAGTCTTAAAAGAGATTAGTATATTTAGCAAATAGTTGATTTTAAGTGGGGAGTATAACTACAAGGGGGTAGTTATTAAGAAATATGTTGCTATATAAAAGATTTTCAAGGTTAAAATTACTAGCCTAATTGTCATTATTCTAACATACAGGAATTTTATTACTGTATATATAAAAGTGAGTTTATACACCTGAAATCATAATTGATTTTAATTTGGATATTAGACCAGTGATTAAATTACTGAACTACCAACCTTCGGGATCAATGATCCTAAACTCTCTTCACATATTTCAATTTGGTCAACTCAGTAATATCATCAAACTTTAAAAAAAAAATTTATGACTCAAAGCCACGTACGAAAGGTCATTTTTTACTTACTCCTGTTACTCCTAATGGAGCATAGGCCACCGACCAGCATTCTCCAACCCACTCTGTCATGAGCCTTCTTTTCTAGTCCCATCCAATTCTTGTTCATTTCTCTCATGTCTATCTCCATTTCTCGACGTAATGTCTTCTTTGGCATTCCTCTCCTCCTTTGGCCTTGAGGATTCCATGTGGGGGCTTGTCTTGTGACGCAGTTCAGCTCTTTCCTCGATTTGTCTCCTGTCCACTTCCAGCAGTTCTTCCTCATTTCTTCCTGCGCTGGAATCTGGTTTGATCTCTCCCACAGTAGGTTGTTGCTAATAGTGTCTGGCCAGCGGATCTGAAGTATTTTGCGTAGACAACTGTTAATAAACACATGTATCTTCTGGATGATGGCCTTCGTAGTTCTCCAGGTTTCCACCCATAGAGTAGAACTGTCTTGAAATTTTTATTGAAAATTCTGACCTTGGTGTTGGTTGACAGTTGTTTTGAATTCCAGATGTTCTTTAGTTGTAGATATGCTGCTCTTGCTTTTCCGATCGGCGCCTTCACATCTGCACCAGATCTACCGTGTTCATCAATGATGCTGCTTAGTGAATAATTATTACGTAACCCATCTTATCAGTTTTTAATTCCATGAATCTTATGTAAACCCTGCATTATCTCTAAAATTATCACACAGTCTATATTATCTGTCTCTGAACTCCACTCAACTATTACATCACCCGTTCTAAATGTTTCCTTGATTCTAACTCCTAATCATCTCTGACCTGTTCTTGCACATATATAGTTATAATTGATAACCTTTGTCATTCCAATCCTTTACATTCACTTTATTTAATTGTTCCATACACTATCTTACTTCAATGTAAAATTTTAATACATATTTGGCTGTAAGCAGCTGATGAGAAACCACGAAATATAATGAATTCATATTATTCTACATCAATATTTGTTCTGGCTTTATTTAAAGGAACTAATTGCATGAAAAAATTGTTTTTCCGAATTACTTACCGACAGACCACGATCTTGAATACTTGTAATATTTAATAATTTAGTTTCAGGTGTATAGAATGTTCGTTCCATTGCTTCATTTATGATAACACGAAATGGTGAATTCGGTATATGATCATCATTGAAGCGAATAGAGCATAAATATTCACCTGGTTCAGTTACACGATAAGAAACTCCACATGAACCATCTTTCCTATCCTTTAGAAGATACAAGAAAATTGTTATTGAATATATTTTAAAACGATATTTAAAAACTTTTGCAAAGAATAATCTGTTATGTATAAAAACAAAGTTCATGAAAGTTTAGGGTTTTGTGGAGATTATAGAATCCTCATGATTGAACTACATCAGTTGTGTGGGATAGTCATCCATCAGATGCAATGGAAGATGATCGTGTAATATCTCAAATTGACTGACGTTAGAAGTGTACACTATTGAGTGCAGGCCTAGTAGTTTACAGATTAAGAGTTCGGGCAAAACATCAAAGGTCCTAGATTTAATCCTCTGTGACTGGATCTTGAGTCCACACTTCTGGGAGTCCCATACTGGGACGAAACAACTCTCCAGGGTTTCCTTTTATCCACTGGTGGTTTAGTTAAAATCTATTCATGTTGTACCATTGATACGATGCCCAAAGATTAGACCTAACAATGGAGTCTTCACTGATCGGATAATGATTGACCTATAAACTAATCCCCTTCAATAGCTGATGACATTTTACCATGCTTATTTTGTGTCTATGTTCTGTATGTAAGCTAGTTATAAGTCAGCTAAATTCGATGAAGCATGGAAATAGCTTGAAATACATGAGGTGGAAGTCATAGTAATGGATGTATAAAAAATTTTATATAATAGTTTATTTTATCCAACAATCAATATCCACGTATGGATGAAGGTTTTTAGCTCTTGATTAACTCCAGTTGCATAATGACGAATGAAATATAAGAGTTTATGCAGCGAATCAATCGTGTTACTAATAACAGAATAAAATAAGCCAAGTAAGAAATATGTTTAGAACATGTATATTTCATTTATTTGAATGTTAGGTGACAGATAAACAATAAAAGGTGCTGTGAACAGATAGTTGACAAGACACAGAACCCTTGAATATTATGTGACTTTCATTTTACAAAGAATATACGAAATACTAGTAAGTGTGTAGACAAGTACGTACTACAATAAGTCCGTGTATTGAAACATTAAAGCTTACAAGGGAATAATTAGCGAATCTAAATCTAAAACATTATACAGAAGGATCAATAGGTTCGAAATAACTGATCTGCCTTGAAGACAGTATAATTTACGCAGGGATCATTTTAATCTTTCAATTTCACCGTTGAAATTTCACACGTCAACAACCCGATATCGATTGGCTGACTCACTCCATAACGATCGGCCTAAATTGAAGGAATAAAATGGTAAAAAACGTGGCTAGGAAAACAAATGTTCGTTTTTTAGCTCAAACAATATTCTAAATCAACAGTGTTCTGATGAGAACTCAAGCCTAGTCAAAAGTTAGACTTCGTAGCATTCTCAACATAACATGTAGTTAGTTTAAATGTTATCTAAAAAGTATCTTAGTGAAACGCCCCCCTCAATAATCTGATACAGTCGAAGGTTGGAAGAATCATTTCTCCCGCTCCAAATACTCTCACATAGCTACACCAATACATCCATTACCAGGAAAGTCCTGCTCACTTTCTTCTCGACGTAAGGATGCTTTTTACTAAATTAAGAGGACCAAAAGTGAATATCCGGTGCTTCGACCGGGATGAAGAATATGGAGGAGCTATCTAGGGGAGTAAAAGAACTCTGATTTCAAACCAAATGGTGCACATGGGTTCCATGATCCTGAAGGAACAAATGACGTATGGACCTATTGTTGGTCACTGTGTACCATGGTACTGCATCTTCTTACGTTGCTCAATTGATATCATAATACCTTGATATAAGTATTTCTCTCATATAGTCAAATTATTCACTACCTTGCATTTATTATTAATAATAAATTGTATCATAACTAACTTCGAAGTTGATTTCAGCTTTACTTGGTCCTTCAATAGCAATTGATAAACCACCTGCACCAGCTTCACGAGTATAAATACTAAAATCATTTAATGAATAAGTTAAACCATTTTGTAATCCTTGACCGGTAGCATGTACTTTATGAGCTCCACCTTCTGTAATAGGACCAACAGTAAATTGAAATGGACTTCCTAGAAAACAAATGAAAAATAATTCATATTGTAGATTGAGAAATATTATTAGTTTTTAATTGACTATAAATGAATATACATATATATGTTTTTTACTTACCAGAAATATGAGATCCTCGATGACGTACTGAAACAGTATGTACACCCATTTCTTGTGGTACAAATTTAATGGTGTAATTCACATCATCCATAGCTAAGACATCACATCGTTGACTTACTCCTGATGGACTAGTTACATTAGCTGTCAAATCACGAATATTTATTCCTGATATATGGAGAAATAATGAAACATGTTTTAAAAAACAAACGTTAGTTTCAAAATAACTAGATCTTAAACGAAGCATTCATAGTATGGAATTGTGATAAATAGATTACGCTTGAAGTGGAATTTCATAATAATTAGTCAATATATAGACATTAACACCCGTGGATGACGGCTCAATGGTCTAGTTGGTTAAGCGCTTGACGCGAAGCTGATAGGTCCTGCGTTCGAATCCCGCGGGGTGCGGGATCGTGGATGCGCACTGCTGGGGAGTCCCACACTAGGACGAAACGGCCGTCCAGTGCTTCCAGGTTTTTCATGGTGGTCTAGCTTCAATTGACTCATGATTTCAATCTGTGAAATTTCTAAAATCTTCACAAACCCCTTCTGACAATATATAATCAGTTGACGAGTGTATAATTTATGGATGAACCAATCAGATTTAGGACAACAGGTCTCAGATTTCGGCGCGAAATTCACTCATTCATTTGTTCAAATAGCGTCTTGGCATTTAAGCTGATGTCAGTTCGTGATAAAAACCATAAATCTAAATCCTAACCGTTACCATCAACTGTAAATCATTATCTTAATTCTTCAGACTGCTTTATAACTTTCATTTAGCCCTATTAAGTAGGTAGATACTTTTAAGGTCACCTTGACGTCGCTCAAAAGTCTTCTATAAATTATGGTCTCATCGGTGATCGTTGGTGTGCGCTGTTATTGTTAATTCAACTTTTACTTCTTTCTTATTATGACAACTATCTTACAACCAATTTCGATTATGGTTAATTTTGGTTAAGCCCTTTTATTATTAAATTACTTAACACAGAACGTTATTAAAACAGTAACTATTCGCATATTTCCTTGTACCGTTATGATCACTAGAGCACATAACAGACTCAAGTTAAAATGTTGATTACTTAAATATCACTCGATGATTTATCCTCCTCCTCACCCTCCTCATGCATATATGTACTCAAATCCTATTATTAGCTTTTGCTTTGCCTTCCTGCGCCGTTATGCAATTTGACTTTAAATCTGCCTATTTAATTGATCGCATGTACTCATTCGCCTCTCCGCTTCAAATTCACTTGACGTGTATTGGGACCCGAGAAACATAATGAATGATAACTTTGGGATCCTTTATGGACCAATACTAAACGTATATTTATATTGTATAGTTATTAAATAACTAAACTATTTATATTCATGTTCCTCTTATTATAAGCTTTATTTTGACCCCTAAACTATTATTATACGTTTTACCATTCTTGAGTTATACTCAGTATATTAATTACTACCCCCCTCATTCACAGCCACATCTGGTTGATTCTTGTACAAATGTTGTTTCATATTTTATTGGTACGTTGTGGTCGGTTTGATTGCTATATAAACTCAGTATGCTTGAAATATAATGATTCTTATCTCAGAGGCTGAGACTTGCGTTCTGGACTTAACTGGCTGTGCTAGGCAGAAAGTAGAACCAATCAGGACTCCAGGTTGTTCTCACGTGTTTTACGCGTCTTTGGTCCGATCGATAATTCGCTGCCATCTAATCTGCAGTCACAGTTATAACACCATGCTTATAGTTTTGTCATCTGTGCTATCCGCTAACAAGTTGTGTTTGCCGCTTCTCATTGCCTTCTGATTTTAATCACCGTTTAAATTTATATTATAACGGTTATTGAGGTGATCGGTTAACGAAGTAAAGCCGCTACGTTATCAAAAGTTATCGAATATACCTAAACCAAAGGAATTTCCACCTGAGTCTGTTCATTTCTATTCTTCTTCCTAACAAGTATTTATGTATTTAAATTTTACAGTTATCTGAGTTCAATTTTCCACTCAACTCTTTTACAATATGTTTATACTGTAAATAAATTCGAATTAGATTTACCTTCACCTTTATATTTTGTATATAAGTATGACAAAATGTGGTATGTGCTATTGATGTCGACAGATATAAGTAGTATATAACATCAATCAGAAATGGAAGGCTTGACAGCAGAAAAATGAAAAGAGTGGATCAGGAAGAATGGGAACAGATAGTAATCGTTATAAAAAATGAAGGAACAATGAAAGTTGAGACAATTGATGGAATACTTACAAATGAAGTATTGTTATGACGGAATGAAAAGTCAAATTTTGATTGATCACTCAGTATAGTATTTGTTTCGTTTTACCCTATGACATTTTATTCTGTATAATATATATCATTTATTCTGATTATTAATCAAAAATGGGTGTACAAACCAATATATAAATGAGTGTATTTCCGATAAGACAGGTCGGGATCGCTCGTACTTCTGGATACTTCCCCGCTCCAAATTTCAACTACTCTCTCTAGTTAGCGGAGTCGTGACGCATCAGAACATCTAGCTTATTGGTCTTTCATTATAGAGTCTTAGTTCCGTTCGCAGACTAGGTGAACTCGTAATCACATTTTACCAAAGAACTCTGTAATTTGGTAATGAAATACATTTCGTTATCCCCATTTGTGTTCTCGTTCATTACAATACTACTGAACAGTTATTTTATTTCTGAATATGTTCTTATTTAGGATCGGTCGTCGTGACCAATCGTTACTTATTCATTCTTACATTATTTCAAACAAGCAATAACGTAGTCATAAATAGACAATATTTCTCCTTTGTTACAAAGTTGAAGTAACTTAGAGTAAACAAATAACACACACACACACACACACACACCGTTTTTTCAGTCTCTTTAGATAGTCTACTTATTAACTATGTTTTAAGCATTTATAATTAGTAATAATGATTTCTCATAGAGTTATACATACTCTCTCTCTCTCTTCCTTATTTGAGTATTCAAAAATATACAAGAGAACTAATTGAGTTTGGGACCAGAGATTTTAATAATTAAAATCTTAAACAAAGAAAATTCAAGCTGAGGGAAATGGAGGTGAATATGAAAGCTTAGCGTGAATCTAAGTAAAAAAAAATAGTAGAAAAACATCAGCGAAATTACTGACGTGAGAAAGAATAATCTTTTTTTGTTTTGTTTTGAAAATACTGATTTTCTAGTCAAACTACCTTGTACTTTTTATAAATAAATAGTTATTTTCAATAGTTGAATTCATGAGTCAATTGGAGATAGACCAACATGGAAAACCTGGAAGCATTGGACGGAGCTGTATGGGACTTTTCAACAGTGCGCATCCACGATCTGACCTTGCGAGCTTTGAACCCAGGATTGATCAGACTCGCGCGCAAGCGTTTAACCTTTGTTGTGAAACAGTAACCCATTGAAGACAATGGTGGACGGTGGCGCAATTTCATGGATGGATTGAAGTTAGACATTAACACCATTTTATGCCGGCCAGCCCAATGGTTTAGAGATTAAGCGTTTGTGTGCGAGACCGGTACGTCCTGGGTTCGAATCTCGCAGGGGGCGGGATTGTGGATGCGTGCTGCTGAGGAGTCCCATACTAGGATGAAACAGCCCTCCAGTGCTTCTGGGTTTTCTATGGTGATCTAGCTTCAATTAAGTCATGAATTCAACTATTAAATTATTAAATTACTTCCTGATGAACAATACATTCGTGGGTTTAGAAGATAAATTGTTTTCAAAAAATGTCTGATCGACTAAAGTATCATTAGTGTATAGTTTGAGTATTAAGTAAAGACTTTGGTTTATAATTCCAACAACTGGTGTTTATTACGTCTAAAATCATAGAATGCAACTTAGATATGTATCATATTTTCTCAGCCGATGTTTAACTTCATTCAAATCAGGTGAATAAGATTAAAAAAGTGAAACTTAAAACAGATTAGAGCACAATATTACATCAGCTCATAGAATAGCATATCACTAGTTTAATATATTTTGAGAACTTCATGATATCTGATTGAAAATATAGGAGTAGAAGAAGTAATAAACTATCCTTTATCTCCACCGGTATTATTCTCTAATTTGATTTTGTTATTCTTTTTAAACCGTTTAATCTAAAAAGTTGGCGATATATCAATGAAAAGCTTTCTAATTGAACACTGTGAACATGGATCATTCATTCACAATAGACTCAGTATTCGAAAGCATCTAACATGCAAATGAAAACCTAATAAAGAAGCCTTTGTTATACGGTCAAAACAATTTGAACTATACATACTAACGCAAATTATTAAACCAATTTTCTAACACTATTACCCCTCATTTTATCCACCTTCTTTATTGAATGTGAGACTACAATTTATGGACGACCTTTACGTGACGCTAGACGGACCTTGAGAAAGTCCACTTAATAACTAGGACCAAATGAGTATTATAAACCTGTGTGACGAATTAGAATTACGATTTACAGTTGATGATTAAGGCTAGGAATTAGATTTCGGGTTTTCATCACGAACTGACATAAGCTATCATCCTAAAACTCTGTTTATCCAAATGGATGAATGGATTTCGCGCTAAAATCCGAGACCTGTTATCTTATACCTGATTTGTTCGTCCATAAATTATAGTCTTGCCACATTATGTTCTTCTGTCTAACTTGTTTTGGTTTTGAAAACACAAGCATCTACTTATATATTAATAAAAATGATCATAGAATAATATGTAAGTTAAGAATTCACAAACAAATCACTGTTGGTTCATTGTATTATAAAATGATTCATTTAGTTCATTACTGATAATTGTTATTTACCTGGAATTTTTAAATTTAATTCACATTGACTGCCTACATATGTTGCATCAGCAAGTTCTCTTTGTCGTGTAATTCTTTCCATCATTCTAAGTGATGGTTCACCACCAATATGAACTACAAAAGGACTGCCTGGTACTGGTTGTTCAGCGTATTTAACATTAATTATATATGTTCCAGGTTCAGTTGGACGATATGTAACCAAACATGTACCATCTTGATTATCATGGCATTCAATATCTGCTTTACTTGGTCCTTCAATTGATAGATTCAAGCCACCGTAGCCTTCGAGTAGTAAAAAAAACATAATTTAAGCATTTCATTTGAAAGTTAAATTGTGTGTAATGTGTTTAGTAGAATAATTCGTTCTGGTTTATTGTTTATTTATTGCTTCATTTCATATTTACACACAAGTATTTGCCCGTTTGTTATTCACTTTCCTCCCTCTACCTAACATCATCAATTCATTCATTACATAAATTCTCTTAAGAATAACTTGATGTCACATAATTTAATATACTACTCATTCTTGTGCATACACTTTTGAATATCAGTAGTTTATACTTAAAATCTTATTTCGGCGGAATACGGATATATGCTTGACCCGCCTGTATTACTGGTAAAAATTGAAATGTACTTAAACGATCATGATTAGGTTCTTTTCTGAACTAGGATTATTCAGTTGCACAGAAAGGGACAGACAGATAGAAGTAGATCAAGTCAATTTAAACCAGTAGCTCAAATTTTAAAGCTCAAACAAACTATGTAATTGGTTTGAGGCATAAAATTTATAGCTCAGAGGCCAATGATGACAACAGAAACTTTTAAATTAAATTATCTACCCTGTAGTGACAGTTATTATGTTAAGCCCATATACCTTATTCTAGCTTTCAGAGAGCCCATTCTATTCATTCTATTTGAGTCACATTTTGACCATATTAGTTATTCGCTTATCAATAATCACTGTTTTTATGTGAGCGCTTATGTGTGTGTGCACTTCTTACCCCATTACTCATCACATGTCTGTAACTTACTTTTGTGTAACCGTAAATATTGATTAACGCTTGACTGAATAGGAGTTGGCTTACGTGCCATCTCTTCTCTCTATTCTATTCGGTGCATATACAAAATATATGTATTCAAAAGTCCGTTCTCGTTATTTGACTTATTTAATTCCATTATTGACTAACGCGATTTAAGTCGATAATTATATACGAGGATAGGCGATAACAAACATTCATACGATCTACTTGGAGTCAGATCTCGGGTCACTAAAGTGGAGAGCCCCTCAACGAACATCGTCCGATCTAAATGACGAGCCTCATAACCTCAGAGAACACGACTTCTAGGATTTTTATTCTCAGAAGCCATATCCCTGGAGAAAAATTTACTGCTTTTCGAGACGTAATAACAACTGTTTGTTAAAAAAAGATTTCCATCTAGACCATTACATCAAATATATTCGTGGAATTAGCAAAATGGCATCAGATTGAGTTAGAAGTTTTCTTCATCTCAATCTTAAATTACTTTACAACATAAATTTTATCGTTCGATTTCTAAATAATCAAAATCTAATGGAGATAACCATTAAAAGTTATTCAAATGATGGCTTAGATAAACTAGTTCACTACTTAGGATAATAATATGGGAGAGCTAAGATCAGTATGTTAACCGTAGGAACTGATGTCAGCTGTAAAACTGTCAAAAAATCATAGAGCATAAGATTCTCTAATACGATACTAGTTACGTTAATAATGTTTAACTAATAACAAATACTAACGATAATGTATTCTTTTTAAACTAATTATTTTACGTCAAGTGAATGGATAATTTTACTGCCTGAAATTTTATTACTAAGGATTCTGTTTCATGTCTACAAAAGTTAATAGGATTTGTGGATTTTCTTACTAATAAACAAATTATTCAAAGACTCTTCAACAGTGAAATCAATTTTGAACTACTTTCACCCCTAATGACTAACATTTGTTACATTACGCCTGTTACTTTTCGTGAAGGAGCATAGGCTAACCACCAGCATTCTCCATCCAACCCTGTCCTGGGCAATCCTTTCCAGCTCCTTCCAGTTGTAATTCATCGTTTTCATATCTGCTTCTATTTCCCGACGTAATGTGTTCTTCAGCCTTCCTCTTTTCCGCTTCCCTTTAGGATTGCAAGTTGGGGCTTGCCTTGTGATGCAGTTTGATGATTTGCGTAATGTATGTCCTATCCATTTTCATCGTCTTTTACTAATTTCTTCTTCAGCTGGAAGTTGGTTTGTTCTCTCCCAGAAAAGGCTGTTGCTGATGGTATCCGGCCAGTGGATGTTGAGTATCTTGCGTAGGTAGCTATTTCTAAATACTTGTACCTTCTTAATGATGGTTGTTGTGGTTCTCCAAGTCTCAGCCCCGTACAGTAGAACTGACTGTCTTGACGTTGGTATTGAAGATTCTCACTTTGATATTGGTTGAAAGTTGTTTTGAGTTCCATATGTTCTTCAATTGTAGGAATGCGACCCTTGCTTTGCCGATCCTCGCCTTTACGTCTGCATCTGAACCTCCTTGTTCATAGATGATGCTTCCTAGGTATGTGAAGGATTCTACATCTTCCAGAGTTTCGCCATCAAGAGTGATCGGATTGCTGTTTTCCGCTTTGGATTTGAGGACCTTAGTTTTCCCTTTGTGTATGTTGAGGCCTACTGATGCAGAGACTGCTGCTACACTGGCTGTCTTCATCTGCATCTGTTCGTGTGTACGTGATAGGAGGGCTAGGTCATCTGCGAAGTCCAAATCGTCTAATTGATTCTGAGCTGTCCATTGTATTCCGTGTTTTCCTTCAGATGTTGAGGTCTTCATAATCCAGTCGACCACCAGAAGAAAGAGGAAGGGAGAGAGTAAACAGCATTGTCTGACTCCGGCTTTTACTTGGAATGCATCTGTCAGCTCTCCTCCATGCACTACTTTGCACTGTAGACCGTTGTATGAGTTCCGGATAATGTTGCATCGTAAAGCTGTTTCATATTTCCTTCTCTTGCAGCTTTTTCGCCGACGTTGCCACTTCTTCCACGGATTTCTTCCTGTAGGCTCTGATGCTCTTCTTCACTTGCTTGTTTGCTTCTACGTACTCAGCTTGTGCTTGGGCTCTCTCTGCTCGTGTTTGACTGTTGTTAATTGCTGTCTTCTTGTTCTTCCTTTCTTTGACCCCGTTCAGTGTTTCTATAGAGATCCATTCCTTATGATGGTGTTTCTTTAAGCCCAGAACAACCTCTTGACACGTTGAAGTTAATGCTTCTTTGATACTTTTCCAGTTGTTCTCCATAGTAGTTTCTTCTTCTTTCAGTAGATCTTGTAAGGCTTGGAACCTGTTGTTGAGAGCTATCTTGAATTCATTGAGTCTGTCAGTATCTCGAAGGAAGGTTGTATTGAACCTTTGTATTGCTGTTTGTCCACTTGTCCAGTTCTTCGTTAGCTTCAGTTTTAAATTGGCCACAACTAGGTGGTGATCTGAAGCTATTTCAGCACCTCTCCTGGTTCTCACATCTTCCATTGTCCTTCGGAATTTTTTGTTGATGCAAATATGATCTATCTGGTTCTCTGTAGTGTGGTCCGGTGAGATCCATGTAGCCTTGTGTATACGCTTGTGTGGAAATATTGTGCCTCCTATGACCAATTTGTTGAATGCACATAGATTTGCAAATCTTTCTCCATTTTCGTTTCTCTGTCCCAGTCCATGTCGTCCCATAATATCTTCATATCCGGTGTTGTCTATTCCGACTTTGGCATTTAGATCTCCCATTAGAATGGTGAGATCCTTCCTTGGGCATTTCTCAATGATTGACTGCAGCCGCTCGTAGAATTGATCTTTAATGTCGTCGTTGCTATCATTGGTGGGTCCATAACATTGGATAATATTCATTAAGATCCCCTCCTTCTTTGTTTTGAATGATGCTTTGATGATTCTGGATCCGTGAGATTCCCATCCTACAAGTGCATTTTGTGCTACTTTGGACAGCATAAGAGCGACTCCCTGAGTGTGTTGAGCATTGTCCTCTTCGTGACCGGAGTATAGCAGCATCTCTCCTGTAGCTAGCCTTTTCTGTCCAGCTTGGATCCAGTGGGTTTCGCTGATTCCCAGTACTACTAAGTTGTATCTCCTCATTTCCGTTGCTATTTGACTGGTCTTCCCGGTTTCCCACATTGTTCGAACGTTCCATGTATCTACAAAAATTTTTGCTCTAGTTGTTAGAAGGGGCATCGGCCTCGTGGCTTCCGAAGAAACTCGGCTTTCACCATGAAGCGTCATAATTCTTCTAAATGAAGACCTTCTAACTCCCAGGACCGGCAGAGTTTAAATGGTTTTGAATTATTTTTTCTGGTTAGCGTTTTTTTAAGCAAGTTAGTTTTCTAAAGGATGGGGTCGCGAACCTCATACCCAACCCTCCTCCTTTACTCAGGTTTGGAACCGGCAGTAACTCTAGATGAGCTACAGACGGAGTTCCTTATGATGAAACTGAACATTATTTCTAATATAATTGTGTGTGTGGGTAACTTTTCACACAAATCAAACTTGGTAAATTTGTATACCAAATGAAGTTTGTGCAATTTCTATAATTAGAATATCCAAATTACTTGATAACTTTGCTTGGAGCCCCTCTGGCGCTACTGCCGGTCCCAAGATCGGATAAAAAACGAAGGGTCGGGCATGGGATTAGCGACCCTATCCTGTAGAAAACTAACTCGCTAAAAAACACTAAGTCTATTACTTGATAATTCGTCATTAAATAGCAAATTATTAAAAAAATAAACTTAACTAATATTCTGTCAATTAAGTTGCAATGTAGCTAATAGACTAACTCACTATAAATTGAAGCGCACCTTGTTCAATAAAACATAATCAAAGGATGAAGTACTGGATCTCGACTCAGTAGTTCAAACATATAATGTTTAGTAAGAGATTTGTAAGCTACGAGTTTAGTTCACTTTTGGAATTGTTGTTCAATGTTAAATAGTTCTAAAGTAACGACATAATCGTTTGTTACACACACACACACTCTCCCCGTATACATATACAAAGTGAGAGTAAATTTGAACGAAAAAAACATTTATTTAATTATCAATAACCGAATTCATTTTTAATTAATAAACTTACCAGCATTTCTTGTATCCACAGTGAATTGACAATTTTGATTTGCCATACCTTCTCTTAATCCATTACCATAAATACGAACTTTCGATGCATTACCAATTTCATTTTCACCAACATAAATTTTAAATGGACTATTAGCAATATGTCGACCATTACGGAATACATTAACAAAATGTTCACCAATTTCATGAGGTGTAAATGAAATACCTAAGATATAAGAATTATAAATTATTTATAAATAATTAAGATTATGAGAATCTAAGGTTTGTTGAAGTTCTTTCATATGAAAAGTTTATATTGACTGAAAAAAACATCTTCCAAATTAGAAATCATTGAATTATTGTTTCTTCTCAGTTTGATAATTAAAAGAAGAAAACATTGTAGACTTTTGTCTGTTACTTTTCACAATTGATCGATCACTGAGTAGTGATCAATGCCATCTTGGTCACGTCCTTCTTATTGTAGATCGAATGCTATCCATCAAGTTCCGATGTGGCCACCAATCTAGGTGACTCTACATTGCGTGCACTATGTTTGGATAAGATGGTGATTGTAGATAGTCGACGGGAAACCCTGGGTCTAGATTTCGTACTACTTGGCACTTGTCAGCAAGGCGTGCCTGTAATCTTGAAGGAACTGATGCTCCCAGTGTCACTCAGTTTCACAGCCAGAGACGTTAATACTGGGCTATCCGGGCCACAACCGACCTTGTTGACAAGTGCCAAGTAGTAAGAAACCTAAGTTTAGGGTTTCCCGTTGAATACCTCCAACAACCATCTTGTCTGTGACTTTTATTTGTGATGAATAAATTAGTAGTTGTTTGAGTAGATTATAGATAAATCTGAAGATTACTATCGTATTATAATTTCATATATACTCATTTAAGATATTTATTATATTTAAACTTGTTTTGATAAAGAGGAACGATATCTTTTGAATAGGGATAAGTTTTTTTGAAACAATGAACTGGGTATATAGATATCATTAACAAGGTTTGAATTGATAATTTCGAATAAATTGAGCATTGGATAGATTGTCATAAATAAGATAATATATTTGTAGTATCCCAGTGAGTAGAAAAATTAGATTTTCTGACGTTTCGCGACTTTGTATAAGCTACTTCTTCAGAGAATAAATAGCCAAATCAAAATTAATCCAAGTTTAAATAGTACAAAGGAACAATGCAAGAATATTATGTTTTTTAATTGAAGAAGTGGCATACACTTAGTCACGAAACATTAGAAAATCTCATTTTTTTACTCATTAGGATATCTACAAATATATTACTTTTATTTAGATTGAGCTGGGTACTCCTGTTTTACTTACACTATCAGTACGGAAAATTTAAAATTATGCTTTTATCAACAAGTCAATTTGTAAGTAAAACATTTCAATGGTTGAGATCATGAGTCAGTTGATGTTAGACCACGATGGAAAACCTGGAAGTACTGGACAGCAGTTTCGTTCTATCGTAAAACTCTTCAGCAGTGCGCATTCACGATCCCACCTAACGAGATTCAAACTGAGGATCAATCAGTCTCGCGTGCGAGCGCCTAATCACTAGACCACTGAGCCGATCGACATCCAATTGTGTTAATATCTAACTTCAACTAATCCACGAAATTGTGCGACACATCCACTATTGTTATCAGTCAGTTACTATCTTACAACAGACTTGGTTGAACTCTACTGGTCACTGCTTCGCACTAGAACTCCAAGAAATACCTCTTGAAGCCAGTCACTAATGAGTATATGTGAATATTATAGTAATTTCAATGGTTAACAACATAAGTGCAATTTCAGTAAAATAATTAAAGGAATAGTATTATCCAACATGAAAATAGAAACTAACTGTTTTACTGAAAAAGATAGTAACAATTAAAGTTGTTGTTGTTGTTTTTTTCTTCCCAAATTTCTGTCTTATTTACCCATTTAAGATGAGCATAGTAAACGTTTCTTATATTTAAAAAATGATTAGTATTGTCATTTTAAATGTTACATAACAATTTAATAAACCGACAATTTGAAAACAAGAACAAAAGCAAAACCAAAAAAAAGAAGAAAAAAAAGGAAAAAAAAAAGGAACTGAGAAAAACTAAAGTCTATTTTGAGTATTTATATGCTTAGTGATAAAATTTTGTTACATTTTCCATTAACTTTTTACAAAACACATTTCAAATTGAAATTTAAACTTATTTTATGTTTGGTAGTTAAGAATGTAAAATTCTTATTGCGGTTTATTGAAACAGTCAAACATTTCATTTGAACATTATTTATAATTATTTATTCATTTAATAGTTAAATTCATAAGTTAATTGAAGTTAGATTACTATGGGAAACATAGAAGCACTAGATGGGGTCCCTCAACAGTGTACATCTACTATCCTAATCATGAGGTTTGAACCCAGGATCTACCGGTTTCGTACACAAACGCTTAACTTTTAGACCATTGAGTTGGTATCTAACGGTGTTAATGTCTAACTTCAACTAAGTCATTTTCAATAGAGCTATTGTTCATAGAATATGTAGGATTAGGCTGAAAATAAATTTTGATCGTTTAGGCTTTTAGGTATTTTCCCTAAATTGCTGCCAGAATTATTATTAAGAATAAACATGCTACTAATGTATGAAATTCAGTAGTTCAGGATTTCAAGGTTTTGAACTTTTCACCTCTTCGAAGTCGGTATGTAATGTAACTAAAAAGAAAGACAACTATGTAATCAGTGTTCTTTTATTAAAAATATTTAATTACAAATATTCAGTTATTTGCCCTGAACAGTCCAGCCGTATTTTAAATGTTAACATTGACAAAATCACTATGGTTAGAAAAGTATTTTTTTAGCAGTCTACAGCCACAGTTCCAGCGGAGGAAAAAATCAGGAAGAATTGCTGCAAGTGGATAGAACACATATTGAGGAAATCGACCAACTGAGTCACAAGGCAAGCCCTCCCATAGAATCTTCAAGGCCAAAGAAAAAGAGGAAGACCAAAGGACACATTACGCCAGACATGGGAACAATGAACAAAAATAGGATAGAACTAGAAAGGAAGGCCTAGGACAGAGTGTGTTGGAGGATGCTGGTGAGCGACTTATGCTCCATTGAGAGCAACAGGCGTTAGTAAGTAAGTAAGTAAGTAACAGTCACAGTTCAAAAATAGTTGGTGTTCTTGAGTCAAGTGGACGGGCTAGGCGGACATAGGACTAATAAGGACGCTAGACTGTTCATACCGGTTGAACGTCATTGGTTTTGGCACAGTGCGAAGATTGTATAAGTGGTATTCTGATTGGTAGATAAATCACGTGATAAAAACCCGGACATAAAGTCATAACAGTTATGTATAAGAACTTTCATTAATCATAATGTTTCAATTTACCTAGATGTCCGTTTGGTAGTCTTTTTAATGTTGATGGTTGTTCAAGTCCAGATGGGCTACGAACGGTTGCAACAAGATTATAAATATCTGTTTCTGTAATACGCAATGGCATTTCACTGGTAGTACCGACACAAACTTGATTGAATCTGCGTGATTCACCTGTAAAGCAAAAAACGAGAGGTTTTTCAATGTAGTATGTATCATAAATTATGTTATTTTTCATTGGTACAAAGCAGTTGTAAGATTAAAATACTGGTGACTCAAAACAATACTTAGGTTATTAAAGTTCCTTTAGAAAAAAATGGGATCAAACAGTCTTGTCTCCTCCGAAGTATTCCAGAATCGCAGCAATATATTTATCTTGGTGTCTGAATTGCAGTCCAGAATTACTATTTAATCTGTAGGTGCACTTACGTGACACAGGTTCTATCTCATTGATATACGTGATACAAACAGTTGTTCGAAAGGCCTCAGAACCTCCAGGTAGAAAATAGAATTCTGTGTTTATCTTCTATTAATGATATTGAATTTCCTTTAAAAAATACAAATTATGCTTTTTTCGATCACTTCTTTGATTTATTTGAGTCCCACAAACTACTAATAATGAGATAGAGCGAACCTCTAGCTACAGAATGAATAATCAAAACCATTTTATATAAAAACTACATTAATCTACGGATCCTCTTTAAACTAACGAATGTTAGGCTTGACTTCATTTTGCTCAGAGAGCTTTGATAATATCGTTATTTGAGTAATCCAAATGTTTCATTATATATATGCTTAGTATTAGCTTCTTCTTGTAAGTCACAATAGCCTATGAAAAGATTAGATCCATGAAATTGTATAATCTCACCAGTGACATTTGATGATGAAATTCATTGATATTCAGGTTGCTAGTTGAAATGACAAACATTACACTATTTGGATTAAATTTTGTTCACATAATGTCGTAGTTGGAAGAGACGAAACTGATGAAAACTGTACATGATAAACAGAGAAAAGTACTATATTACTTCTTCTAGGGTTTGAACCAACTCTACCCAAAGTTAAGTTTAAAGTACGCTTAAAGTATGTTCATGTATTTGTTTATGAACGGTTTATAAGTTTATCATATTTTTCTTATTACTGATAGAAGTATGTCAATCAAGAAGGATAATATAACTATTAGGTATATTGATGAGATCGTGTGAACGAAAATACAATACGAGAATAATGAATAATTAAAGAGATTGTTCCATATCCTTATGTCATAGATACACAGGTAAGTCACAAGACAATATCTAATTTGTTTCCGTATATAATCATAATTTTAATAGATTTGCAACACTTTTTAAATGTCAGTGTAGGGTTGTGGAGATTATTAAGTTGAGATTGATATAGCAAATGGACGAATGTTAGACCGTCATTGACGGCCATCTCGTCCTAATATGGGACTCAGCAGTGCGCATCCACGATCCCACACCCCGCGGGATTCGAGCCCAGGACCCATCAGTCTCGCGCTAGGCGCTTAACCAACTAGACCACTGAGCTGGCATCCAACGGTGTTAATGTCTAGCTTCAATTGACTCATGATTTCAACAAGTGATATTTCAGTAATTAGCATAAATGAATAACTTGATAAATATCTTAATACAAACACAAATTATGATTATTATAACATACCGGTTATATGTGCTGTGAATGGTGAACCAGGTATATGATTCTCCATGAATTTAATCGATATTGTATACTCACCAGGTACTAGTGGTAGATAGCTTACACTACAAGTACCATTTTTATTATCATCACATTGAATATCGGCTTTGGATGGTCCTTCAACGGAAAGTGATAATCCGCCTTGAAATCCCCCAGAAAAAATTGAAAACAGAAAATATTATCAAGTTAAATTTAATGAAAACGGTTTTTGATACTTACCGAGAAGGTATTTTTGACAAAAAAACAAAGGGGAGTAACCAAGTTCCCAGAAATAAATGATATTTAACAAAACGGCTACTGTTATTCCTATCACAAAGTGACCTAAGTTCTGAAACCATTCAAAACCAAAAAGCACTGGACAGCTGTTCCTTTTTAGTGTGAGATTATACCTCGTTAGTGTCAACTAAGGATCGGACTTAGGAACTACAGATAACTTTGTGAGAACTTGAATCTTAGACCATTGCGTAAGAATTCATTGATTTATCTGTGTGACGTCCATCAATTCGATTTATTTAGAAACTATCTTCTATTGTATCTAGTGGATAACTGAAAATTGATGATCTTGCAGAAATATGGTTTTGTGTATTACCTCAGTTATTTGCCAAGTGCAGTAGATGAAATAGCTAATTATTATGCATTCTTATTTAACAATTTCGTTTAAACACTTTCTTAAGGGAAATTATTAACAAAACCAAGCTAAATACCGTAAAATCACTAAAGATATTTTAAAAATAATAACTACAAGGAGAAAAATAAAGGAAGGTGACAAATTGGGGAGCCCATTTTTTTCGATATGTTATTATGCATAGTTGGATTATACATTACCTTTATCACTTTGATCTATAAATTGTATCCATGTCTTAATCTATTCTCAAATCATTGTAATTTAATCATGAGTTTGCTATCTTGTGCTCTAACTGCCTTATTTTGGCACATCATATTTTCATATTTATCGTGAGTTGTAGTCCAATATCTCTTATATTTGATCGTGCATTTGTTTAAGTTAGATTGAGTTTGAATATAGAGGTTTATATTGCAGTTGTCTCCTCTCTTCTATTAGTAGCCAATCAGTATCCGCGTAGCTGATCTTTATTCGGAGTAAAGAATAGTCACTTGCTCTCTGATCTAATTGGTCATCGATGGACTTCTCGCATTTGACTTCTGAAGGTTATGTTGAGTAGATTAATTTATCAAAACTGTTAACTAGTTCTGAGAAATATTTTGCTTACTGACAAGATCAAGGTCATTATACGTATAAAATAGCAAAAAGTGTATTTTATTTTAAGAACTAAGAGAATGTAACTCTACGGTACTTTGTAAGTTTGGAACAGTACACAATTATTAAGCGATCAAAATAATGAACTTGATATTTCGCATTAGAACTAGATACTATTCAACTGGTGTATCGTAATCTAGAAAACTACTTTTTCATAAGTTAGTTGTTATAGCTGTCTTTATCGATAACCATCACTGATGTGTAATTGTTTTCATTCATGACTTGCTTAAGTCCCCTGATCAATGCTACCTATTTGAACATGAGAACATTCACATTGAAAATCAAGTCATTAATAACTAGTGAATCAAATCTCCATAAACGTCTCATTCTATTTTGTATCATTCTTGTTTTACGTATATTCCGTGTTATTAAAATATCACTTTCATTAAGGTTGTATATTTTTCTCATAGATTGGAATATAATGGGCCTCTAAAATTATTTATTACACTTATTATATCTATGGCCTATTTGCCATTTCTTTACTTTTATGATATATTCTTCATCTGCTGTCCATTCATATATGGTTGATTCATAAAAATATGGCATTTGAAAATAAAGTGATTTGATCGATAGCACTGAAAATAGTTATAGACATCAGGGTAAAATAAAATTTCAGTGAGAAATTGTTATTTACAGAACATGAAATTAAATTACACTCGCCCCCGAATGGCCTTGTACGGCCGAGGGTGGGGAGAGTCAGCCCCCCCTCTACAAATACACACGGCCACATCAATATAGCCACTACCAGGGAAGTCCTACTTACTTACTTCGCGAGGCGGGGATGTTGTTTAATAAATTGAGAGGACGAAAACCGAATATTCGGTGCTTTAATTGGGTTAGTTAATATGGAGAATACATCTAGGGGAGTTGGATAACCCTGATTCCAAATCAATGGTGCACATGGGATCCAGGATCCTGAGGGAACAAATGACGTATGCACCTATTATTGGTCACCATGTACCATGGGACTGCATCTCCTTACGTTGCTCCACTGCATTGTGGATTAGACCTCTAGGTCAAAGGTTTGGGGAATGACCCCCTAAGAAAATAACCTTTTTTGGTTTGGGCGCTCCGACAGTATTCCAGTTCTCGCACACATCGAACGACTTGTGTGGCGCATACATATTTGGTTCCTCCTTGTACCAATACTTATGTGTTTAAATAATAGTAATAAATAATAATATACCCCATCTAAATAAATGATTATGTTGATTTAAGGACTGTAGAAATACAGAAAATAAATATATTTAATCATATACATAGTTCCGCTTCATAAACAATGGTATTCATTGCAATAAATTCCCTTTAGATTCTACTATTCAATGTCCACGTTAACAATCCGAAAACTGGTCAGGTTTAGGGCAAGGAGTTAGAGGTAATACAACCAGCGATATGCTAATACTAAAATTAGGTAATGCAATTCAAAGTACTTTTAATGCTGGAAAACTACAATGAATGTTTACTACCTGTCCAGTGGTCACTTAGAAACAAGCCACCTCTTTCTGTACCAATCAGTTTAGCTGTTTTTGTGTAGCAAGTTATATTGACCAATGTTCTAGGGATTTGTATTTTCGTACTCATAAACCCCTCCCACCGTGGTTAAGCGTAGGTATAGGTAAAACTACTAATAGTTCAATTCCAGCTCATTTAGTGCAAAAAGGTCATACACCCAATATGAATCAGTTATTTACAGTAATCTATTGTGTTAACAACTTGGCTTATGCATATACAGCCTTGCTCTTTGTGTTTTCATAACTTATTTGATCTTATTCACATATTATTACTATTGTTATTATAATAATAAGGGGTTTGTGGAGATTTTAGAAAATTCACAGATTGAAATCATGAGTTAATTGAAGCTAGACCATCATCGAAGACACACTAAGTTAATATTTCATATGAGTCATTTCAATGCTAATAATTTTCTGTATGATTAAGCGTTCATGAGCGAATCCGAAGGTCGTCAGTTCGATTCCCTGTGGTAGGGTAGTGGATGCACACTGCTAAAGAGTCCCATACTAGGACGAAATGGCTTTTCAGTGTTTGTCTCTTAGTTCAGTCTTAAATTTACCTTTCACATGACCACCTTTCGGATTCTTGATTCAACTGTAGAACCTAAAGAGAATTTATTGGAAATAATTTTTTTCGTTCATGTATCGATGTTTTTAGTATGATGGGAATTTTTCGGAGAGTATTGGTATCTGAATTTTAGAAGCATTTATTCTGAAAGCGTCTCTTCGACTTCATTTTTAAGCGATTGTGTTTTCCGTTGTTCGGGTTGCGGTCTTTACATGATCAGTATCTAGCAGTGAAATTCAGGAAGCGTGTTCTATCCTATTTGGAATTCATCAGCTGGATGTACATCCAATTCAATGCTGATATTCAGATTGGGATTCGAACCCAGTGCTTTTCGTTTTAAACGCCAAGGCTTTATTCGTTGACCTACTGAGTTCATATAAACGCTAGATTGTGAAACGGGTTCCACTGTTAGCTATTATCCGACTTAATAAAACTGTTAGAAATAAAACGTGAAATTGTGCTTTAAAGAGAAAAATGGTTAGTAATGGTGCATTGTTTCAGTGATCAATTAAAAGAAAAAACATAAACCATTCACCATTCATCATCAAGCTTACACACAGTACTAACTGTCATCTGATGTATTTGTTGCTCCTTCATTAATGGGTGGGGATAAGTATATATCCAATTGAAATTCAGTTACATATGGGAACGAACCAATGATTTCATATTCGTTGCAATCTATTGTAATTAGAATGAACGTTTTTATAGAAACGAGTAATTAACAGTTTTATTTTTATTGGTCGTATACATCACGAACTGAGATTAGGCATTTAACCATTTGTAACCAGCTAGCACTGAACAGATATTTCATCCTATTTCGGCACTTCTTAGCAATGGGCCAAAATGGTTCTCTTTGAACAAACTCAGAACATCTGGGCTCTTGTGAGAGCAAATTTATTTTGGACAATCAAGTTAGGACGCAATAGCCCATAAATTCAGCACCAATGTATTCATACTAGTACCAACAACTGTCTTACTTCCGTTACAGTTCAACCCAGTCAATAATTATTGAAATAAATAATTTCATTATTTACCTGCTCCAGCATCGCGTGTAATTAAAGTGAAATTTGCTGGTTCTCCAGCACGACCACAAGATAATCCTGGTCCATAAGCTGTAACAATTCCAGATCCAACAGCTTCAACATAGAATCTGAAAGGACTACCTGGTATTGGTTGACCATTATAAGTTATTTCTAATTCATGCAGCCCAGGTTCATTTGGTTGAAATTGTGCTGTCACTGTTCCATCACCATTATCCAGTAAAGTTGGATGTAAAATTCGACCACTTGGTGTACGAACCAAACCTGATATGTTATTTTGATAAAAAAAGATGGTTTTTGTCTTTTAGTTATTTTGACAAAGCCATCAGGTATCTATACATTCATTATATTACATCTCCTATCACTTTTTGAGTTGTCGAGTTTATTTGGTATGTATTACCATTTTGATTATGTAATCACTACTACTATTTAAATAAGATAGTGCTTTAATCATAAACAATATCATTGGGTGCTCATAAGTAAGATATATAGTAGGCTCATATTAGAACGTACAACCAAGCAGGCGTAGTCTTTTATAAACTGGTACAATGCCCAACGCTAAATCAGCTATTAATTTTATCTTTATCGTTGGACTTTATAACAGTTCAAACAAGAATAGGTTTGAGTGAGTGTATGTTCTGGAGGAATGATGTGAGGATGCTACAAACGTTCACTAAAACTGTTTCAATGCTATCTATGCTTTTTCACTAGAACTAAATTAGATAAGTAATCAGTCACCGGAGATTCCTAGGTCATATAAAATTTAGGATTGATCGTAAGTAACGTTTTTACGATAGCAGAAATCAGTCATTTATAGTTAGTCAAGTATCAAGTCGAAATTGATTCATTTTGAAAATGATTTTCGCAAGACAATGACATCAACTGAAGTAGCCTCTAACGACCAGTGAGCAATGGATATCTGTTTTATCGTTATCTAGGACTTTAAAAAATCAGATACGATCTCACACGTGACGAAACTCAGGACCTTTAGGTCACACTGACAGAACGACGAATTTGTGTACCGATTTATCTTAAACTGTTCTATATTAAAAGATCTTACAACAATCAGTTAAAAAGCCGTCAAATCTTTATTCTAGTACTCGTTGGCTGAATTTTTTTCATTTGTTAGTATGAGGCAGATAGATGAATAATTTCGGTTCCATGACCTAAACATTCCTTCTATCATTTGGCACGTCTCAGATCAAGCTCAGACATTTAAGTTAAGTTTTCATATAACATCACCGAGTGACCAACCCTGAAGTTAGCCGTAAAGTACTAAGAAGAGATTGGAAATCGGTGGATGGACTAATTATTCTTCATCAATGGGAGTGTTTGGGACACTTTTTGCCCATGCTCAGGTACCGCCTACCTGAAAGGGTAATGGTGACTGGTGTATGTGGATAGGAGAAGAAATCTAAGGGTGACCAAACCAAGAATTAACGTCAGTTCATGCAGTCACTGACAACTGGACGGAACCATGTAGACAGGTTCAGACTTCTTGGTTAGGGTTCACGCAATTGTTATCATTAGTGATAGGATACGTCGAATCATACGGCTCAGATGCACCTACTGTTTGTCGTACCTTAGATCATGAGTCCAAAAATTGCCTTCTACTTTTCCTTTTTCTACATTTAATCTTTTCTACTACTGCTGATATAGTCACTCCTTCTGCTCTAGGATTTTTCTTGATAGCTTAATCTCGCTGTACTGATATGTGGTGTGGTGCACATAAGTGCCAGGTTCTACGTTCCATATAACTGACAGACTTCTATAGGGCTAATCATCTGCAAGTATCTTAACAGAAAGTGGGTGATAATGTTTAGTACTTTGAGCATTCAGTTTTTAGTGACTAAAACACACATTTGTAACTCGTCCCATGTAGTTTGTCTCAGAAATCATGATAGTATCAATAATCATTAGTTCATATCCTAATGAATCAGTTTGTGAATCAGTTTTATTCTGGTTGTTAGATTCGTAAATTGGGAACGTTAAACAAGTATTACCCAGATACTCTGAATATCAATTCTGTATGTAATAAATACGTTAGTATATATACTTCACTATATACTCATTTCAATATATTGTAATAGTAAGTACCGAAAAGAGTAATACAATACCACATTCTTACCTTCCACATGACTAAATGTTGGGCCAACAGGTAGTTTAAAATCAACTGGATGATATCCTGTTGTAATTGTTGAAGACTGAACAGACTGTACAGATTGTACAGTTACATGCTGTACTCTTTGATCCTAGAAATTTTGGTATAAAAGGAAATGTACAGTAAATGATATGTCATTTCAATGACATTAGTAAATTACATTGATTTAACCATTGCCTTTAGTGTATAAAGATAATTCAGTGAAAAGATATGTGCATCTATATCAATCCAGAAACTATATTATTAATCTCTGGAAACTTACACCATTCCTGAGATTCAAACCTATGTAATTCAAAAACCTCAATTAGAGGTGTTATATATAAACTTTTGGTTTCTACCTGTTCAATAATTTGTGATAAGTGTAAACGATTAGATAATAAAACTTCCCATTATTCAGAAAGCAATTATTGGTAGTCAGTTTAACTTTCATGAGGATAGTTTCCATATTACCTTCGCTACGGCAACACTGTTAATCTAGCTAGATGGCGGACTGTATATTGTCGTAGTATGTTTATAACTGATTATCAAACTTGTGTTGACATTTGTAAAGGTACTGTCTGTCAGTATTTTACATAAAAACCAGAGGGATGAAAACTATGTACTAAACACTTGTTAAAGTGTAATATTTGTTTCACTGAACATATGTTAAAGCATGCATCAATATTAAATGGTATAAGAAATTGTGAGTTGAATTATCTTACCTTATTTTCTCATTCAAATGTAATACAGGTAATCGTGTATAATTTGATTACATATATATACACACAGAATGCTCATATTAACACGTTTATAAAGTTTAATAGTTCAGATCATGAGTCAATTGAAGCTAGACCACCAGGGAAGACTTGGAATCACTGGACGGCCGTGATATAGCAACTCATTGAAGACAATCGTGAACCTTGGCGCCATTTCGTGGATTAATTAAAGTTAGACATTAACACCGTCGGATGCCGGGCGGCTTAGGGTATAGCGGTTAAGCGTTCGTGCGAGAGAATGATAGATTCTGGGTTCGTGGATGCGCACTACTCAGGGTTCCCACAGTAGGACGAAACGGCCGTCCAGTGATTCCAGGTTTTGGTCTAGCTTCAATTGACTCATGATCTCAACCATTAAAATGACTATAATATCCACAAAAGCTTTTTCTGACATTTATAAATGTTTATTTACGAAATTAGAAATTAGCTAACAACGAATGCTAGTTCATAATGTCTTAAAATCGGTTTTAGTTCTGGTACCTGGCAACCAACATTCTGTTGAATATATTAATGAAATTAAATGATAAGCGTTTTTATCTACAGAGTATAATTGTCTAGAACTTAATTGCTTTTATTTAGTTATTTTAAAGCTGACTTATGCTAATTAATCCCTGAATATTAGAAAGTATTTAGTGACCCGGGATCTGACTCCAGTAATATCGTATGATTGATTGTTGAATTATATATCCTGGCTATTCTGGTATACAATTATTGACTTGATCCGTGTTAGGGAATAATGGAATTAAATAAGTCTAATATGAGAATGAATTTCTGAATACGTATATTTTGTACAATCATCGATTCAGGCAGACGACCAAAGGAACGAAGTGCAACGAAATGATGCATAGTGGAAAGGGCATGTAAGCCAACTCGATTTAATCAAGCGTCAATTTATATTTATAGTCACACAAAAATAAGCTACAGACGTGATGAGTAGGATAAGAAGTGTACACACACATACGCTCATATAAAAACAGCCAGGGTTGATAAGTGAATCATTGACAAGGTCAAAAAATGCCTGTTCAGAAGCTAGAATAAAGTATATGGGCTTAACATGGTAACCGACACTACAAGCAAGAAATTTATCCATGGGGACAACTGTTTATTCATGACACGATTCAATCATAAGTGTTTTAAATGTCCTAACCAGAATGTTACCCAATTATCTTTATTTCAACTAATCCATATTGTCTTAACAACTAATGTGATCTTTAATTCATTCAAACGTAATAGAATGATTTTCATTTCAACAATAATTTCACGATTTCATAACACAAATATTCACACTTACAGTTACATCGTTCATTAGTTCCTCTGGGTTGACAGCCTAAAATACAAATAGAAAGATATTAGATAACGTTTATAAATTATTCATTGTTAACTGAATCACCTAATGATCATCAATAGTGGAATGTAAGAAAGTTAATCGTATAAAAGTTATACTCAGCGGTCGAAACATTAAGCGTTCTTGTGCGAGACCAAAAGTTATGGGTTCGATTACCGCGTGTAGGGTCGTGAATGCACACTACCGAAGAGTCCTACACAGTGAAGAAACTGCCGTTCTGTACTTCCAGGTTTTCAATGGTGGTATAGCTTAGATAGATTCATAATTTCAATGAAATCCAACAATATACAGAACCCTTTACTAACGATAACATTTTAACTGTAACTGACCATAATAACACCTGAATGCATATGAAACCTCAAAGTTTAACCACTAACAGAAAAAAGCGAAGCAAATGACCTAGAAATTTCGAAAGGATTAGCAAATTCTCAGTTAAAAACGAATAACATTCAAAAAATCTTTGTCGTTTATTTTGTTCTGGTAAGAAGGAAATCGAGATACTATGACTAATTTTCTCTGAAGTCTAGTGTAATTTTCAAAACTTGGATGACTGGATACATTAAAAGCGATAGTGATGCTAATCCATATCGGATGTGAGGTAGTTACCCACCAAAGACGGTGGGAAATGACCGCGTAATATCATGAATTGATTGCAGTTAAGTGTTAGCACCAATCGATAACTGTTTGGTGCTTCCAGGTTTTCAACGGCTATCTAACGTCGATCAGATCATGATATTGATAAGATTCAACAATCTGTATAACCCCTTGCTTACTATTCTTTTGTTGACAAGATTATTAAATTAAGACAAACAGATATCAGTCAATGATAAAAATGATTTAAGCATATAATCCTATCATTCTTGTATGACTTTCATTTAACCGTCAGTGCTGATCAACATTATTGTAGAAATACTTCGTGATCCCCACTAACTTCACATATTAACACATTTCAAATAACCTTGTTATAGAACTTACTTTTTGGTTAAATCTTCCATTTGGTATAAGTTCACCGCCAAATCTTATTTCAACTAAATAATCACCACGAATTGGTGGTGTATAGTAAATATTAACTCGACCGTTTGGTGCTTCATGAATTTCAACATCAGCTGTTGCTCCAGACGGTGTAACAATACGACAAGTTAATTGTCCAACACCAGCTTGTGCTGTATTCACACTGATAACACATTCTTGACCAACAGGTATTCGGCTATCATTACCATCTTTTGATAAAATAATAAATTACTAATAATATCTAATTTATTGAATTTATCATCCATTATAAAATAAAATAAAACTATCCAACGAAAATTGAATTCGCTTGAGAGTTTTGTGTAGTTTAAAACTTATCGGTTAAGAAACAATTGAAATCTATGGAGTATTATACAGTTACTTTGTTATGACGTTTACTGTGAATAACTTTGAAATGGATTTACTGAAGTTTTAGTGGGTAGGCATTGGTTGTCACGTCATTCTAGTTGCAAGCAAACAGTAGTAGTCCAGAAACAACACTGGATGAAAATTACACTTTATCAAAAAATTGACCTAAATTCCAAGTGTTTCCCATCTACTTGGTAGTGTTGGGTTGGCTTCGAAAGGCACGATGAAACCTGCAGAGGCTCTAAAAGAGCCGAAAAAATTCCATTCAATCAGAACCCGATAGAGCCTTATAGAATATCAAGGTGACATGCTTGCAGATTGACTGGATTATAATGATGTCGTAGCTAGTACTAATAACCATAAATACCCATGTTTTTCCGTACATTTTTTATTCTTACACAATAATCACTTGTCCTGCCTCTTCCGTCTTCGAATTTGTGACTGTCGGGTTTTACGCTTTCGAGTGCCGTTATTTGCAAATCGTGTTTCGCCGTAATCAGATAAAGGACGTAACAGGTAGCTCAAAGATATTGTGCTTCCACATGAACTGAAATTCAGATGTGACTCATTTAAGAGTCCCAACCTAGAACAAAAAAGCTGTTCAGTCACTTGCAATTTCTAATAATTTGTCACCTCGTATCGGTTTCAAAGACAAATCACACTTTATAAACTAGGATGTCCAACATTAAAACTATCAGCTTTTTTCAGACATTTAGTGGAAAGCAGTTCACAGTGGTTCACTTATCAGCTTCATAAGGTGATTCATTCAAACACAGTTGAGAATTATCAGTGTACTTGAATAAAATATTCTCAATAGGTCAATTTTAGATTATAATTAAAAAGTTATTAACTCAGATTCCAGTTTATTTAATAACCATGATGTAGTTTCAAACGATATTACAAGTAAACATAAATCAATCATCTTAGAATGATCATGGTATCAATAATGTGAAAGATCTTAAACTTGTTCGTGAGTGATTGTTATGTGCAAAATTTTCAACGGAATGTATAATATTGTGATCTCAGTTACTTTTCATTGACTAATGATATTTGATTTCGATTATTATTCATTTATTTATTCGTTTTAACACATAAATATTGGTACAAGGAGGCACCAAATACATATGCGTCACACAGATCTCACTTGATATGTGTGAGGGCTGTGATACTGCCCGGGTGCCCAAACTGAAGCAGGTAGTTTTCTGTGGGAGCCACACCCGGAGGCTTCGACCCAATGGTCTGATCCACAAGACAGTGGAGCATTGTAGGGAGATGCAGTCCTATGGTAGCCGGTAACCAGCGATTGGTTCATACTCTATTTGTTCCTTCAGGATACTAAAGCCCATGTGCACCATTGGTTTGGAATCAGGGTTTTCCAACTCCCCTAGGTGGACTCTCCATATCCACCGACCCGGTTAAAGCGCCGGACGTTCGCTTTTCGTCCTCTCAATTTCGTAAACAACACCCCCGCCACAAGAAGGCTGTGAGTAGGACTTCCCTGGCAGAGGCTATATACGCGTGGCCATGTGAGAGCATTTCGAGAGGGAGAGCGGACTTTCTCCACTCTTGGCCGTACCAGGACATTTGGGAGCTAATTGTGATCTTTTTATCTTTGGTTTATCTTTCATATGTATTTGAACTATGTGGAGTCAATAATGTTATTAATAGCGGCCGATTCATAATAAAATGTATATATTCTAACGTTTTTCTACTTCTCAGTTAGTGTGTAGTTAAATTGAAATCCGTTTGTATCACTCATAGAGTAGCTTCTTAAATATTTAGTCAATCAGATGTTAATCATAATCACGTAATCAACTCAGCTATACCAAGCAATTAGTCCTAACGAAATTAATACTCTTATGTTACACAACGCTACAATGAAGTGATCTCTCAAAAAATAATTTCTTAGTGCACAATTCGATGGTGGGTTCTTGGGTAGATATTGTTCAGGAGTCCTATACTAGTAGTTTAGTGACCGTTGGTACTTTATAGTTCTTCAGCTGATAGGGATTCGTGATGAAAATTGATTTGAACTATTCATTTTGGATTCAGTGAAATAAAGCTCATAAGTATACTGTGTAAAAATGAAAAAAAAACCTTAAACCTCAAACTGGTTACTTGATGCCAGGGTTTACTAATGAGAAGTGTTATTTACTGACTTATATAATACAAATCCTGTAATATATTTGTACAGAATTTTTCTATCATGAACAGATTTATCTTGACATCATAGTAAAATTGTTTATTTTAGTTACCGAAATATGAAATTTCATAAATAGATTTGTTATTGTTGTTGCTGCATACATCAGTGTACATGAATTTGTGTGTATGTATGTAAGTATCAATTTTGTAATTATGCCTTGCTTTCCCTTTTGGCTATAAATCAATCCTTTTTTACTGACTAATAAATGTACACAGCTACATATATATGTACACACGTACATATACAGATACTGCCAAGTGAATACAATGTTGCATAAATAAAAATCGATAAGTGTGTGTGTGTGTGTGTGTGTGTGGAGGTAAATTTCACTTAGAAACGACTATTATTTTGTATAAAAACCAAGATAAGGTAATTAACACTACATTGAGTGGGTGAGGTGATAATGGATACAAATAATCACTACTTTTCAATTGTAGTTGTGTCCACGTGTCTATCTAATAGTATTGTGCAATGAACTTTAAAAGTATAACAATAACAATTCCAAAGGAAAATAATATTAGATTAAAACTATGAAATATGAGTTGTGACTAGGTTCTAAATTTATAATCTATTCATCTAATTTGTTTAAAAAGAGATTTATTTCATATGAAGGTAGTTGTTAGTTACAGATTGACTTCATTTGGGGATACTATTGAAAACTAGAAATGATTTGACAGCGGTTTCGTCTCAGTGTTTGGAACTCTTCAGTAAAGAAGATCAACGACTCCATTAGGGATCCAACTCAAGATAATAAGATAGACAGATAGTGTCTGACCTTTATAACCATTGATCTGGCGTTCAATGGTACAATGCCAACTTTAACTACATAGGTACATAATGTGATGATTATTTTATGGAATTGGTGACAGTTGCTTATCTATTTATGTTCAACTCTTGAAGGTTAAATGTTAAGCTATGTGTTCACCTCTAGGTTCTATGCTTGCTGGTTCTTTCTCTCTCAAAACCAGAAAACGAACCTTGCAGTTGGTTTTCGATAAGCTTGAATTTTATTGCCGTCAAATTGACCACATTTCATCATCGTTGATCAAAATATTGAAAAAGATATATCCCTGGGGGTAATCAACAATATACATTCAGTAATCAGATTCATGTGTTAGGGGGAACTTGATAACAAATTACAATTCCTTGACTTTTTGTTAAGCTGTTAAAAAAAAAGATTCTGCCAGTAGAAGTGTACGCAGAAGAAGTTCTTCGATAAGCCAATACACACGTTTCTTGAGTTTTATTCTCATTCATTACGATAGAGACTTAGTTAGATGCGTTGTAAAAAGTACTCGGAAGATATGCTCAGCTGACATTGTGAACAGGGAACTAGAGCTTATAATATATGGATTGAAATAGGTTATTATTGGGATTTGAAGTGGTTTATCTTATTCCTACTAGCTTTACTTATGGGGTTCGATCTCGTCTCTTTACACATAGCAGAATTTATGGGGATTTGAACTGTCAGTTCAAGTGTTTGTATTCATAAGAAATTTTTAGCACCGTTATCTCTTTCTTGGCCGAATTAGCCTTAACAAAAGATTTTGTTTATTATTATTTTCCATACTCTTTGTTCGTTTATTTTCCTTCACCTTTTTTACAAATGCAAACTTCACTGTCTGATTATTTGAACACTTCTTGTTACTATCAGAACGGGGATTTGTGGAGATTGTAGTAATTACTGTGGTCACCAGTGATAACCCTGGCTATAATAGTTACATTTCTCAGAAAAATAAATCTCTTCTAGTCTTCGCTTAGTTTTAAGGCTATCATTATTTGATTAACGTAATTATATCAATAATGTAGTCTTCCAATTGAAATTAAACACCTTTATCTCAATTTATTTTATCATCAGTTCTCAAACAAAAGGTCGTAGTAAAAACATTAGGTTATCATTTACTTTAAGTATGATTATTAGTAAGTACAATTTAACCCTTCTAATTTGTATAACTGTTTTTACTTCACTTACAACTATGCATCAATCTTCACTGTTAATTTTGACGTAATGTTTAGTATCTTCTATCACTTATTATAAACTCCGCCTGTACCTGTTCTAGAGTTACTGCCGGTCTCAAGACCGGGTAAAGGAGGAGAGTTGGGCATGGGGTAGCGACCACATCCCGTAAAAACCTAACCCGCTAAAAAAACGCTAACCAGAACCACTTATTATAATTTCAGTCCTACTTCAAACATTCATCTCATCGTCATCAATGAAAGGATATCAAACAGTTGTCCTTAGCCCTACTATTCTATGTAACTTTTGGTTGTTTGAAACTAAAGTGAACCATGAAATAGAATAAACTCGTCTTACTCTATAAATTGTGTTTATCATACTTTGTTCAAAATTATCAGTTGTGTTAGATCTTTGAAAGTAAGTAATTACATGAATATTGATCTAAAAAATATCACATAACTTAATCATATTAAAAACAAGTTTCTTTTCTTTATTTATCTTACTTTCTATACGACACATATTAGCTCGTCCAGATGGTGCAACTGGTACTAGGAATGGACTTTCAGGAATTTCTTGTCCACCATATTTTACTCGTACAGTATGACGTCCAACAATCATTGGTTTATAATGACATATATATGTTCCATCTCCAACATCTACTACTTCTAATTGTAATGGTTGACCATCAGGATCCTGAAATTATAAATTAGATTACGTGTTATCAGAAATGCTTGATCATACATACATAAGTTCTTAGGATTCATGCAAATAGATTTGCAAATTGACACAACAACAGTAAGGAGGACAACTAAGTTAGCTGTGACAACACGAAAAACAAATGTGCTACAACAAAACAATCAAATTGATGTGTTTTTTTAGTACATGGGAATTGCTCAATAGTATGGATACACTGAGGGACTAACGTCAACTAAAGAATTCTTGAAAGAAAACTCATTACCTATCATTTTCTTGTAGTAATTTGTTCCAGGATGAATAACCTCTGGGAATTTATCATCCACATTTTATCGAGACTATATACCTATTAGGTCAATCAAGTCCAACGACACATCATACTTATCGCCTTCCAGTACACTTTTATTTATGATGGTATGCTTAAAAATGATGGATGAAGTACATTACATTATTTCAATTATTCTACTACGTCAATAAGGATAAGTCCAAATGAGAAACACTTTTTTGAAAGTTTCAACTTACTTCAAAATTTGTGATAATAGTTGGAAAGAATCTATATGTGTGTATGTAGGAACCAAAAAAAAATATTGGTTACGGATTTAAAACATAGGTTTACAGTTCGTCAATTCTCAATGTTGAATGTAGCGTTCACATGAATCTCACCATTTATTCTGGAAATGTAGATGTAAACCTTCAGTTCCAATAATCAATCTGCTTTAGTAATATGCTGCTATGGTGATAGTTATCATGTACTCACCAGTGACTAGCTTTGAGAGAAAATTCCCGGAGCCCTACTAATAAGCTGTGACTAGTAGAATTCAACTATGTTGAGTATGAGATAGTTATCAATCACAAGCAATGGATGAAGGTTGCACAATATTGTGTGTTGATTAGAGTTAGACACTAACACTGTTGGATACCGGCTCATTGGTTTAGAGCTTATGCATTGCTACCTTAAACTGAATGTCCTGTGTTCGATTTCGGGTAGCGGGGTCATGATTGCGCACTGCTGAGGAGTCCCATACAAAGACGAAGCAGCTGTCTAGTTCCTCCAGGTTTTCAATGATCGGTTCGTATTGTCAATAAAATTCAAAAATCTCTACAACTCCATATTGAAAGTTAATTTGTTGTCCCAAGAAATCATGTTTGTGCTGTTCAATAAGTGGTTTGAATTAATTGCTTGATATAATTACCGTGCAGACTACTGAAAACTTTATGTTATTTAAATATTTCGTTCTTAAGTAATCAACTTGTCTTCAAGCTAAACAAATTCATTTCATTTCATTTACATATGAAAATGGGCAAATAAAATTCTGCACAAACGATATTTTTAACAAGGTGAAGTGACTTGATTGTTTTGACACGTATAGAAAATTATTCATTAAAATTGAAGTGTACTAAACAATCTCGATTTACAACACTGATCGAAAAGAAACTGCATTGTGTTGTTTTATATCAGTTTTTCTATAATAACAACAACCATCGACACCAACTATGTGAACGATAAGCAGAGGTGGATGGTGGCCAACGGTGTAATCTAGGACGTGCATTTCCTCCTGTCTGGGACTTTTTAGCTGGTTGTTATTCACTCTGGGACTCGAACCCGTTACCGTTCGCCTCAAACACCTCGTGGATAACACGTGTGAGTTATGAAAATGATTCCAACGAATAAGCATTTTACCATTTCAGGTCTAGTTTATGGATACTCATTATGTTGTCTTCCTTTCTATGTCTGTATTCTAGCTAAATGAAGTGTCCATTATGTTGTTGAAATTTATTCGTTTGATAATTAATAATCTTTAGTCAGTAAAGGTAACTTTGATTTATATTAGTCAGTAATATCCTATTTTTATATCAAATAGCCCTCATTCAGTTTATATGCCAATACTAGTCAAATAGGGAAATTAACAAGCATTAAACGTTCATTTTATCTTGTCTAATAACTGTTGGGTACATGATGCAAAAAACAGAAGATGCATATTTGATTTTGAGGCCTACCTGGTTGGGTCATAATTATAGAAGCAGTTATGTTATCTTTCTGATCTGACTTGTTATTGGTCCACCTAAATTGTCAGCCAATGACTAAATTACAGCGAGGTTATGAATGAGGTCATTATTTAACATTTATAAACCTAGAACGCAATTTCTCACACTTTTTGACTCGACAGCCACGATAGAACAATAACACAGCAGACAGACTTCTACCGTACAGTTTAACTCAAACTAGTGTGAAAACGGGTTGTATACCACACCAAATATCGATATAAATTCCTGAACGAGAACTAAGTAATAGGTCAATAACTAGATAACAATAACTGAGAAAAGGCAAGAGAAAGAACAGTAGTATGTGCGTCAAAGGAAAGCTTAAAGCCAGGATAATGTTAGGGTACAATTGGTCAAGTATCTAATAGTTATGCAATGAAAAAATAAACAATAGTTCTCCGTAAGATAGTTCCAAAATTTAAAATACGATATTCTCCTCTATAAAACAGTACTACGTATATGATACTTTTTATGACAGAATGCACAGCTCGAATACCTAACAAGTGGTCATTAGCTTTCAAACATAATTCAATTTCACGTGTTTTGATCTTCTGTTTGTATCAACTTACATTTTAGCTTTCTAGAATGTTAATGAAAAATATGCATCTTACCCCAACTTCTATGATTAAACAGAAGACGTATCTTTGGAAGTAGTCTTTATTATAATATGGAATTAGTAGGCAAACTGTAAATAAATAAGGTGCCATTTGCATTCCTATTTATCACTTTCCACTAACAAACTACTTTAGTATTTAGTGGCCCTATATCTGACTCCAGTTAGATCGGATGAATAATTGCTACCGAGATAGACGTATCACCAATCCTCGTATATATTCATTGACTTAATTAACGTTAGTGAATAACGGAATCAAATAATTCAAATACGAGAATCGATTTCAAATACCTAAATTCCATACAATCATTGATCGAAAAGGGAAGCAAAACAAAACAACACGAGATGGAGGAGGCGAGTCAGCCAACTCGATTTAACCAAGCGTGAATCGATATTTATAGTCAGACAAATATAAGTTGCAAGATATGTGATGGGTAAGATAAGAAATGCACACCCATACGCTCATATAAAAACAGTCAAGGTTGATAAGTGAATAATTAACAAGGTCAAAATGTCACCCAAGAAAGATAAATAGATTGGCTTGTCCAGAAGCTAGAATAAACTATGTGGGTTAACATAACAACCGACACTACAAGTACACTAAATCATATGCGAAACGAGATACCAGTTAGTTGATAATTTCAAATCCTGAAATTGTTTCACTATTCACCACATTTATCATCCCGTTCACCCTGAATTTTGTTATTTTTATGTTTGTTAGTCTATTTTGAGTAACTCACGTGAATTGTCTACAAATATAACATTTATTGAGATGATATTCTCCGTCCGAGTATATCTACTCTGGTTTTGTGGAATTCGTGCTTTAAAATGATCCTAATTATTAGTTGTAAGGATTTCTACTATATTCATTGCCAGTTTGATCAGTATATATTCATATGTATACTCTTTAAACACGTATAATTTAAACACATTGGTATCTATTGTTATTTAATAGCCCTATAAACAATGATCTGATTTTCTGAGGGATCGGTACTAAATTCCATTCTTAGTGGAAATATCGACCGGACTCTAATTTATGGACGAGTCAATCAGAAGCGTTTCAGAGATTTCAAAGTTACGGCTCCAACTTTAGTGCTTAATGCTAACGTACAATCGGTTCACTGGGAATTTTGTACAAAATGTGATAATTAAGCGGCTATAATAAATAAAACGGCGGGACTATAATTTGTGGACGAATCAATCAGGTATAAGATAATAGATCTCGGATTTAAACGCGAAATCCTTCCATCCATTTGGCTAAATAAACTTCTGGCATTACAGCTGATGTCAGTTCGTGATGAAAACCCCATACATAATTCCTGACTAAGGTGAATTACGACAATTATCACGAACTGGATTATAAAAGCACCAGTAACACTGGCTGCAGCCAGGTACTACAATATATACGGATGATTGGAGACCGTACAGACTCCTACATAGGTTTGTTTATATGCATCCTGTCGTTATCCACAAGTAGCATTTTGTGCACTCAACAACCGGAGTACACACAAACAATATTGAAGCTATGTGGTCAAGGCTGAAAGAGTTTCTGAGACTTTATCATGGCTCCAGATGCTGACTATTCGGTAGCCGTATGAATGATTTCCTCTACTGCATGCATTATGATTTTAGAACCTCTGAATCTCTTTCTAACCTTGACAAGTTTTTGAACCACGTATAAGAAGTGTATCCACTTTGTTTCCTTGGTTTTGTATAACATATTTTTACTCGATATTGACTGTTTGCTGATTAACTAATATTTCTCAAGGTCACTCAAGATTCGTTCAAAAGTCGTCCATAAATTAGAGTCTCGCCGAAATACACTCATTTGACAAGTCCTAAACATGCAGAAATATCAGTCTTCTATTCGGATGCTATCATCTATACAAAGTATAATAAGAACGTACACTTTTTTTGAAAATTTGACTCAAGGATAGTAAAATTATTCATCTATTTCAGCAAGATCAACTATATTACATGATCTCAAATGGAGATTATTAGAAAATCTACAGAACAGAGATACATACATACATACATAAGAAGAGTACCAAACATACTGTGATGTAATAAACAAGCTGAAAGTATTACTAATTATTCGATGTCATTATTCTATATTACTATCATCTTTATGTAGTTGATAGATAAAAAATACTTGAATCCCATTTGAAATCAAGATAGTAATCACATCTAAACATAACTATCACATCGAATATCCTAAATCATTTGAAGAAACACACAATAATTGAGGAATAATTTAACCAACTAGTGAATATGAAAGATAAATGATGAATTCCAAATGAAGTAGGTGAATACTATCTTTAATTGTTCTAATTCTATGATAATGGAGGATGATGTTTATCAGATATTTTATGTATCGTTAAACCTGCTGTGATCGGTTCAATATCATTCTTTAAAAAAAAAAGAGTTATAATAACAACGATCATGACAAAACAACAATAATAATAGTGGATAAAACAGTTACGTAATACATGTGTTGTGTAATAATCAATAGACCGGACAACATGGATACACAATATTGATGATTACCATTTGTTTGATAAATACGCATTAGGTCATATTGAATGCAAAATAGATTTTAAAAGAAAAGAACCTTGTTAAATTCAAAGTTGCTATTCTTTAATGAATAGAGATTGTAATAGAATTTCAAGTATAAAATGAGATTGAATAAAAAATTAATACAAAACATTCAAATTTAAGGTTCTACGTCAATGCTCACACATATGATCAACTAGGGATTGATTGAGATGAGTACTTTCGGGTTTCATAACAATCGTGATACTTTTGAACTAGTAGAATGGATAATGTTTTACTTATTGTGATCATTTATGAACTCAAGTTCATAATTTACATATATATATCTATATACTACTTATGGCGCTTCTCATCGCCTTCTGATTTCAAATATCGTTGAGATTTTATATTCTAACGGTTATCGAGGTGAATGATTAACGAAGTAAATCCACTACAGATTTTCTTAACGAATCATATTGATATAGTTCGAATCTCAGGACTTGAATCCGTTCAGAAGTGAACGACCTAATAAAAAACTTTCATTCGTTTTTTCCCTCAAATTTGAAATGAATAGGAAAAGTAACAAATCTAGAATGATTCTCATTAAATTTAACAATTAACTATAACATTTATAAATGTAATTTAAATGTGATTATCTTGTTATCCTCTTTTTTTGAATAAAAATTCTCATATATGAGATGGGTTTTGTGGATATTATAGTAATTTCGTCCTATTGTGGGACTCCTCAGCAGTGGGCATCCACGACCCCCCTTGGGTTCGAATCTTTCAGGGGGTGAGGTCGTGGATGCACACTGTTGAGGAGTCCCACAATATGACGAAACGGCCGTTCAGTGCGTCCAGGTTTCCCATATATGTCCAGTAGACTGTTCATATATATGATTAACCCAGAAAGATGAATTAAACGTATTTTATCCAATGGAAATTCCCATTCAGACATCTAGTAAAAAGATGAACTTTGATTCACTTTCTTTAATAATCCTTCTATATATATATTTACCATACAACTATAAATATGAATACATACAGCTCAAGTAATTGATTTCGTCGGAAAGAACATTTTCTTCGCTGAATTCTCCTTGCCTTTATTCAACAATTCATTGGGTTATTTTTATTGTCTAATGGCACATGAAATTATATACTATATATATATGCTCTGTTCGTCTTCTTACTAAAAGGACTATGATTAGATTTTTGTCAAGGTTTCAGTTCAATAATTGATTAAATGGATTTCATTTGTAGATCATGTTTTTCCAAAGACCTAAACTGTTTACTGCCAAGGTTGTAGTCGAATAGATTTTTTTGCAATAAATATGAATGTATTAATTACTATCTCAATATTAATAAATAATCTTCAATCTATATGATCCTTTTATGAACTAGTAACTTATATTATGTAGACTTACCATAACTGATAATTCTAGATCTCCAAGACCTGCATCTCTTGTGTCTACTTGGAAAGAAGTCGGTTGAGTAGCTGGAAGTCCTAATGGACGAGTTGGATGAACACCTTCACCTGTTACACGCACACGTTGTGGTTCAAAAGCTGGTAAAACATGTTGAGTGAATGGTGATCGAGCTACATGATTTCCTGCTTGTTTAACTTCAATTTGACACGGACCATCGGTATCTGGAACATATGTCACATCGTAGACACCCGGTTGATTTGATCGTGGAACAATATGTGCTGGTGTTGTTCTTCCAACACGATCAACTGTTGCAACCTAAGTTTTATAAATAAGAAAAATGAAGAAAAGTTGATTAGTAAGTGAATAAATATTATTTTAGGATTTGTAGGCTTAAAAGGAAGAAAATATAGGCGTGGGATGTTGTGTAGTGAACCTATAAATAAACTAAGGATAATAAATCTATTTTTACACTATTGAACAATTTTGTTATTATGCTCTTGTCTGAAGTGCATTCACTAAATACTTTTAGCGCATAAATATAATTTTTATCTTTCAGGACCAATTATTATGGTCTTACACAGGATGAACCATTAATTTCATTATCACACTTTGTTTATTATTGTCTTGATCCTTATTATTTGACTTGTACTCGCTGTCTCAATAACTCCGCCTGGAGTTCCTCTGGGGGCTACCGCCAGTCCCAAGCTCGGATAAAGGAGGAGGGTTGGGCATGGGGTTAGCCGCCCCATCTCAATGCCCATTGTCTGGGCCTCAATTACTAAATGATCCAACTGTAGTGCGAAATAACCTAAAACTATATATATTTTTTGAATATTCTAACGTATATAAGTAGGAATCAGAATTCGTTGATTTACATGACTTAAAAGATATTGGATTTCGCTTAGCCCATAGTTAACAGTTTTATTTTGAATCAAGTGATACTTATAAGAGGCAATTTAAACAGAGAATGTTTAATTTACTTATCTCCATGCATGTAAGGTAAAAGTCATATTTTCTAGGCATGTTTCAATTAGGTTCTCATAAATAGGCTTATGTAGATTTCATCCGATAATTTACTTTCAGAAATAATATAATTTAATTCAAGAGACGGTTTCGACGGACATGTTTTGACATCAACATATTTATCTAAACACAAATAATAGTGACCAGTGGAGTTCAACCAGGTCTCTTGTGAGATAGTAACTCGCCGAAGACAATGGTGAATGTTTCGCTCAATTTCGTGGATTAGTTGAAGTTAAACATTAACACCGTTGGATGCCAGCTGGCTCAGTGGTCTAGTGGTTAAGCGCTCGCGCGCGAAACCAGTAGGTCCTGGGTTCAAATCTCGCAGGGGGCAAGGTCGTGGATGCGCACTGCTGAGGAGTCCCACAATAGGAGGAGATAGCCGTCCCGTGCTTCCAGGTTTTCCATGGTGGTCTAGCTTCAACTGACTCATGATCTTAACCATTGAAATTACAAATAGAGTGTTAAAGGTCTAGAGTTAAGTTTTGTTCTAACATAAACGAAGCCTTGTATTTTCAATAAGATCCATATTAAATAAATTTTATGTTGAGTGTAATTATTAACCAAAATTGAACCCAGTAGGCTAAACAAGTGTTTGAGTATTATGTGGAATAAATTACTATTGTCCTTCCGTTTTAGACTGACATCAAATGTAATATATTTGAAGTCAGTCAATAAGATGACCTGAATCTAGGTTTTGTTTACATAGGGACTAATCAACAAAGGGATGAGTAACTCATACTTCAAGGGTTTACCATAGCACGAATTTCTTTCAAAACCTATTGTGTGTTAAGTATCTATAATTAAAAAGCCAACATGTTCAGCATCCTGTCGTTTGGTTTATTTATACCACAAAGTATATACATGAATAAGCAAAACTCTTCATCATAATTAGGAAGCATGTTTGGACATTAATCTGTTCGTTTCCAAGCCTTGATTTTACCGCCTACACAAAGAGCCTGGCCTTTTATTTTAAGACTGTAGGCAGTATTCTTTCTATTCATGGATTATTGATTACAACCTACACATGTAATAGGATTCTTTTCTATCATAAAATTGTGCCAAATATTTATTCTCATTGGTTGAAAAAAATGTCAAGTGGTATTTTGTTGTTGTTTTTTTGTAGGCCCAATATGAATGATAATTCAATGTCCGTACTACTATATTTAGTATGCATTTTGAAATGTGCAGTACTGTAACTGATAGCCATAGGCAAGTATCATTAGAATCATTAGTATAAAATCTCATAGCTTGCTTTCTACGAAAAGCAATCCTAGCATCAAACATATTACAATAAGGAATTGCGTCATTTGTTATTATTTGGAGTAACCCGTTGTTAATTGAATTTTGACCAGTCTTAGTTGTGCATCATGTGCGGAATGTCTTAATACAGCTATCATGTCACAATATTACAATAGATAGAATGTGATTACGAGTGGAATCCAGAATTCAGATTTTGACTTTATTAGAACTCCTCGACTGGACATATAAGAATTGATATTCGTCCCGGTGTTTAGACACATTAGCTTTGGCTCCAAACGCCAACGTATTATCCACTTAGGGTCCCACTATTCTACATATAGAAATGTGCAGACTTTACACTCAAGGGATTTTTCAAACAACAACTGTTTTATGTAGTTCCAGATTCTGTAATTATAAATTCATAACTGTTAGATTATGGTGTATAGTGATTAGGAAAAATCTAAAAGTTATAAGTGAATGAGCTAAGGTTATTTATTGAGAATAACGGATTTCACATTTCATTAAGACAAAAATGTATCCTTTGTAAAATTCGAAGGTTACATAAGAAGAGATTAAGAAAAAGTCATTCTAGCCGGATGAGTTATAATCGATAGAGTAAGATCACGTTAATACTTACACCGATATAAGATGAATCAATAGAGATGAAGCACATTTAAGAGTGTTTTATTGGAATAGGATAGGACAAAGACACATATGAAAGGGTGTTGAGGATTAGAATCTATTGTATGTAGTTTAGCCCGAAGTGTAAATAGTTATCAAATCATTCCTTCTGGTTTGGTAGGTCATAAAACAATTTTTTCAGCAACGGAATCCTTTTTACCTGGTTTATTTTCAAAGATGCATAATCGTATATGTGTGATAAATTATACATCAACAAATAATATATAGTAATTCAAATAATTGAGATCCTGAGTCAACTGAAGCTAGACCACCATGGAAAACCTGGAAGCACTGGACTGCCGTTACGTCCTATTGTGGAACTCCTCAGTTGAAGTTAGACATTAACACCGTTGGGTGTCGGCTCAATGGTCTAGAAGTTAAGCGTTCGCGCGCTAGGCCGATATATCCTGGGTTCGAACCCCGCTACGTGGGACCGTGGATTCGCACTGATAAGGAGTCCCACAATATAATGAAAAGGGTGTTCAATGCTTTCAGGTTTTCCATGGTGGTCTAGCTTAAACTGACTCATGATCTCAACTATTGAAATTGTTTATTTGTTAGAATTTTATAGATAGTGAAAATTAGATTAAGAAGGAAGCTTATTTTGTTTTCATATTAGATCACTTGCCAACTGCTCATTTTTCTATATATCAGGGGTTGTCACTATACATAACAAACATTTACTTCCAAACAACTATGTATATCTCTACCCCTCTTACGTTGTGTTTCATCTTCATTCATATGGGATCGTGATCAATCTTATTAAAGTAATTCATAAGTAAATTCTTATAACCTATAACTGGTTACTCTACCATATATTAAGCAACAGAAATCTTAATTTATTTACGATTTTTAAGGAAAGTTATTAGATAACTCTAAATAATTACTTGGATAGGCGCATCTCCTGCCTGTGAAGCATCGACAGTAAAGTGAGCTGGTTGTTGCGCTCGTGCTCCTCTAGGCTCTAGACCTGGACCATAACAACGAACACGAGTTGGATCAACCACATCTCGTATGGGAACTTGAAATGGACTACCTGTTGGAAAACAAAATAAATGAAGTTTTGTTTGTAGTAAATTAGTGATTAGGCTTTAAGAACGAAGATTCCTTAAATGTAAGTAATAATTGGTTCGATCACTTTTATTTCTTATTTGTTGCCTGTGAGATTATTTATTAGTCACCAAATGATTGAGCAATGATAAGTAATGTATGCCATAATCTGAGAATCTTATGAACTTCTGTTTTATTATTAACTTAGCTAAATACTCTCCTCTAATTGACTAGTCCATTAAGGAACGACTACTGATTATATATATCGGTTAAAGTGGAAACAGTGAAAATGAGAAATCTGGTGAAGATTAGCTTTAATGGTAAGTACCAATGAGAAGAAAGCATATATCAAAAAGTTATTGCAGATTTGGTCGATCATTCAAGAACTATTAGTTTTCTATTACTCATCTATAGAACCATTCAGTAGATGGTTGAGCGTTTATACCTTAGCGTAACTTCCAAATATGAAATTTATTTGGAATAATCTAACAGAATTCTCATTGAACGAAATCCTATAATGGATTACGGATAAATTTGTACATAAAAAACTACATGCATAAGTGTATCCATTACGAGTAAGACGCATTTATATCGGTGTCTACAATCCAATGGATTTTAAGTCTAGGAGAAGTCTAGGATACGCTTAATGATCACAATAATCAGGCAAGGGATTCTGATAACATGGAGCCAAGTAGATGATTCTAATGCACATGTCTTAATTACAGTTACAGCTGTAATTATTTTGGACAAGTGTGGGACTAGTTTTTTCGGAATAGATACAAGGGATTGTATTCTAGATATTCTGACGGAACACCGCTTGTTTTTAGTCAAAACTAATTGTATAAGCAGTCATCTTTAATGTTTCATTATCTTGTGTCTCCCACTTTCTATTCAGTTGTATACTTAAGTAATATCATGTCACGAACAGTTATTGATGAGATTGAAAAATAATTAATGTTGGAGAGTTCGTCGCACTTGTATATGCACCTAATTATTAAACACAGATAAACTTAAGGTCAGGTAATACGTTTTGGGCATCAACTGTACTTTAAAGGTATCATCAGTGTGGAAAACAAACATTCAACTATGCGAAACACAAATAATATAAACACTGTTTAATCCAAATCAAATATTCGTTTATAAGTAATTGTGTCATAAAAATCCCTGTAGAAAAAAGTTCAACTTGCCTGGAATATTCATATCGTTAAATTTAACAAAGATATCATATGTTCCTGCCCGTGTCGGTAAGTAGTCCACTGTACATGTTCCATCTTTATTATCTTGACATTGTATTTGCGCATCAGCTGGCCCTTCTAAAGCTAACCCGAGGGCACCTTGACCCGCACCATCTAAGTCAACCGTAAATCTTTGAGGCTCATGAGTAAAGCCTCCTTCTAAACCTGGACCGTAAGCTCTTACTCTTGTTGGATCACATCCAGGAGCAACATTTACTGGGAAGGGACTACCAGGTACCGGTGCTCCATCATATGTAACTTCAACGTGATGTAAGCCTATAAGAAGTTAAGTTGAGAAAAAAGTGACTGTTTATTTTTGCATGGATTTCAATGATTTGAAATGCATTGGTTTTAATTTGTTGTTAATAATTAACGAAAATCATGGGCAAATAATTTTGTGAACAGGCCGTGATATTAAATCTAACATTTACTCATTCTTGTGAGTTTTGCTTTTCCAGGTAACTTTTTAAACAAAACCATACTTTTGTGGAAGTTAGAAGGCCCTTGGTTAACAGGATGGTTTCTATATAAATATGCTAGAAAATATTCATAATCATGTTTCGATGAAGTTCTTAAAAGTCAGAGTTCATAATGTAGTGAACAAGAACACGTATTTGTACAGAACCATACGGTAGATACTTCATTTGCAAAATATCAAACAGTTATCTTAAACTTGACTGTTCCTCTGCAAATATCAATCATTCGTCTTAGACTTCACTGTTCCTTCATTTCCATATCAATCGTTTTCTGTTCCCGTTCTTCCCTTTCCGATGTTCTCAATCTTCTGCTGCCAGACACTATATTCATGACTCGCGTTATATACTACTTATGTCAATATAAGTAGCACATAGAATTTATCGATTCATCCTTTAAAGTTATAACCATAAAAATTAATTTTATAGGATAATGTAAATAAATGAAGATACATTGGACTAATCAAAATCTCTTTTATATACTTACCATCATCTATTGGTGAATAACTGCATTTATATGTTCCATCACCATTATTTTGTATTAAACATGCTGTTCTTTGTTTATTCGGACTAACTACAATAGCTTTAACTATTCCTCTACTTTGTGGATCAACCGCTTTAGCATCAACTGTGAATTTAGCAAATGATTCTTTGAAAACACCTTTAAAACGGAATAATAATAAAAGATGATATTCATTAAAGTAGTAATTTGTTTAATTATCATTTAAATATTCAGAAAACGAGCATATTTTCCATATTTAGAATGACAAACATGCTTTATGAATACAAATGCATGCTGATTGATTTCATTAAAGTTCTTTGTCATGCAACATCATTGTCAGATCTTTTATAGGAAAACTTAATTAAAGAGATTTATGTAACGGAATCATGCAAATTAGAAATTTTCAGCATTCTCTGTTGATTTTGCCTACCAGTTGGTTGTAATCCAGGACCGTAGGCATGAACTCGGGATATATCTATATGTTCTCTTCCAGGTGGAGCGACTCTTACAGGGAATGGACTCCCTTTAATATGTGTATCTTTGTATAAAACATTTACAACATATGGTCCTGGTTCAGTTGGTAAATAATCTACGCCACATGTTCCATCACCATTATCGTTATAATTTATTTTAGCTTCTGCAGGTCCTTCAATTGTAACACTTAGTGGAGCAGGTGGAGCATCTTGACTATCGATTGTGAATTTCGCCTGCTTTCCAGCTATTGCACGATAAAGTCCGTCACCATACGCGCGGACCAAAGCTGCTGCTTCAGGTCCAGAAATAGGTGCTGAAGTAGCTTGCTGACGTCCGAAATCTTTTGGATAGATAGGCTCTTGCACTGCAGCTGGTGGAATGGCGTTTGTACGAAATGGACTACCTTTGACTGGTACACCTCCAACTTCAACAGCAACAGTATGAGGCCCAACAACAGTTGGTGTAAAGGAAGGTGTATATCCATCAACGCTTTCAGCTAAAGTGCATGGTACACGCATACCGTTCGGAGATTTCACTGTTACAGTTGGTTTCGGTTTACTATTATTTGGTGGGCCTGCACCCGCAGTTATCACATCAAACTCAGTTGGTACACCAGTAGTGATAGCTGATTTATAAAATAAAGATATTAAACTTATTTACATACAGGATTTATTTCAATGGATATTATCTGTGATTTTCCATATTAAAATTATACTAGAAGTAAATATATATTCACTGTTTAAAAATCATGTGAACTACGAACTACCAATGAACTGCCTTACCTGACCATGTAATTGCTGAATATTTCAATGATATATTTCAGTCAATAATCACATTCCATGTAACGGTAATACTATCTTTTTACAAAACTTATATTTATTAGACAAGAATTATAGGATACTGTTTGTAAAAGGATTTCCTGGAGATTGTTGTATTTTATAACCAACATCATGGGTTGATCTTGGTTAAAAAATTATAGAAAATCAGGAACCACTAACAGGTGTTTAGGTTTAATATGGGGCTCTTTAATAGTGTCCATACTAGGGAACCCAAGACCTTATGTCTCACACTTAATTTCTAGGCTACTGAGACGGGATCCAATGGTTTATATGCCTAATTTTAGTCGCTTCACAATACCGAGCAACCCTCTTCCGTCGCCTGCGATGAATAACTGTGGATAAATATGAAGATTATGGGATGGTCTAAAAAATAAATACTGCATAAAGATGCATATCACTAAATACTGAACATTTTGAACAAACAATATAAAAAATTTATTTTACTGTATACTATCTATTTGAAACGTCAGCCACTAGCTACAGTCCACCTTTACCTACTAGAGATAATATTTTAACTCATTTAGTTTATGAAAGATTTTCCCAATATTCTGTGGGATTTATCCACCCCGTTTTTACTTTCACTACTTTCTTGAAAATGTTTGAATGATGTACTAATGTTGAAGATATTTTAGCAGTGTTGAAAGTTATCTAAAGAATATTGGACAGTGTATAAAGTGAATGAAGTCTTGGGAATAACATAGTTCATCCAAAACACGTAATTATATATCAGTACGAGGTTGTGGAGATTCCTGAATTTTATTGGAATCACTAACCAATCTGAGACAACTATTGATAACCTGTTAGCAACTGAATGGGTATTTCGTCCTATCAAGGGACTCTATATCAGTGAGCATCCTGGTATCTGAACTCTGGGAACCTTTGGTCTTACTAGTGACTAGCTCTGAGAGGAAATTTCCGGAGTTCTGGTGAGAAGTTATGACAAATGGAGTCCAACGGTGTTGAGTGTGAGGAAGATACCTACCAAATACAATGCAAAATGTTCGCTCAACATCTTGAACTGATTAAAGTTAGACTTATACACCACTGGATCCCGGTTCAGTGGCCTAAAAATCAAGCGTTTGTGTGTGAAACCAAGGCCCCAGAGTTCCGTTTCCGAGTGCAGGGTCATGGATGGGCACTGTCGAAGAATCCCACGATAGAATGGAACAGCCGTCCAAAGTTTATATATTTTCGATGGTTGTCTAATTTAGAACGATTCATGATTTTGATGTAGTCTGATTGTATATTAAAGAAAAGTTTTTTAGATATCGGATAAGTTAATAAAAATATACAAAATGTCAAGCGTTCTTACTAAATGTAAAGTTATACTTAGTAAATAAGTAATAATAAGTAGTTGACCAAAAGTCGTCCATAAATTATAGTCGCACCAACAAACGTCACAAAGCTGATGTTTCACTGTGGAAGTACAACCAGTTAATAATTCTTTTATTGATTAAAAGTATTGAAAATAGAGGGACTAAGTAACATTGTTTCTATAACCTACTTGATTGAATTCTCTTTAACAAATTGTATTAATATCAAAAACTACAATTTAGTTTCATATAAACTGATCCATATATATGTACAGTATTATTATTTCTTGTGGCAGGATCAGTATTTATATTTGTAGCTTGGAATTATTTAGTTCATTCAAGCCCCCGAATGCCCTGGTATGGCCGAGAGTGGGGAGAGTCCGCTCTCCCTCTACAAATGCTCTCACATGGCCACGCGTATATAGCCTCTGACAGGGAAGTCCTACTCACTGCCTTCTCGTGGCGAGGTTGTTGCTTACGAAAATGAGAGGACGAAAAGTGAACGTCCGGCGCTTTAACCGGATTCCAAACCAATGGTGCACATGGGCTCCAGTTTCCTGAAGGAACAAATGGCGTATGAACCAGTCGTAGGTCACCGGCTACCATGGGACTGCATCTCCTCACGATGCTCCACTGCCTTGTGGGTCAGACCTTTAGGTCAAAGGCTCGGGGTGTGGCCCCCTAAGAAAACCACCTGCTTCGGTCTGGGCACCCGGGCAGTGTCACAGCCCACACATACAAATATGGTGTGGCGCATATATATTTGGTGCCCTCTTGTACCCATATTTGTGTTCAAATAACTAAATAAAATAATAATAGTTCATTCACGTTTTCATTGATAGTCTTAGTTTTAACGATGTATTATGTCTTATGATTTAAGTAAATTAGTAGTGTATGATACAATAGCTGAAGAGACATTGGAAACCGGAAAGTACTGGATAGCTAATCTAAAATCTTCAACAGTGAATACCTTCAACTATATCAAGGATGGAATCCAAGATCTTCAGATCTCATAGTGAATTCTTTCAGTCATGGAGACTTGCATAGAAAAAAAGAACAGAAATTCATATTCTCATATTATTGATGCATCATCAGATACAAATAGAAACTGGTATATTTCCATATATTTATTGCTTCATAAATAAGAGAGTTTAGTATTTTAGTAATAAACCATTCATGATATTAGTTAAAGAAGGAAAAGTACACTACGAAATAATACAACACTATTGAAACATTAGTATAAATGAAAACAAACTTTAATATAAATTACTTGGTTCAAGATTTTCAACATGAATTTTCGACATATCGATATTTGGTTTAACAGGTACTTTAAATAGACTACGTGGAACTTCTTGATTATTGAAAAATACTTGTACAGTATAATAAGGCCCCGGTGTATTAGCTGTATAAGCAACTTTAAATGTTCCATCTCTCATATCCTGTGTATCCATAGCGACATCACGTCCAGCTTCATCAGTGACACTAATTCCAACATTACCTTTATTTAAAAACAAAGTAGGTGGAATATCATTGAAAGTTACTTAAAGATTATAGCGTTTCATGATTTGATGAGACAGCTTTAATGTAAACTGACAATGTTAGGCTTTGAGTTGAAACGTGGTTTCACCTGAGCACATCTGGGAAGCCAAGTTTTATCATATATGCTTAAATAGAAACATGTACATTAACCTGCGATTCGTTTCTAGTTATTATTATTACTACCATTAATACCATTAGCAATGAGTGAAATTAATACACCATCCTAATAGAATTTCTCTGATTTATGTACTAGTAAGGGCATACAACCACATTTCTCCATTGTTCCCTTCAAGCACTGAGGTTGGCTACGGTTGCCCAATCTCACCATTCCTCTTCAAATTTGCTATCGATGACGTTCTGGAAATGGATCTGATTGATGTAGGTAATGGTGGTGCGGGTCTTTTGCCTGCAGAAAGACTTCCCGACCTTGAGTATGAGGATGATATTGTCTTACTTTGCCATGCGATCCGCACTTAATCAGTTGGCAATTAGTGTCCGTAGGTATGGTATGTATTTCGCACCTTTTAAGTGCAAAGCACTTCTACAAGACGGTCAGGACCCTGATCCTGCACTTACCCTGGGCAGTGAGCAGATAGACGTAGTCGAGAAGTTCGTATACTGGGTATCTGCATAAGTGCTGGTGGTAGCACGAGTGATGAGATCAATGCACGTATAGTGAAAGCCAGAGCGGCTCATGCCAATCTCGGTCACCTTTGGCACCTTCGTGATATTAGTCCGACTGTAAAAGGTCGGGTCTACAACGCATCAGTAAGAGCACTTTTGCTCTATGTTTGTGAAACCTAACCTCTTCGAGTTGAGGATCTTAGGCGATTCTGTGTTCGATCATCACTGTCTCCGAAGGATTGCTGACATCCAGTGGCAACACCATGTTAGTAATTTAGAGATTTGGCATCTTATGTTCAGGCAGAGCCACAAAAATTAAATCGGTGTCACTATCTTGAAACACAGAATTCGATGGCCTGAACATGTCCTGTGAATGACGTACCAGTGAATTCCACATCGTGCATTATTTGCTGACACTGGAACTGGTTGGAAAAAGCGGAGAGGTGGTCAGTATATGATATGGTATCGTGGCATGAAAGATGTACAGGCCTGGTATCTATTGACCCCTCACGACTCCCTAACTGGGGTACTAGAGATGGTACAACACAATTGCTGTAGACGTTGTAAGATATGTTTCAGAATGGAAATCAGTAGAGATCTTGCTATAACTTTATTTTACTTTAGAGTAAGTAAGTGTAACTTCTTTAACTGAAAGAATTTTCTCAGGTCGTATTCTTCTTAACTGAACTGCTTCTCCCTTTATCATTATTTTTTTATTATTTCACTCTCATGGACTAATTCCTACCCATTTTTGTGCTTTTTTTATTATACTCATCTTCTTTTCACTATCTCTTCATAATCTCATTTTTATCATGTGACCTTTGCGTATTTTGGTGTCTCCCCGCACCAATATTTATATGTTCAAACAAATAATAAAAATTCACAAAGTAGATCTGTAATTTTTGTCAACGTTGTACAACACTGTACAGAGCTTTTTATTTTTTTGATCGAACATATCTGGGATTGGTAGATTTCTTATGGCGATCAGTTCAGGGTGGGATGCAATTCCATACATGAGTCAATTGAAGCTAGACCACCATGAAAAACCTGGAAGCACTGGACGGCCGTTTCGTCCTATTGTGGAACTCCTCAGCAGTGAGCATCCACGATCCCATCCCACGAGATTCGAACTCAGGACCTATCAGTCTCGCATTCAATCGACTCGTGAATCCAACTTTAAATTACTAAGATCTCCACAAAACTCCTTCTGATAAGAATGCAGTAAACTGTGGCAAGAATTCGAACCAAATTATACTGTTAAAAACAAAAGTGTAGTAAAGGAATCTTACCATGTCCAGCCTGTTTACAGTCTACTGTGAAATAGGTTGGTTGACCTCTAGTAACATTTTCTACACCTGGACCAAAAACTCGCACTTTTCCTGGATTACTAGGTTCAGCTACTTCAACCTGATGATAATAAACAGATATATATTAATTAATAGATTTAACATGAAATCATTCTTATTTGAAACTTGATGATTGTTGAACTACATAAATTAAATATTTTCTTATGTTTTTGATAATGTAATGTGAATTACATTTGACAAATCATATATATAATCTCGACTAATTAAAAGTAGTTAGCACCCAAGTGCCCTGGTACGGCCAAGAGTGGTGAGAGTCAGCTCTCTCTCTCCAAATGCTCTGACATCGCCACGTGAATAGAACCACTGTCAGGGAAGTTCTACTAGCTGCCTTCTCGCAGCGGAGCTGTTGTTTACGAAATTGACAGGACGAAAAGCGAATGTTCGGCGCTTTAACCGGATTGATGTATATAAAGAGTTCGCCTAGGCGAGTTGAAAAACTCTGATTCGTATCCAATGGTTCACATGGACTCCAGTATCCAGAAGTAACAAATGGCATATGAACCAATCGTTGGTCACTGGCTACCATAGGACGGCCTCTACTTACGTTGCTCTACTACCTTGTGGATTGGACATCTAAGTCAAAGGATCCGAGTATGGCAGCCTAAGAAAACCACCTGTTTCGGTTTGGGTACTCGGGCAGTAATCCCATCCCTCACACAAATCGAATGATTTATGTAGCGCATATCTATTGAGTGCCTCCTTTAACTAATGTTTATATGTTTAAATAAATCAAGTTGGCATCAAAATACTAAGTAATTAATTATCAATTGACAAACGTAATTAAATCTCATATGAATTTAGCTGAAACTAGTTTAAAGTAAAAACTTGTTTTTGAAACAAAACTATGTCATTGAATGATAAAGCATTAAATTTCAAAAAAGAGAATACAATTTACATGCACTACTGATATATATTTCCAATAAATGAATATAAGGGTTATATATTAGTGTGAGGAATGAGGATTAAGATTTACAGTTGATGGTTAGGATTAAGAATTAGATCTCGGGATGCGATTCTCCGCCTTGAAATGCAAAGTGTTGCTTCAGGATTGGGTTGCATCGACACCCGAACTAATGATAGGGAGTGAAGTAGTCAAGCTTGTCGACCGCTTCACTTATCTTGGACAAATGCATCTGTGTGCTAATTTGGTGTGGCAACTCTAAATGATGTACTTACGTACGAAGTTCTACACTGTTACTGACTGACTGACTGATATAATCAACTAAAATGCCAAAATGGTATTTAGGCAAATGGATGAATGAATTTCGCTCCAAAATCCAATACCTGTTATCGTAAACCTGGTTGGTTTGTTCATAAATCATAGTTTCGCCAAAAGTTATATAAATTTGAATGAGGTAAATATGTGTTGACTAAAGAATATTTCTTCAAATTTAAAGTTATCAAGAATAAAACCTACCCTGAAAGGACTTCTAGGTATATTGACTCCACCGTAGGAAACAAGGACTGTGTGTTTTTTAGGAACTTTAGGTGTATAGCTACATGTATAAGTACCATCGCCATTATCACGAACTTTCAATGCAACTGGTTCACCTTCATTGTCTCTGCATTCAACTGTTAATGGGGCAGGACCACCAGAATCTCTAATATCTACTGTAAATTCAGTTGGTTGACCAGCAACGTTCCCAGTTGGCATTATACCTGGTCCATGTGCTTTAACCTATCATAAGATTTAAATTAATACAATTCATTATACGTTCCATCGAATAATTAGTAAATAAAGTGTCATATATTCTATATGTGACTTACTCTTTCAGGATCACATTTACCCATATCTGGTTCAATTGGAACCATGAAAGGAGATTTTGGTATATTTTCATCATTACATAAAATATGTACTGCATATTCACCAGGAGCTGTTGGCCAATAAGCTACAGTAGCTGATCCATCTCCATTATCTGTACAATCAATTCTTGCTTCACTTGGACCTTCGATTGAAAAACCTTCAAATGAAATGGAAAACAAAAAATTAGTTCCACTAAGATTGCATTTGAAAATAATGAATAATGTAACTCAGATTACTGTATAGTATATGATGTATGTACACCGATTTTAATAATCAATAGAGGTAAGTATATCTTGTCCTTTAAGTAGTTTAACATGACATTTTGAATGGAGTTGATAGTTGATATTCATTTTAAAAAAAATTCCTTAACATAGTTTATTTTTATTCTATTTCAAGAGTTAAATTCTTCTAAAAGAAGACACTATTATTGGGATCTTTATCATTACTTACTTACTTACGCCTGTTACTCCTAATGGAGCATAGGCCGACGACCAGCATTCTCCAACCCACTTTATCATATTCAGTTTAAAAACTACATATATCTGAAATGGAATTATTATTATTACCTTGATTCAGTATTATGTTTTTAGTACAATATAGAGATCTTAACACAAAGTATTTCAATAAGTTTCTCTTTCTTACTTCTCTGATCGATCCTGATGATGAATATTGAGTGATCGCTAGTTAGAGTTGTTAGTAGTTCAGTCAATCGACATTTAAAGAGCGAACATTCTTTTCGCTAAATATTACCACTAACTATGATATCTCTGATGAGACCTTTTGTAATTTGTACAACGAAAGGTTGTACACTTTTCAGAAACACATCTGAATAGGTTATGTGATTAATAGACATAATGATGATATATTAAAACAAACCAAAATAGATAACTTGGAAGTACTGGACGACTGTTTCGTTCTATTGTAGGATTCCTTAACAGTGCGCATCTACGAACCCTGCTGAGGAGTTCCACAATGGGACGAAACAGCCGTCCAGTACTTACAGGTTTTTCATGGTGTTCCAACTTTAATTGACTCATGATCTGAAGTATTAAAATGAGATAACTTATTGAAATATCTAGATGACAGGAACAGGTAACTCAGATGTTCAAGCAGTTTTAAATGTACATTACGATATACATAATATTTATAGTATTCATCAAAATTGTACAGTTACACGTCAATTTTCAACAATTTCAAAAATCTATTACATTCTAATTGTATATCCTCTCTCTCGCTCTCTTTATGTTTGTCTTTATAACTCATATTTAATGTTATTTCCGGTAGAAGACAAGATGATTTGAAAGCTTAGCAACAACAACAACAACAACAACAACAACAAAAAGCAAAATAAGCATTTATGATGGACGAATTTTATGTGTGATATGTTCAGTGAGTTTTCATTGAGATAATTTTATTATCACTCAGGAAACATGTACTTAACCTATATATGTTTCATTTTTTTGTTTCTAATAGAAATATTATACTCGACGAACGGGTAGGACAATTACAGATACATATGTAAGTTTATTCAAGTATGTTAACTTGTAATAGACGTGTTAGGCTAAAACAAAAAAAAAATAGGGAGACTGTTTCATTTTGATGCTACACCGTATCTGATGTGTACATTACATATACTAATGTATATGTATATATCGTTCAGTTAATTTGTAAATGAAGCATAAATGTATGCAGGTTTTCTATCAATTCCTAGAACAGAGTCTAGATTATTGACAGTTGAAATAGACTGAATAGATTAAAAACGAAATGTATTGAGTTGTAATATATTTATGTATTTCAATAGGTAAGTTTATGTGATTCATTACTGAGTGTAGGATGATATTTAAATACGCATGATTACAGTTGAATGGAAGGATTATGATTAGAAAGAACTTATAGTAAATGACTACTAATAATAAGAATGGTAACTAACATTAATGGTTGTATTTTATAATATTATGGCTATTGAGTAATATCCATGTGAATAATAAAATTTGTATAAAAGTAATATGACTGGCTTGAAGAGGTATTTCCTAGAGTTCTAGTAAGAAGCAGTGACCAATGGAGTTCAAACAAATCTGTTGTGAGATAGTAACTCACCGAAGATAATGGTAGATGTATCACTCAATTTTGTGGATTAGTTGAAGTTAGATATTGACACCGTTGAATGCCGACCGGCTCAGTGGTCTAGTGATTAGGCGCTCGCACGCGAGACTGGTAGGTGCTGAGTTCGAATCTCGCTAGGCAAGATCGTGGATGTGCACTACTGAGGAGTCACACGATAGGATGGAACGGCCGTCCAGTGCTTCCAGGTTTTCCATGGTGGTTTAGCTTTAATTGGCTCATGGTTTCAACTAATAAAAGTAATGTTTGCACGCAAATTGTTGCTTGTTAATGGTATCTATTTAGGTTATCCACAATATAATCTGTTTTGAGATTAAGTCTATGCTTCTAAATGAAAGGACTTGTTGAATTCAAATAAAAATGTCTGTTCATTAATTATAAAGTTTAGCGGATGTATTATGCTTGCTCATTCATCTGAGTAAAACTACACTTTACTGCTGAGACAATCAGAAACAAGAAAGTACTTAATATACTTTTTTTCAAAGATTTCAAAAGTCTAGCTTCCTTTCATCTAGTAAAAACCTTCACAGAATATATCTTTATATTGATTGATCACTAAGTAGTGACCAGTGTCATGTTCTTCTAGACTATTATACTAATCTAAGTTCCTTTACAGAGCTGGATCAAAAGCAAAGAAATATATGAAATTCGTCAACTTTGGATATTATTATCGTTATATCTGTGAAAGCCATTAAATACATGGAGTTTTTCTAATCGAATTCTATCGATCAAATTGTAATGTAGTCATCATTAGCTTAAGTGAATCGACACTGAATATAATGTGTTTAAATGTTAGTGAGTTAGACAGCATCCCAAAGAATCCTCTTTTCTTGATAACGTACTACTTGCGAATACTTAGAATGGTGTCTTCACTACCTTGATGGAACTGATACTTAAATCTCTTAGAGTTGATAATAAAGAGTTCATTGTCTCATTAATAACTTAAGGTGGTATGGCGTGAATATAAAATCACATGAAGCGCTGATTCCTCGTGATCGAGATTACATTCATAATGCTAATTGGAAGAAGATTCATTTCTTTTTATTTTACTCAGAGCGAACTTTCAACTAAATTATTATTCGCATTGGAGGTTTGTGGATATTGTTCATGTTTTCATATTTTTACATCACAGTTTGGTTTTATTTAAGCTACTAAAAACGAGTAAGCACTAGACAGTTGCTTCTTAGTATGTAGCCACCTAACACTGGGGATCCCCGGATCCATTGGCGATCTAACTTATTATCTCTAGTCTCGTGCACATGTTTTATCTCTAAACCACCAAGTTGGGATCGTTGGGTGAATATTTCTAACTTCCTGGTTTCCAAAATCTGTTTAACCAAGAACAATCCATGATGTAAGTTAAACTATTATCATTTTCGACATGGTCAGGAGCTACTTTAAGTATACGATAATCTAAATTTCTTGACTAAACCACTGAGCTGTGAGAATTTAATCTCACCAACAGTCTACCTATTGTACCCAATAAAAACATTGGTTTAATTACTGTTTTTATCACTTTACCGATTATTTGTTTAGGTTTCATGATCATGAGATACAAAGTAATGGATGAACCACAGACATTTAAAGGAATAACATTTTATATGCACGCTGTTGTTATTTCAATAAAAACAGAGAATTGGTAAGAAATAGATATATAACTCACCTAAAGCGCCAGTTTCACCATTTGTTTCCACGACAAAAACAGCTGGTTTATTGACAACACCACCAACGAGACCTGGACCAAATGCTCTTATACGTGATTCTTTGTAAGGAGCAACTTCCACCTGTTATTTATATGTATGACAATAATGTTGAAATTTATAAATACTACTATCAGTGAGAAGTCATCTTCATGTATATATGACTCAAATAAGTGGGTCACTCAATCTTAATTAACATAAGAGTTTAAATAAATATACGTTAGTTTGAGGTGTTCGCACAAAATGGAATTGACAAAATGAATAGTGAAATCAAAATCACATTGTAGAGTTGATAATGAGAAAGATCAGACATTGAGGATACAGACTGAAAAGAAGGGATCTACTAAGGAATCCTGTAGCTCAAGATCTAGGCTGAAATAGAGTGGATGGATACACACCAGTGTGATGGATTCTAAGTCATGATAATCATTTAGATAAAAACCAAGAAAAAAAGAAAACGTAATTTGTATTTATTACCTAATTATTATAAATATGTCTATTTAGTCAATAGATGTAACCAAGTCACAACAGTGTTCTTTCGCTGAGATTTTACAAATACACTCTTCCTCTTTAATGTCTCATATCAACTTGGTGCCCAAATACTTTGAAACTATTCGATCAAATTTAGATTATATTATAACTTGGTCAATAATAATGACAGCATATTGTACATGTTAGTTTCTAAACACTTCTATGTATTGACACATAAATTATAGAGAAACAAAGGATAAAGTAATAATAATTTTTTACTTAACAATTATACATGTATCAGAAGGGGTTTTGTGGATATTATGGTAATTTTAATAGTTGAGATCATGAATCAACTGAAGCTAGACCACCATGAAAAACCCGGAATCACTGAACAGCCGTTCCGTCCTACTGTGGGACTCCTCAGTTGTTCACATCCTCGATCCCGCCTCGCGAAATTCGATCTCAGGACCTACCAGTCTCGCACGCGAACCCTTAACCTCTAAGGCCATTGAGCCGGCATGATATCATGATCTCAATTATGCATCTATAACTGAACACAAATTGTACATATCTATTTGATATAAACTATTTTTTTTTGTTTTTAATGAATATCTTTTCAATACTAGATTGAATGTATTCAACGAATAGTATATCTTTTAAAATTACTTACCGTAAATGGACTTAGCATAATATGATCTCCACCATACCGAACATTAACTTGATGTGTACCTGGTCGTTGAGGTGTGTAACTACAGTCAAACAAATAGGCACCAGTTTTTCGACTTGTGCAAGGAATTCCTCTACCATCTAAATGTTAAAAAGAAAAAAAGAACGACAATCAGAACTGTCAGTTCAACTAGATGTTTTGGTTATGCTACTTTCTGTTAGCTAATTGAGAGGCTTTCATTATCACTCTGAATTAACTAGTCATGAAAGGAAGGATGTCATGGTTCGTAATGATAAATGTATGTATTACTGGAAATCTCGAAGTAATTCCTTCTTAAGGTACATTTTTAAACCACTTCAGAAGAGATAATGAACTGATCGATGTTAGACCATTGGAAACCTGGAAGCGTTGGACGGCTGTCTCATCATAGTGTAGGGCTTCTCATCAGTGTGTATCCGCGAGCTCACTCGAACGGCTAACCTCTATACTATTGGGCCGACCTCCTTCAGTGTTGACGCCCAAATTCAATCAGTCCACACCCGACACAGTTGAACTCCATTGGTCACGGTGTACTGCTGAGGAGTCTCAAACTAGAATGAAACGGCCTTTCAATGCATCTAGGTTTTCAGTAGTGGTCTAACATTGATCATTATCTTTGTCCAGTATGGTTGACACGTTATTGTTTAAGTTTAAGATTAAGTGACGTTATGATCAAGTGTGTCCACTAAAAGTGACACACACATGTATCAGTTAAAGTTACCACATCATATCAGTACAGTAATATGTAACCATCAGGATTATTACCAGAATAGGAGATTTTAGTAAAAGTATCAATGGTGGTAGAAAATATCAACCATAGACAATATAAATCATAAAGAAAAAAGTGGATTCTCAGAAAATAAAGTATCCGAAAATTGTAACTAGCATATCTCACAATCATAGTGAATACTAAACGAATGATTACAGTTTAATAGCCAAAAAGATGATCATCACTAGATTTATAAGAGTCATATATCAATACATTTAAGTACATACAAGCACCATCTAGTACACTTTTCATACATAAGGCTTAGTATTCAATAAACAAACGCATGACAAAAAACCAAATCACTCATCAGTTAGTCAGCTACAACATAGGACCAGGCACATATATGCATCGGTCCAAGTTGCCATACCTCATTAGCACAACAAGATGAACAACGAATTCATAGAAATAGTTAATTCAGTGGTCATAATATATAAAAGAAAGATTGCATATAAAGACATAGTACAGGAAGAAAGAATTAGTTTGTAGGAAGAAAGATATGAAGCGAATTTAATCTCATAGTTTAAAGGAAAGCAGAGCGTGCATACACCAACGCCATTGTGATCGATTCTAAGCCATTTCACACCAAGTCTCCAACCATTGATTACGATAGTCACACGGACCCCAACCAATTAGTGACATTATGAACTGATGCCATGTTTTAGTTTGGTTATCCCTAACTTTCTCCCAACTATCCCCAACACTAATCAGCATAGCAAAAATCACTCATAAAACTAATGAATGAATTAAGAATACTATGTTGAATTGATTTAATAAGATTTCTTTCTTTTTTTATAACCATATGGAAGGTAGATATAAATTATATATTATATCATATAAAACCTACAACTATATCATTTGACTAGTATTTCTTATTACACCGCAACTTATGTCACCAGTATATCTTGACTTCCTTAAAAAGAAAAAAAAACACAACCCCACTACTGATCAATATTTCTGGTATTCTCTTTTTTTTCTTTTTTTTCAAAAAAACGGAGAAAAATGTTAAAAATGAGGCAAAAAGATTGTTTCATATTGGTAGTAACAAAATTACAGTAGACTAAATCTTATTCAATCTTTAATGACGATAGTTGTACTAAATCATCATTTCATTCTATAAATTATAAATTAACTAGGTAACAAAAACTTTCTAATTACGTAGTTACATTTTCTCACTTTTCCTGGATACTGAAAAGATGTTGCTTGTTTGTTTTTTTTTGAAAGGAAAAGTAAATGAAATCATTCCTTTATCTACTAGAGAAATCTATAATCTTTCATTTTGGTGACATTGATGATGAGATAAAATTAAGGCAAACAAAACTATCCTAATTAAGTTATATAGGAATCTTACCTAATAAAAATTAGTTTACTATGAAAATTAAAATGGATAATGATAAATATTTAGGATAGATTTGCAGGTTTATCAGGCTATTACTATTATTATTATTAACACTTGATAAAGTCTTGCGGATTTGAACGCTATATTCTGTAACCCCCAAGCTAGAACTATTCAGTGACCTGAACACGAGAGAGAAGCCTCAAAGTACGCGAGAAGCACTTTACTCCAAGGTTCATTTTAACATAGAAAATATAGGGTTTTTATAATATTTTAAATGTCCTTGGGTTGCTAGAAGTTTCTGGAATGCTACTAAACATAATAGCAGTATGGTAACCAACCATTCAGAGCCTCTGGATGTGACGTTTCACTTCCTTGATATTTTTGGCTAAGACTTCAACTGAACGCTGATTGGATGAAAAGCTTCTTAGTGTTTCCTGATGCTTGCTTGTCTTTTGCAAGCAATTTTCTGGATCACCTCAACAGCTACAATGTAGGAACAGGCAGATATATGCATCGGTCCAAGTTTCCATACCTCACTATCACAACAAGTTAAACACCAGATTCATAGAAGCAGTTACTTCAATAGTAGTAATATACACTAATAAAGATTGTATACCAGGATATGAAACAAGGAGAAAGAATTAGTATGTAGAAGGAAAGGTATAAAGTAATTTTAATCTCACAGTTCAAGAGAAGACAAGGAGTGTATACACCTACGCCATTGTGATCGATTTTTAGCCACGTCATCAAGAGTCTCCAACCACTGGTTACGATAGTCGCCTCATTAGCACCACAAGATGAACACCGGATTCATAGAAGTAGTTAATTCAATGGTGACAACATATAAAAGAAAGATTGTGTATAAGGATATAGTACAGAAAGAAAGAATTAGTTGGTAGAAAGATATGAAGCAATACTAACAATGAGTAACATCATTCGAATGGTCACTTGGTGCTCTGTTAAAAATAGAAAAAAATATTTTTGTTTTTCAAACCAGTTTTCATCACTGATTAATATTAGCTGGGAAACTTTCTAGAGATATAAAGGAATTAGTGAGTAATATACGGCTCTAGACGTGATTACGCGCAGTACATTTAAGTTACTTGTTAAGCAACGTAATGTTGACCTACTGAGTTATAATCTAACTGTAGCTATTTTATGATGCAATGGAATTATTTTACTTTCGTAAAATCAAACTATGATGTTGGGATGTAGGATTTTTTGTCTAATTTTTAAATAAATATTGATTTCGTTTTGGCGCAATCAACTAAATCAAGAAGGTTATAACTTGTGGTCTTGTACCCTATCAACATATGATGTAATGATACAGTTAATTAGAGAACAGTGACTTATCTACCGGACTAATAACACATCACAACCGTACGAGTAGTCTAGAGTTTTTATCGGTCCTGCTTCCCACCTAGTCCTGCCTGTTAAGTCCAGAACACCAATCTAAGCCTCTGCGACATGAATCATCTATTTCAAACATGCTGGGTTTATATACAATCCAAACAAACCACATCGTACCATAATTTGGAAAATAACATTTGTACAAGATCTAGCCAAATGTGGCTGTGATTGTGGGCGACTTTAATTAATAAACTGGGCATAACTTAAGAACGGTAAATCGTATAGTAATAGTCTATGTGTCAAAATAAAGTTTATAATAAGAGGAATATGAATATATGTAGGTTAGTTACTTAACAATTATACAATAAAAATATATGTATAGTATTAATCCAGAAAAGATTCCAACAGTTAACAGTCATTATTCCCGTCAGTATAAAACAAAGAACAAAATACCTTGAAATTATAAAACATATTTTAGAAATACTACACAGTTAATTGGTGTAACCACCTGGAAATATGCATAATATCGTTCAATTTATTGATATAACCCGATAGAAATGTGTATTGATTCAGGTGACAGACACTTAATATATACGGATTTTCATTAATTAGAATTAGCATAAACAAATAATATGTAAACGTCTGTAAAAGAAAAAAAATTATCTGCATTTTTTTTACCTGGAGCAATTACAGACACTTCTAGTGGACCTTCACCAGCATCTTCTGTATGTACTTTAAAATCAGCCAAATCTTTGACTCGTATACCTTGAGGTTGAATTCCTCGACCTGTGGCATAAGCTTGTTTGGGATCACAGGCTAAATAAAACAAGATATTTATAGATTAATATACAAGAAGAATGTATTCCAGAGTAATGAGCTCTCGTCCTACTTAATACTTTTGCTTACATAACAGTATGGAGTGTAATAGAATTACAAATTTAACATGGATCATTTAAAAGATTTAACATAGAATTTACTTGTTTATTTCAACTAATCAAATAACCATGGTTTCAAATGACAAGTAACCGGATAAGAATATAAGAAATAGAATTTTTGTTTAAATATTATGGAGTAATCAAAATTTAATGTATATTTAGACAATTCTGACCTGGTCGTTGTGGTTGAGACATTTTCCTAGGTGACTGTGTTGCTTGCAATGGAGCTGTAATTAAAGTAGGATTAGGTAAATATACACAAGTGTTCTTAAATTAGATACTGTAAAGTTCACAGTTAATAATCATGCTTTCGAGACATTCATGTGCATTGGTCCAATTGAGATTAAAAAGAGTAAATAAAAAAAATTGGACAAGCGTTTTAGCTCATGCTTTGATTATTATTATTATTGACTTCATTATTTTATTGGCACCAAATTTGTTTGGAATTAAATCATGCGTAGAAGTTTAAAAGAAAAGAATTTACAAACACTTTAGATAATAATAGCTAAGCTTAGTTCACAATCGTTACATATCCCTTATACTAGTAATAATCATGTGCATACTAGTGTCTAGCTTCGAGACGTAATCCCTAGAGTTCTAGTGAGAAGCTGTGATCAATGGAGTTTGAACATGTTGGGTGTGAGAAAGTTGTCAACAGCAGGTAATGGATAAGTGTTGTACAATATCGAGGATTGATTGAAGTTAGATATTAACACCTTTGGATACTGGCTCAGTGGTCTACAGGTAGAACGTTCACACTCAAGACCAAAGGTTCTCAGTTTGATTACCCTAAATGGGTTGTGGGTGGTCATTGTTGAGTAGTTCTGCACTAGGATGAAATTGTTGTTTAATGCTTCCAGTTTTACACTGGTGGTTTAACTAAGATCAGTTTGTGATTTAGACTTACGGAATTCTACAATCTTCAGAAATCCTCCATGAAAATAAAATGTTCAAGGTTTTATATCAAGGAATATTTAAGTTAGACAATAAAAAAAAACTGTACCTTCAACATGATCTTATTATCATTCAGATTCAATAGGAATCGTCCGCTAATAGTGTCATGTAAGTAAATAGAACAAATTTTATTTGATATTACTTCATTTCTTAGAAATTGATCAAACGTTTATTGTCACCAAGAGATATGTGTATGTCATAATGTTTTGGTAGTACTGTACTCTGTGAGCCAGATGCTTTAATTGTATAACTTTCTATCACGTTTTTTCTTAAAAACAGTCAACACCTACTTCATAGAGAAGTGAGACTCATTTAAAGAGTATTTAACAGGTATTAGATTTTTTCACTCTGATAACCTTTACCGTGGTTTACATTATCTGTGCAATCACATTAACCGCTTTCTTAAATTATATTCTGACCATTTGATCTTCATCATTATAGTGGCGGATAACCTCATTCAGTGATTTCCCTCATTGAAGGTATAATGAGCGTCATTTTCCTAATGACATTCAAGAATCAATTGTGTACATAATCTTTATACTAAGGATATATATACTAAAAGATGCATGATATAAGTAAGAACTATTTTAATGAAATAAACTCTATTAGAACAGGTTTGAAACATTAAACTATTACTTGAAATATCTAGATCGAAATAAATCTGTTAAATGTTTGTTGGAAAACACAATACCTTCTTAGTATCAGTATAGGGTTGTAGAGGTTATTAAGTTTTTGATTAAGATCATGAACCGATTGATGTTAGACCACCGTTGAAAACCTGGAATTACTGGACGACCTTTTCGTCCTAGTATGGGACTCCTCAGCAGTGAGCATCCACAATCCCGCTCGCGGGATTCGAACCCAAGGCCTTCAGTCTCGCGAGAGGAGGATTAAGACCACTGAGTCGGCATCCAACTGTATTAATGTCTAACTTCAGCCAATCCACGAAATTGTGTGACCACCTTCCATTGTACTGAGGTAGATACCTATCTCTACTTGACATAGATTAGCTCCGCTGGTCACGGGATTTTCACTAGAACTCTGAGAATTCCCTTTTTTCTAATATATTCGCTGTAAGAAATAAGCAGCATCAACCGTAGTTCAACCAAACTCACATGAAAATAAACAATAAAATCAAACCAAAATAATAAAAGGTGAATATTATTTTTCAGTCAATTTAAAGCAACAACATTTCTTCGGCCAAAATGAAATCATGAAAGATTTTGGATACATGCATCATGAATATCTTTTCCCAGATTTCTGATCATTAATAATGATGATTATTTGATGAAACTTCATATAATTCTACTTTTAATAGATTGATTATTGTCATGCTGATTTATGTTGTAACTTAATAATGATAATAATAAATAACGAAGATATAAAGCTTAGCAACAACATTATTCATTCATTCATTCATTCAAACAAACAAAAAGAACTGATGCACACCTTCTTGGTTAACTATAGGTGCAGGAGATTGTACTACTGGTGGTGGTCCTATATGAAAGAATAAAGTTATGAATTTATAATAAAATATTGTATTTAAAAGGTAATTACTTTGAAATTAAGGGATTAAGGTGTATACCTAGTTACATAATTCTCATTTAACATTATAATATATATTGGTTGTTAAGATTCTCTCATTAATGTTTAGAACTCTAATTGATCAATCTGTTGTGGCATATAACATCCTGTGTGGATTGCTTTGATTTTGTCATTAAGTTGAAGGTATTTTAAAGAGAGAAAGATGCTTGTGATTTATTCATAAACTAACTAATTGAAATCTTGTCTATCTTGTATCACTAAGTAGGAACACATGACAAGGAATTAAGGTTCACTTTCATTGAAAATAAAGTGATATTCACTTCTGATATCTTTAAGCATCTTGGTGATTAGTTGATAAGTCTTGCTAATTGAACGCTATATTCGGTTCCTAAGCTATTCTCGTAACCCTCAAGCTAGAACTACACAACGACCAGAACACGAGAGAAAGAAGTGCAAAATATGCGAGAAGCATTTTACTCCAAATGTTGGGTTTTTATAGTATTTTAGATGTCCTTGGGCTTCCCGAAGGTTCTGGAATGCTAATAAACATAGTAGCAGTATAGTAACCAGCCAATCAGAAACTCTACATGTGACTTTTCACTTTCTTGATACTGCCGGCTAAATTTCTAGTGAACGCTGATTGAATAAAATGCTTCTTAGTGTTTCCTGAAACTTTCTTGTCTTTTGCAAGAAGTTTTCTGGATCACCACAATATTAGTAAATTTAAGAAATGAATGCATTTCAGCCATACATTTTAAACAATCCAGTCACATATACACTTGTCAAAGCACTCATATATGAAAATGAATGAAGGACATCTATACAGCAAATGGAAGGATATCATAAGTATAACATTTTCAGGGTATCACTGAAATAGTTGTCAACTATTGAGAAACTCGAAACTTGTATATGAAATAAATTCCTTCAATCATTTTCATGAACATGAATATCATTTGTACCCTGAACCATGTAATCCATCTTTAATAATTGCTTATCTTTATACACATGATATTTTTTTTGTAAAATCAAACTATGTATAAACAGTTACGAAATCCGTGCATATTTATTTTAGGCTGTATACACATTTTATAAGCAAAGACGGATAGTGGCTAACAGTGGAATCCAGGATGCGCGTTTCGTCCTATTTGTATACACATTTCCTATTTCAAATTTCATATTAAGAATAATACACAACTTGTGGTTTTATGTAAGAGTTCAGGTCTTTTCTATTGTAGATATTATTGACCACAGCTAACAATTTTATAATGGTATTTATGTATGCTGAACAGATACAACTTTATCAAACATCTGTAATCAGAGGTCCTATCAAGATAATTTGCTCACTCTTTTACATGCCTCAGATAATGTGTTCTGTGAATAATACAATTCAAAAGTATGTTAGTTTCATTAGTAATAAAATAATTAATATTTAGATGCCATTCAGTCAGCTAGAATGTAGGAACAGGTACATATATACATCGGTGGTTCAGAGTGGTTCGGAAAAAGTTTGATCTTTGTTTAATGATCTTATTCTCATAGCAGTACAAGAAATAAATATACATTATTTTTATGATGAGCATCTTTAATATATTTGCTCGTAGTAACAATAATTAACTGAATATAATGATCATGAAATTAAAATCAGCCAGTCAATTGGTTAAAGGGAAGACAAAGAATGTATACATCAACGCCATTGTGATCGATCCTGAGCCATGTCACCAAGAGTCTCCAACTGGTTACGATAGTCACGCGGACCCCAACCAAGTAGTCTTCATCTACCAACATGGCTAAGACCAGAAGTTAGTGACTTCAATGACTGATGCCACGTTTTAGTTTGGCCGCCCCTAACTTTTTTCCAATCGTCTCCAACACTAGTAAGTATTGCACGTCGTGGTAATCGGTGTTCCGGCATACGTAACACATGACCCAACCATCACAGCCCATCAAGATTTCCTTGTATATATTCATCAAACAATTTAAATGCAGTACGTTTTTTCATTCTTAATTCAATTTTAAATTATTCAACAACTTATCTTGACTACTTACCCAAGTAAAATAATGAATCATATTTACTTCAAATGAAATCAGTGTCCGTTTAAAGTATAATGTGTATATTAAAGTTCCTCTCAGGTGTTAAATTATCATTGTAACGGGGCGGATTTGCATGCATATAGCATACAATTATCTTTGAACCTAGTACACAACAAATCTTCATCACGAGGTAAGCCCTAACTTGAAATCTTGAAAGGAAACGAGGAAGGCCGAAGAACACATTACGCAGAGAATTGGAAGCAGACATGAATAAGATGGATAACAACTGGAAAGAACTGGAAGGGATTACCCAGGACAGGGTTGGATCGAAAGTGCTGGTGGGCGACCTATGCTCTTCCACGAGGAGTAACAGGCGTAAGTAAGTAAGTAAGGAAGTATTTAAAGTACATGATCGATCTGATAAAATTATATGGACTTAACCACTAACGTTATTAGTTACGGATCTAATTTTAAAAATGATCAATCACAGTCTACTGAACTCGACACCATAACTTAATTTAATCTTAGTCGGAAACCCTCATATTTATGTGGCTGATAAGTAATAAAAATTGATGGAGTTTTGTTCTCTGAGCTAGATGGTTTGGTCGTGGAGCTTTCATCGTTATTCTGGACGTCATCATCAGCATAAACTTCAGGTAGAAGTGAAGCGTTCGAATTGCTCCACATATGGCTCACGGCTTGTCCTGTAGACCTCGATGTTGATTGGTCATTGTTAACCTTTAACCTTCCACTGTTTACTTCTTTATTTTGGCTGTATCTCCCATTGATTTGACTTTTGGTCCTATATTTGTCCATAACTTTTTCTCATTGGTTGATAAATCAGATCGATATCAATGTGTTTGTTGATTGACCTGGGTGTCAAGCTTCTAAAAATTCTCTGGTGTTTTTAAAATTGCCTTTATCCAATATCTCAACATTTTTCCAGTCGAATGTGAAGATGAAGAGGTCATCCGCTTTGTGTGATTTGTAATATTTATGCCTAATATCCACAATAAACCTTACTATAACTAACCAATATATTACTGCTCAGTATTTGTGCTTTGTTTTCCTTGCTTTCATTTTGTACTTATCATATAAATTTATACTTTAGAGATAGATAAGAACACAAAAATCCAATAAGACTTTTTAAAGTATATCCTTCTTGATAGTGATATAGATTTATGAACAGATAGAACCATGAATCAACGTCAAACAATACTTCGGGAAGAAAAAAACTCTCGCGAAAGTTTTTACTTGTTGAACGGTCATAGTAAAAAGCTCTTGGCATGTAGATTAGGTAATTTAGTCGGGTGTTTGAAGACTTCAAGTATAACGGAAGGTTGGGACGAACACAAGTCCGGGTGTACCTGCATCGTGAAGTGAAAATCAACTCTGAGAACGAAACGTGAGTCTTGGATTCTATTGCTAGCCACTATCCATCTTTCATTATAATGCTTGTGAATTAAGGCAATATCGAGGTAATACACACAGTATGACCATATGCCAATAAGAGACTGATCAATTGCAGTCCTAAGCATGAATGGGAGAATTCAAGCAAACAATATCAAGTGAATTTATTAATTGTTTCGTCTATATAAACTTTATGATATAAGTAACTACGTCACAGAGATTAAATATGCAAGTTAGTTCATGATGTACTCATTCACAAGAAAAATTCGTAAATTCTTTTACGAGAAGTAATGGGTTCTTAAAAATTGTTGCTGAGGTAATCACGAGAATAGTGGTAGGGCGAGACTATAATTTATGGACGAATCAATCAGGTAAAAGATAACATCTCGGATTTTGGCGCGAAATTCACTCATCCATTTGGCTAAATAGAGTTTGGACATTACAGCTGATATCGATTCGTAATGAAAACCCTAAATGTAATTCGTAACCCTGACTATCAACTGTAAATCATAATTCTAATTCCTCACATAGGTTTATAACCCTCATTTAGTCCTAGTTATTAGGTGAAGACTCTCAAGGTCAGTCTGGCGTCGGTCAAATGTCGTCCATAAATGATAGTCTCACCGTTGATGGTAATAATTTTAGATAAAGGATGTTATTAAAAAACCAAGTTCTAATTTTATTATTCCTCACAAGGGGACTTAGTCTATGAGATGGTTGAAAGAATTTTTATTCAAGTTCACATTTATGTTACTTACATCGTATGCTAGTGTTGTTATTTACTAAAGAAAAATACATTTCATAGTTCCATTTTCAGGTCTTCACATATACGCTTATATTAGAGATTAGTATCATCAATACAGACAATAAGGCTCCACCTGGAGCCCCTCTCGGGCGTTTGCCGATCTCAAGCCCGGATAAAGGGAGAGGGTAGGGCAGTACTGTGATAAACCCATATTTATTCATTAAAATGATGTACATATAAGCAGAAACACAAATGTCCTATTTAAAATAAACAAGCTCATGTATTAATGAAAGTGATTTGTTTCGTCTTGTGTTGTTTGTTTGTTTTTGTGGATCGACTGTGAACACTGTATAACAATGAAAAATGGATCATCCTCTACACCGCTAACATTTTAGCAATTATCAATATGTATAAATGGATGTATAAAGTAATTTGGAGAAAGGTTTAGGGAATATAAGAGTACTGAGACAGTGATTATTTACAATTTGAAAATTAATAGGACAGATTGCATAACAATCATAAAATATATTTGATTGAGACCATGAATCGATCAATGTTAGACCATCATTGAAAATCTGGAAGCACTGGAAATTAAGCACTCGGTTCACTGGTCTATAGGTTAAGCGTTCGCGGGTGAGACCGAAGGTCCTGGGATCGAATCCCACGTCCAGTATCGTGGATGCGCACTGTCGAGGAGTTTCATACGAGGACGAAACGACCGTCCAGTGCTTCCAGGTTTTTAATAGTGGTTCAACATTGATCTACTCATGATCTCAATCAAAAGCTCAACAATCTCTACAACTTCATACAGATAATCATATGATAATTGAAGAGCTTACATAAATCTCAAGAATTAAATGGTGAAATGTCAAGGGTCAGTGAAAATGCAGTTTTTAAATTGAATGAAATGATAATCATCTAAGCGAAGGTTATATACAGTAACACAAGTAATAATAATCACATGAGAGAAACGAATCAAAACTGTCTTTTTACCTTGGTAATGATAAATTATCTGATGTTCCCCTCTAAAGACATAAATTTGATTTGAGTTTTGTAAAAATAGCTACTGCTTTTGAGAAATATGATGAAGTTATGATATTTTGAATGTCAGTTATTTGGAAAGATTAAAGAACTTCGATACTACGGTCGCTATTGATGAGATGTCGAAGTATGAAACAGTTTATTATTGTATTAGCTTTAAATTTCAAGCTTTTAGAAATATGATTGGAAATATAAAAGTATACTCTTTTATTGGTTAGTAACGAAGCTTTTTATAAATACAAGTCTGGAGGTACCTGAAAGGGAAATCGGATTAGTGGTGGTCTTAGTGACCGGAGAGCATAACCGCAGTGCCCAAGAGACAACTGCTTGAAGTCGGTCACATATGCCCTTTTTGTGAGTAATTTCCGTGTTAGCTCTGTACTTGTTGAGACCTTACCGCCGGAGACGGATATCCGTAGTGTGAGGCGATGTGTCCATTTTTAGGGTCGACCTTTTCTAACTCCATCCCTCCCTGTGGGAAGGCAGCATCGCTCTTATGCTGGTTGTCTGAAGGAAACACCTTACTGCGGTCACACAGTCATACAGTCAGCAGTACGACTTCGCCCTCAGACGACCTGCTGCTTTTAGTCTTACCATTCTTCAACCGACCTGTCTGGCATGGTAGGACCTTGAGGAACGATTGTTCCAACCAGTATAGCTCGATTGGTTCATCACGATAGGCAAGCGCGATCAACACGTCAAGGTAACAGCAATGGTTGGGTTTATAGATACAATCTTATCAGCTAATTGTACGCTAAGGTAAACTGTTGTATATCGTGGGCATATTCATAACAGGACTTAAAATTAACAAGAAGTGTTCAGAATGAGGAGTTTTCTTCCGAATAATCCAATGATCATCAATAAGATTTAACCATTCAAAAGAGAAAATCATAGATGCGTTCATAATGTACTATAGTAGTGTGGTATGGATAAATTTACATAAAAGATGTAGTGTAACAAGTGTTCAAAGCAAGCTTTATATACATCTACAGAATTGTTATACACAAATGAAATTTAGTATTATAAATAATCTTAAAACTTTATCATCAATACAATCAAAGATGTTTAATTGGATAATATATACATATATATACTTGAAACAAAACTTACGTGGACCAACCATCACACCAAATGGTGAATTTGATATTTGTTGACCAGCATAAAATACATTAACTGAATGAAGTCCTTCATCTTTTGGTGTATATTCTACAAGATAATTATCTTCACCTTGACGAGTTATCAAAGGTTTAATAGCATCACGTCGGCCATGAGGATCTAGAATTACACAGTCTGCATTTCCAGGTCCAGCAGCTAAGAATAATTAAATGAATATTATTTTCGATAGTATAATAAGAAGACAAAGATCGTCAGAATTATGTAATGATATATTAGCGCAATACATTTCGAACAATCTGATCACACATATACTTGTTAAGAACATTTATATATAAAAATAAAAGGTCAACTAGACTAAAAAGGCGGGGGAAGAGGAGAAAAGGATAATAAAGAAAATAATTATGTGAAAACTATTTGAAACCTCATCACTCTAGATAATAAGTCAGTACTACCAGGGTAAGTTTAAGGTGAGAACAAACTTTTTTGAATACCCAAGGGGGGGGGTGAATTTTCGTATGGCTAAGGCTTCAATAAACCTTAGTATACACCCTTTTACACTTTTGTACAACACCACAAAATCTGAGCTAAGATCAATCATATGACCCATTTCAATTGTGTTTGGCAATAGGGGATGATGGATGTTTATCCTCTACTCTTATTGGTTCACTTGATTCCATTTGTTTCTCCAACCATTTAAATACATATTCACATACCCTAATTTTGTTAGGAAATGGTGTAAGTTAGATAATCATGATTCGATCAAAATATACCAGGCAAACCAATATTGAATAAAAAAGCCGTGAAACTTTGTTTCTTCTCATAGCAGGTTCTTGTTAGCACATTAAGTTCTAAAATAATGTTCCATATTTTCAATCATTTTTTGGTACTGACAATTTTCCATTAAAAGGCTCATATAACAGCTTTATATAATAAGTATGCAAAAATCATCGCAAAAACAAACACAAGTAACGACTACATGTTGCTGTAAATGTTATGCTGATCAGTAATGAATGACATATGGACTTTCTTCTGATCGACATCACGCCACAAGAACGAGTAATTATGCGACTGATTTGTTATATCCATTATAGTTATAGATGTTCATTTGTGTGGTGTGGTAAATAAGTGTTCATACAGTAAGCTGTTAATTAACTGATATTAAATACTACACAGTTTAATTTATACAAATCTAATTCTTAATCCGAATACAAATAAATCATCTAAAAAGTAATGTATTCATATTTCATTTTGATTTAATTTAGAGGTTAAATCAATCCTTAACTATCGTCATAGTATTCCTTACTTGCGTCGTCCGATTTGCAGTTTTGGTTTAAAGCTGATCTGCAGATGATTGCATCTTTCAGAGATCGCATTTAAAATATACACAACATTTACAAGAACACCCACAGAATGTAAACTACTCGAAATGAAGTAGGGATTAAATCTGTAAAACCTATTGACATGTCGTAACATCATACAAAACTATTTAAAATTAATACACTATAATTAAATAACTTCGTATGTGTAAATGTCAACCAATATCAAAGTCAGAATCTCCGACGCAAACGTCAAGACAGTTCTACTGTACGGTGATGAAACTTGGAGAACTACTACAATCGTCGTCAAAAAGGTACATGTATTTATAAGCAGTTATTTACACAAGATACTCAATATCCATTGTCCAGATACCATCAGCAACAGCCTATTGTAGAAGAGAACAAACCAACTTCTAGCTGAAGAGGAAGTTAGGAAAAGACTATGGAAGTGGATAAGACATACATTGTGGAAACCGTCAAACTGCATCACTAGAAAAGCCTTAACTTGGATTCCTGAAGGGAAAAGGAAAAGAGGAAGACCAAGGAACACATTGCGTCGGGAATCAGAAGCAGACATGAAAAGGATGAATAACAACTGTAAACAACTACAAAGGATTGCTTAGGACAGAGTTTAATAGAGAATGCTGGTGAGCGGCCTATGCTACTCCATGATAGCTAACAAGTGTAAGTGCGTAAGTAAGTATATGTCAAGGTTTTACTGAATCATTATATCGAAAGACCTATACGATGAAACAAAATAAATGATAATTCTTTATCTCATTACTGAATAAGATTATGAATCCAGGCAACAGAAATGAAATATTTCATAAGCAGAAAAGAAGATACATGTAAACAAAATACAACAATTGATTAATATGTGCTTTACTTATGATCACGGTGGATGGATGGAAAGTTAAAAGAGACAAACATTACAGTAAATTGTAACACAGTTTAGCTAATTGACTTCACTAGATTTGACACGTTATAATTGAATTTCTAAAGAAAATCTATGTGGATCTTTCTATAAACAACGAATTATTTAAACAATAGAATGTAATGTTTAGGTTTGAAGAAAAAAGATTTGTATAAACTTTAGTAAAAGTTGTTTTCATAAAATCTTTAGCAATTCATTCAAAGTGAAGTAATGAACATGTTTATAAAAACAATCATCTACGTCAGACAATGGGTGAAGAGTTGCGCAAGATCATGAATTGATTAAAGTTAAACGTTAATACCGTTAGATACCGGCTCAGTGGTCTGGAGGTAAGACGTTCGCGTGAGAGAACGGATGTCATGGGTTCAAATCCCATGTACGGGGTTGTGGATGTACAGATTTGAGGAGTCCCATACTAGGACAAAACGACCGTTTAGTACTTTTAGGGTCAAAATCATCCTGTGACAACCATAGAAGGATTAGTTTGACTAATATAGCATCTAAAATACTAGCCTCAATAATTGTCAGTCGTCTAACTAAGACTCGTGAACTGCAAACACAAGAAAATCAGGCTGGCTTCACACCTGGTCGTGGCTGCATCGACCATATATACCACCATTCGTCAGGTTCTAGAACATAGGCATACTTATCGGTGTCCGACAATAGTGGTCTTTCTTGACTTAAAAGCATCACTTGACTCAGTAGACCGCGAGATTCTGTGGCAGTGTCTGTCATTGAAAGGCATACATCAGAAGAAAATTAACCTTGTGAAGGATCTTTACTCGAACACTACTAGTCGAGTCAGAGCTTATGGCGAACTGTCATCTACTTTTGCAACCTCAAGTGCTGTCCGTCAAGGCTGTCCACTTTCTCCATTTCTGTTTAACTTCATCATAGATCTACTGATGGAAATAACATTCTCGTCTACTGAATTCTCGGGTATTGATCTCCTTCCAGGAGGTCCACTTATCAACTTAGAATACGCAGATGACATATTCCTGTTTGGTGAAGACGCTGACAAAATACAGAGTCTTTTGGTAGCACTAAACAACAATGCCATAATGTTTGGAATGCGTTTTTCTCCGTCTAAATGCGAGTTGTTGCTTCAGGGCTGGTCTGCGTCAACACCTGAACTAAGGATACGGAGTGAAGTAGTCGAATGTGTTGACAACTTCACTTATCTTGGAAGTCTGGTTAGCCCAAACAGGTTGGTGTCTGACGAAATCTCAGCACGGATTCACAAAGCTCATTTGGCTTATGCCAACTGACATCACCTATGGTGAAAGGCGAGATATCAATCTATCAATTAAGAGACGAGTATACTGCACGGCAGTTCGTTCCGTTCTAATTTACGGCTGCGAAACGTGGCCATCAAGAGTAGAAGATACTCGTAAGTTACTAGTACTTGATCACAGATATCTCAGAAATATTCCCAGCATCTGCTGGGATCACCGGGTAAGTAATAATGAGGTTAGGTGTAGGGCAACATTGAATGATGTTAAAACAGTTGATGGGGGTGTAAATTCCATCGAATAAGATGGTTGGGACACGTGTTGCGTACGCTTGAACACCGTTTACCACGACGCGCAATGCAGACTAGTGTTGGGGATAGTTGGAAGGAAGTTAAGTGCAGCCAAACGAAAACGTGCTATCAGCCCATACTATAACTAACTTCTGGTATGAGCCATGTTGGTAGATGTAGACTATTTCGTTGGGGTCCACGTGATTTTCGTAATCAATGGTTGGAGACTCGGTGTGACATGACTCAGAATCGATCATGATGGCGTTGGTGTATACACTCTCTGCCTTCCCTTAAACTATGGGATTAAAATTGCTTCATATTTTTAATTCTACGAACTAATTCTTTCTTCCGGTATTATATCCTTATATGCAATCTTTCTTTTATATATTACCAACATTGACTTTACTCCTATGAATCCGGTGTTCATCTTGCTGTGCTTGTGCGGTATTGCAACTTGGACCGATGAATATATGTATCTGGTCCTACGTCGTAGCTGACTGATCTAAAGTTCTTATCCACAAGCCATCAGGATACTGAAGTCTATGTGCACCATTGGTTTTGAATCAGGGTTTTCCAACTCCCCTAGATAGACTCTGTGTCCTCCGAACCGGTTAAAGCGCCAGACATTCGCTTTTCGTCCTCTGAATTTCGTAATCAACAGCAATACCGCGAGAAGGCAGTGAGTAGGACTTCCCTGAGAGTGGTTGTATGCACGTTGCCATATCAGAGCATTTGGAGAGGGTGAGCTGACACTCCCCACTTTCAGCCATACCAGGGCCGTCAAAAAAATCGGGATGTACTACAGTGGGGTGTTTATAAAAGATACTTATAGATTGTTTTAGATCATTAAAACGAATTCGCTATTGAATATCATAGTCTTATCAGCAGAATTCACCCACAAAATGGACGAAGAATGTTCATAAATGCAAGATATTTCATAATTATTCAAGACGAAAAACAAAGAGTATGGTCAACCTCACACGATATCAGTATACATTAAAGTGTCATAATATCATACATCAAGTGCAATTTAGTATGTTGTGTAGATCATGCAACATAATACTTTTACGATTATTCTTACAACTATAGGACATTAATGAAAACATAATATGATTTTGTACAACATTTATTAGAACTTACAATCATGATTAGGACCAACTTTGTAAAATAATTAAGCAATATTATTACTTATATGATATTAAAATGTAAAGTGAGTTGTATATGAGTGAAGTAAAGTATGAAATTATAATAGTCACTAAAAAAATAATTTAATACATAACTTGTTGCCTATGTGGTATGGAAAGTTAATCAGAAGTATTTTGATTGAAATCATGAATCAGTTGAAGCTAGACTACCATGAGAAACCTGGAAGCATTGGACGGCCGTTTCGTCCTACTGTGAAACTCCTCAGAAGTGCGCATCCATCATCTCGCACCCCGCGAGATTCGAACCCTGGACCTATCAGTCTCGCGCCAGGCGCTTCACCAACTAGACCACTGAGCTTCAATTGACTCATGATTTTAATAAAAAACTTAACAATCTCGACATCGCCTAAACTGGTAATCAGAAGTAGAAACAGGTCAATCGATGTCAATCAAAAGTGACTCAAAGGTTAATGGTTCAATTTTTTAAGGATAGAGTGGTATATATATATATATATATATATATATATATATATATATATATATATATATATATATATATATATAAGTATTTGTGCATTTCATTCGGTAGCCCAATACATTTTCTCGCATACTCTTATGTTCTTGTTGAAGTAGTCAGCTGGGGAGGGGGTAGCGCATTATATTTGAAGAAAGGATAATTGTATCTAATTAGCTTTTCATTACTATGTTTACATAATTAAGGTAGTAGATAAATTAATTGACTGTAAGACGAATAAGAGTTGTAGATAGAGAAATCTATTCTACACATAAATGTTGTTAAAACTACTAGAACTGAAACAATCCATCCAACCAAGTTATATCAAACAGAAATAAGGGGAAAATTTAACACATTTGGATTACTATGGTTTTAAAGACAACTGATGACGGATTGTTAATGTGCTTAGTAAATTTGTTTTGGACAGTTTTAATATTATTCAAACTATTTTGTCTGGTAAACAATCTGAAGAAAATGAGAATTTGAATATATTCACCGTTTTGATCTACTTCTTCCTAATAGAAATCTTATGATTTTCAAATTATCCAATATTTAATCGTTGTTGAACATATTCAATAAATGTATTCCTAGATTGTCTTTATACTTCTTTTGACTAGTACATATAGGATGATGAACTGTAACGTGAAATGTTATGAAAGTAACGTAATTGTTATCGTGAGCACTTCGGTGTAATGAGTTTAGTTTAAACGTTGGAAAAGTATCTCTCAAAGGAATCCACAATGTATTCATTGTTTACCATTCAAATTTAACTATATCTGGAAAATTATTAGGAGCTCTTGAAAGTTCCTTGAAAAAGTTCAGAAAAGCTAGAAAGAGGGTGAACAACATTTCATCCACTTAATGTCCTGTAGAAATTCTTCAGACGGTTCTAGATAAACGATAAATTGTACTTAATACCATAATTGGATGAATATCAATTCTGCAGTTCAATTTAACATATTTTTCACGACTTTTAAAATAATAAAGTCACCCACAAAACTATTAATACCCCAGTTTACTTGATCCCGGAACAAACTTTAAAAATAAAACATTTTTCATACTTCCAGCCTTTTTTGCATTCGTAGTTAAAGTGTAAGCAAGCCCTCACATGGAATCCTCAAGGCCAAAGGAAAAGAGGAAGACCAAAAAACAGATTACGCCGGGAAATGGAAATAGACATGAGAAAAATGAACAAGAATTGGATGGAACTAGAGAAGAAGGCCCAGGCCAGAGTGGGTTAGAGAATGCTTGTCGGCGGCCTATGCTCCATTAGGAGTTACAGGCGTAAGTAAGTAAAGTTCAAGTGTAAGGGATTATCAAAGACTGATAATTGATTATAAAGTCAGTTTTACTAGGACGAAACGACCGTCCAGTGTTTTCAGGTTTCCAATAGTGGTCTAACATTCATTCATTCATGATATCAATTAAAACTCCGTTTTAAGTGTCACATATTGGACATATCTAAAATACATGATCCAAATCTGTCCACTCAGTTAAGGCATTTGAAAACTTAATTTTACATTTTGGATGGATGGTCTGAGGGTTAGCTGTTATAAATAAATAAGAAAACAGACAAAATAAAAACGCACAGTTTGAGATCAACGTTTGTAGGTTGATAAATCCAAAAATCGTTAATCAATAAAATTACGATCTAATTGTTGAAATGATAATATACTCGAAAAAAATGATAGATAGTTACCGGCAGTGAATATATTGAAGAATGTACGTCGACCAACTTGATTCCCAGTTGGTTCAATTCCTGGACCAGATGCAGTTGCTTTACTTCCATCACCTTGTGCACCTTCTACCATAACTTTAAATGGTGAATTTAAAATTTCTTTAGTGGCAAATTTAATGATAACCCTGTATTCACCTTCTTGTGTTGGAACATAAGCACAAGAATAAGTTTGTTGTTTATCATTATTACTGAGTACATCACACTAAATAACAGAAAGAAAAGAAAATATTCATAAAATTTCTAGAGGATGAAATCGAATAGGGATTTATTGGATTTGAACGTTATTTACATGATAACAGCTATCGAGATGGTTGAGAAAATTCGTAGCTCAGGTGAATGATATGAATGGAGTTTTGTCCTCAACAATAGTCCATCAAGATCGAGGTCTATAGGAAAAGTTGTTAGTCGTATCTGAAGAAATTCGGACAGTTCACTTCTACCTGAAATTTGTGCTGATGATTTTGTTCAGAAGAACAATGAAAGCTCCATAACCAAACTAAACACTTCAGAAAACAAAACTCCACCTAAATAATGTCTATCCTGAAAAACTCATAACTAAGTATGGAAAGGCCATAAAGAATTAAATGGAATATGGTAAGGTTGAGGAAAAATGATTAGTGGCTAATGTTATGTATTTAAATGTCCTTCTAACGTTGGTAGACTTCTATCGATCAAACAATCTAGCCAATAGTCTAAGTGACTTTGAATCACGTGCACTGTAAGTTGGTGGTTGTAGGTGGTTAACAGGATACCTTGTACCGAAGTTTCATGCCATTAGGCATTCTTCATCAAGGTTTATCTGTAATTTTGAGGGAACTGATGTCACCTGGGGAATTTTACTTTAATCAGTCAATTATAAATACTGCAGTTCTATGGGATACTAATGGAAGTTCAAATAGCTCAATGGTAACATTTCAGATTGCGAGGCTGAGTAAACATTTTTCGAACCAACCATAGAGCATTGACTTCCTCAAGATTACAGTTACATTGTGCTGATTAGTGCCAGATGGTAGGAAACCTAGGTCTGTGGTTTTCCATTGACTACCTCCAACATCTAACTTAAAAATTCTCTTATTAAGAATTAACTTCGAAGATATATAAATAGCTTAAAAAACTAATTACCAGATTGAACACCATGCTTAGAAGAACACATCCAAAAACCATTATGATCTGTTTGTACTGACCGATTCATTCTTATGACAGCCAAATTTAGACAAACTCATTACGTACGTTACAACCATATGCTATAACCGTATCTACTGGTTTACATGTGTGTGTTATGTAACATTATAGCAAGAAGTTGCATAAATTTTTAGTAATTAGGGCCCTCCAAATTGCAGTCGATAACGTAAGTTTTGCTTTATTCTTGAAATATTACCCAAATATTTTTGCATTGAAATGATAAACTTTTAAACAGTTAATCCTAACTGGGACATGACTTAGAGTTCTTTTTAAAAATGTATTGATATTGACTGAGTTTTGTTCTCTGAGCTGAATGGTTTGGTTGTGGAGCTTTCATCGTTCTTCTGAACGACATCATCAGTAAAAATCTAGATTTAAAGTCATCGAGAACCAGTCAACATCGAGGTCTACAGGACAAGCTACTAATAATATGTGGAGAAATTCGAACACTTCACTTCTATCTAAAGTTTATGCTAATGATGTCGTTCAGAAGAACGATGAAAGTTGTACGACCAAATCATCCAGCACAGAGAACAAAACTCCGTCAAAATCATCCACCTGAGCTACAAATTTTCTTCGTCATATATCCTCCAACAGTACAGGAACCACAGATACTGTCGGAACAAAATGAGCTGATTTTATTGCATCACTATTCAACAAGTGCTAACAATTCAAATGATTATCTTTCTTCTGGTACAAATCTATAATCTCGCAAATGATTTAAATTGTGAATACATATATATGTTAACAGAGTATTGATATCAGACACTTATTGATTCTCAGAAAGAGGTTTTTGTGGATATTACAGTAATTTAATAGTTGAGTTCATGAGTCAATTGAAACTAAACCATCATAGAAAACCTAGAAGCACTGAACGGTCGTTTCATCCTAGTGTGGAACTCGTCGGTAGTGCTCACCCACTATCCCGCTTTATGAGATTCTAACCAGTGACCTATCGGTCTCGCGCGCGAACGCTTAACATATTAATTCGGCAACTGGTAAAGCAGATGATAATAATGTTATCAAACCAGGTGTTGGACAAGGCGATAGAGGAAATTGAACCTATGTTTTTCTGCATACACTATAGGTTATTCAGTTTGATTAACTGTTAGTCTTTCTATTGGAAGAATTCACAATTTAACAACTAATGCCTCGTTGTTCTTCACAAAAGTTTACTAAAAATTAGATAAATTATTACTTTATGCGGTGTTTAGATTGGTTAGGCTCAGAATGAATCATCTTAATTACATCAATGTATTTCTTTCATTAGATAAAAAGTCTCAGGGTGTATATGATATGTGTGTTGTATCCTTAAAATAATCATAACAATATAATGAAATACGACATAATTGGAAGGAATTCAGAGCAGGTTTATTTCCAGCTGATGTTTGGTAAGATTTACCTCCATGAGACATATCAGAGAGGGACGATCGAATGACAGTACATGGAATAGAGAATATTATTATGATTAAAATAATTAACTATAAACTTACTGGTTCTCTTTGTCCTTTAGGATTCAGCACAATCACTTCAACAGCACCCCGACCAGCACTGAATGTATCAATAGTAAATCGTGCAGGATTACCAACAGTATTTCCATGTGGTTCGAGACCTTAAATTTTATTAACATAAAACGTGAACTGAATGAAATCATATTTTAAAAATATTCTATCTTAGAACCAGCTTAAACTGGTTTCTTCTAGAATTTTAGCACACTTAAACATGGTATCCTTTTAATGTAGATTCTCAAGCTACTGCATCATTGATGTAACGAACCGATAGATTCACCTTGCAGAAGAGTTTCATACGAGGATGAAACAGCTGTTTAATACTTTCAGGTTTTCTATGGTTATCTAATATAGATTTTAACAACATTCAACAACTCCCATAACTTTATTCTGACCAGATAAAAACATATTTTGGCTTAGTTACAGCTGATTCAAAGTTCAATTTAGTTTCAATGTTTATATTTGACAAATCTTACCTGTTTTCAATCAGTGTTCGCATTTTCAAAACGATCTAATTAAAGCTTCAGTGATTTCAAAAAAGGAAAGATCTAATCAAGTTATAGCAACTCATGTGCAATTGAGTTTGTTCACATTTAATTCGGTTATGTCATTTTGCTAACTTATTTAACGGACTGAGTCATCCGTATAACAACAACAACAACTTACCTATAGCATTGTATCTTTAGTATTGTTACGAATGTATGATTATGTATGCTTGAGTGCTGCTTACTTACTACCTACGTATATATTCATTCTGCTAGCTTTACTATTAGTTATTTAATTGATTCGATTATTCATTCATTTCCTTATATATATATATATATATATATATATATATATATATATATATATATATAATATATATATATATATATATATATACTATACACTCGACTCGCTGACTCATTCATTCGCCACTCCGCTTTGTGGTCTGAGCTATCTGCTAATAAAACTGTAGTCACTACTTCTCTTTGCCTTCTGATTTCAAACACCGGTTGAGGTTTATATAATAACGGTTACGAGGGTGATTGGTTAACGAAGCACAATCACTACGATGTAGCTAGTAAATAGATATTTTGTTTGACTAGCAGTTGTTATTATGAATTAAACTTATGATCTGAATAAATCAAATGGTTATGTATGTACATCAGTGGTTTGATATCTTATAGTATAACACTTGAACATCTAAAAACTAATATACAATTTTGTAATGTTGATAATAATAGCAAAATGAAAATGAATTTATGGGATGTAAATCAGGGAAAGCTATCAGATATATGTCAATATATTTGATAAATTGCTTGATAATCGAGTGTAGAAAACAAGTAAATGGATTGTGGAATAATTATGATAAATTAATTCAGAGTTGTCCATTAAATTTAGGAAAAGACGATAGAAATCGATAGGCATACATTACGAAAATCATTAAACTGCATCACGAGACAAGTGCTAACTTAGAATCGTGAATGGACGCGGAAAAGAGGAAGTCCAAAGAACATATTACGTTGGGAAATAGAAGCAGATATGAAAAGGATGAATAGCAAGTGAAAAGAACTGGAAACGATTGCACAGTACAGGGTTGGATGGAGAACGCTAGTGTTTGACCCATACTCCTCGACGAGGGGTAACAGACGTAAGTAAGTAAGTATGTGCTGTGAATAAGTATATGAAAGTATTTACATTATATAACGAACTATTAACATCTCATTGAGTTACTGATCGAAATAAACGAATGTTTGGTGAGAGTTTGAATTTAATATGATGTATTAATTAAGATATGTTTCTCCTAACTTCTCTTAACTTCATTATCTCTTTCCTCAAACTACCATCATTGTTAACCATATTTGTTTGTATTAACTTACTTAATAGTAGAAACAATGTTGAGAAAATGCAAAGATGGATAGTGCCCAGTAGTGGGATCCAAGACGTGCGTCTCATCCACTGCTAACCACTATTCTTCTTTGCTTATAATGCTTGCGAATTAAGACAATATCGAGGTAATACGCACAGTATGAACATATGCCAATAAGAGACTGATCAATTTCAGTCCTAAAACATCAACAGGATGATTCAAATAAACAATACTAAGTGAATTTAATGTTGAGAAAACTTTGTAACATTCGTTGACTAGATTTTTAATTATAGTTTTTACGCTTTAAATAAATCAGTTACAGCATTAAGATTAGTTTAAATGACAGAGTAATGCTGATCGGGAGTCCACTGTCAATCGAGAAAGCAATAGAGTTTGAGAGTAGACATAGATTAAGCTTAGAACATTAGAGATTTAAACCAAGCCCTATACTGTTAAAGCTCCACACGATCTACATTTTCAACATTAGTTTATTTTTAGTATTATTTTACTAAATTTTCATAATATTAGTAATGTTTCATTGTTAATGTGAATTAACTCAATCAGTCATTAGCTTTTCATTATGTCTTTGAAAACAATTTTTGAAGTCAGTTACCAGTAAACTCATAGTTTATCATTCATGAAAGTTACTTTCAGAATTTTCTTAATCTGATTACTTATGTCCATCAGTTAGATCAAAAGTACTGAGCATCACATATCCATAGAAATTGTTCATACCAGTAATGAGTTCATAATATCTCAAAGTATCATGAAGCCTAATGATCGAAATTGTTCATTTAATTCCAACATTGTTTCAGACAACCGAGGTGTTTTATTCAAGACATTCGGATTAATTTAGGCGATATTTAAATTCGTAACAACTCAGTCAACGTTTACTATAAGGATAGAGTTAAAACATGCATGTATCTCGTTAGAGTGCATAAATCATCATTTCAACTAAATGGTTATTAACATCTTATTGTTTTACTAAAACATGGGAGTGCAGTTTGATCATGTGTTATAACGCTCGGTTTTACTTCGTCTAATGTTATAACGGTTGGGTTTCCACTTCTTTACGTATGGGACGCTAATTTACCTTAGACGAATATCTGCACTAGATTCCCTCCCAGTGTCTATTCTGCAGAACGTCAACACAACTTAGATCAAGAACACGTGATTAGCCTGACCACAACGTAAATATGTTTCCACACCGAAACCCGACACAATCCAACAACAATGAACAATCGATAATAAGTGAATAATAATAATAAGGATAAAGGAATATATATATATATATATATATATATATATATATATATATATATATATATATATATATATATATATATAACTCATCTGACACCTGTCAGACTATCTACATGTCTGACTAAACAGACAACCAATCATTATTAATCTCGTCCACACATCACCATGCTGAATGTAAGGCAGTTACTTACCAAGTGAACTGGAAGATGGTTGTGCAAGATTATGAATTTATTGGAATTAAACAATGTAAACTGTTATGTATACATTCAATGGTATAGAGGGTAAACATTCACACTCAAGGTCAAAAGTCATGGATTCGATACCAAATCCCAGATTCGTGTATGTGCATTGTTAATGTGTCACTTGATATGACGAAAAAGTCGTCCAGTGATCTCAAGTTTTCAGTGACTGTTTAACCAACATCATTTCGCAATGTCAGTAAAAAAAACGTATTTTTGTTGAATGATTGATATTTTGGTCTTATACTCATCATAAAGCAATACAAATCAAAAACCATTCAAATCCACAAAGATGTGGTTTATTTAGTTAGAATTAATCTGAAACTTTCAGATGGTAGTATTGGCGAGACTATAATTTATGGACGAACCAATCAGGTGTAAGATACCAGGTCCCGGATTTTGGCGCGAAATTCGCTCATCCATTTGACTAAATAGAGTTTGGACATTACAGCTGATATCGATTCGTGATGAAAACCCTAAATGTAATTCTTAAGCCTAACCATCAACTGTAAATCATAATTCTAATTCTTCACACTGGTTTATAACCCTAATTTGGTCCTGGTTATAATGTGGACAATTTAAAGTTTAGCGTCGCTCAAAGGTCGTTCATAAATTATAGTCTCACTGAAGTATTCAATCATAATTTCGCTTTCAAGATGTTTACAACTCCTTGTAAATTTATTGATTTCTAACTGTTATTAAGAGTAGTAACTCATTGATATAAACAAACACTACCTTTGTCATATATATTTAAAGTCTAATGTCAAAATTCTATTGTAATAATATATATTAAACTGTACCTTTTCAGATCATATTATCATTATATCCTATTATATTATTAGACATATTTGGTGTTCAACTAACATATTTGATTACCAACCACCACCTAATCTCACATTAGTGCACGTAGTGCCGAGTCACCTAGGCTGGTGGCCACATTGCAACATGGCCGATAGCATTCGATCTGCACTAATAATAAGGACTAGATACGCATGACATTGGTCGCCACCCAGTGATCAATCAATTGTAACTACCAACCAGAGAGATGGTGGAGAAGAACGATGAAAGCTTCACGACCAAACTATCCAGCTCAGAGAACAAAACTCCACCAAAATACCAACCATAGACTTTACTAATCCATGCTTCAACAAAATAGTAAAAGAGTCCTATGTAAAGGATGAATCACAAATATCAATGATCTAAACAGTTTTTATGGCATACAAGTTATCATTGTTAATGGAGTTATTGATAATGAATGTCGCTACCCATTATATTCTGGTAATAAAAAGCATTTTTATGTTAGATTTTTTGTAAGAGAAATAGTCATGTTCACTATATTTATACTTTTAAGACAGTTACTTTACAAAATACTTAACACTACACTGTCTATGAACTATAATGTTTAATGAACTGTTAATTGCATTTGTTTTATAAAGTCTAATGAGCTTCTTTCATATGTAATCGAAGAATTTACAAAACGATATTAAAATATCTAAAGAAGAGGTAAAGATTTGTAGTGACCTACTTTTACCAGGAGAACGCAATTGGTGTAATGGAAACAATTATCATTAAAACCAATTGTACTAGTGATTGTTTTACTGTACTTGTTTGTTTAACTGTACTAAAGACATACTTTCTTCCGTTCATTGTGTTCTTGCACAGATTCGGTTTCGCTCAGTAATCACACTTGTATTCCTTTGGCACGACTCGGTATTCTTTCGATACTACGAGATCGCCAACGAATACATCT